GGAACAGGAACTCTGAATATCTGTGAGCACATGTGCAAGCGTATATGTATACATACATAAGCAATACTTTCAAGATCAGTTCGAAGTACTTCTGATTGTTGCTGCGTTTTTGTTTCCTTGTTTTGTTTTCCCTTTTTTCTGTATGTGTTTTGTATTCTCAGTGGTTTTTCACTGATGTTTGGTTTTGTTGGGGGATTGTGGAGGCTGGGTAAGGATCATAAATAGTGTTACTATGATGATAAACTAGTTTACATCTGGCATATCTAGCATTTTCCAGCAGCTACTGCTATGTTTTGTTTTGTCTTGTTTTTTACCCAAATATGGGTGTTTACAATGCCAGCATTTGGTCACTCTTCTTTTCCCACAGTTGCAATTTTAAAAAACCAACATCAATAAACAAATCAATTGTTCTGAGCATATTGAAGCCAAGTAGGTCTGGGGCTGGCCTGAGTTTGGAGGAGAGACTACCTGGGAACCATACATAGCCACCTTGAGTTCCACAATGAGAGAAAGGTAGGATAGAAATGTAATAAATAAAATAAAATAAATAAGAGCATGGTTACCAAGGTGCTGGGTCTGGGAAGTGATGGAAGAAAAAGAAACCAATTTGTGTGCTAACAGCATTGGCTGCCAATATGCTTCTAGTCCCAATTCAAAGTCTTGATCCTAATCTTAGTATCTTAAGACCATGTTATTTGAAGGAGTACTTACACTCATATTATTAAGTTCCTGCTGTTAAGATCTGTTAGGCATGTACATGCGAGAGACAGGGCTTTCTTGCTGGTGTCCCCAACACTGTGAAGCCCCCTTCCTATTGACAAGTACCTTGCCCCAGGTTGCTTAACCTCAGACTTGAGGGTCAAATCTGGTCCTCCAGAGGGGAGGAGCTCCAGAAGGCCACCTTTCCTTCCTCTGGCTTGAATCCCTTCCCCCAATTACTACTTGATAGCTTCCTGGATTTTGATGTTTCCCCTGCCTACAACTGGAATGTAACTCCTGAGATCTTCTCTAAACTGGAATTTGGCCCACAGGCTGAAAAAAATTCTGTCCCCTTGACCTAGCTTGTTCTTTGCACGTATTTGGACAAAAACTAAACACATATCTCTTTAAAGCTGCATTCAACTGAATTTGCAAAACATGCCTCGTAGCATGAGGTGGGGGGAACAACTGGAGACTTTGAAGGAGGCTGTGCCTCCTTCAGAAAATTTAATAAAATCTGCCTTTCCAGCCCCAGAGGGGGGGGCCTCCCCAGCACCAGCTGTCCTGGGAGAACTGCACATTGCTTGCTCAATGAAATCTTGACAGTTGTCTATTCTAAGAACAATTGTCTATTCTATAACACATTGTGACTTCCAAATAAGAAGACGGGAAGAGTGTCTATCGGCTGGAGGAAGTTTTCTGCTGTAAAAAGAGGCCCAAAGGTCCATATGGCCTCAGTTGTTTCTGAGAAGATGAACAAAATAAAAACACAAAATCAAATGCAGTAGATGAAAAACAAGACGATAGAAAGAGAGAAATGCTAATTCAATTTCAGCAAGTTTCTATGAGGAAAAAGTGAACCAAAGAACATTCACTATAAGGCTGTCACAACAGCGGTTGAAAGAAAGTTGTGCCAGTAGGCAGGGGATGACTACAGATATTGCGATGGGGCACTAGGGGAGGGTTCCTGCCAAAAATTTACCAGCCACAGAAGGTTTCTGTGAGCAGACCCTGCATGTGTGATGCACAGAGCCCAAGAAGCATTGAAAGTTCTAGGAAAAATAAGATACACTTAACCAGTACACTTTACTGGACTAGGACCCAGTAGGTCCAGGTTCTAGTTTCCCCTTGACCATTAAGTTCACTGGGTAACTTTGGGCCAGTTACAGACTCTCAGCCAAACCTACCCCACTGTGCTGTTGTTCGAGTAAGACTGAGAGGAGGATTGTATAAGCCAGCTTCAAAGGAGGGATATAAATATAATAAAAGCCTTGTTAACAAAGAGGAAAACATAGAGGAAGTTATGAAAATCTTAAGTGTAAAATGATCCTAGAAAAGCAAAATCAAGGATGATTAAGGGAAAATGCATCTCTGAATGGAGGGGCTTTTAGGGGAGAATACAGAAATGAAAAGTGCTTTCCTCCATGTGGTTATACGATGGGTAACTCCCCATTATTCATGAACAGCTCTGGGTTGGGATGTAGCCTTTTCAGCAAACAGCTGTATGAACAGCAAACCCAGAACTGGAGCATCGGCACTGCAGTCACCAAAAGCATTACAGGAGAAAAACGTTTGACGCCTCATGAAGCAAGGAACAAGGGTCTAGAATGAGAGGCCAGTGCTTCACTATAAGGAGAGGAGTAACTTCCTCTTCAGGCTGGTAAAGGTGATGTAAACATAAAGGTGGAAAAGCCAAAGCCTACATTCTGGATGCAATGTTAAGGTGGGTACACACTTTTGTTCCCCTGCAGTCTTGGCTACCGAGGCTTTCTAAAGGCTCTGCCTCTATGCTCACCTCCCAAACTGAGCTAATTTCATAGCAGCCCCTATAGGGAGTTGCTGGCAGTTCCTTCATACCACCTGGGTAATGTTTTGCCTGATAACCATAATCTCCTGAAAGCCAGATAACAGAAGCCAAGGTGGGCTTCAAAGATAAGCAAGCTGTAGTCAGGTGAGCTTTACCTGACAGTTAAAACATGCTGCCGGCAACAACACTCTGTGGATGGGGATAATTTTGATGCAATCAGGCTATTGACTCTGCTGCTTCCAATCAGCCCTCCTTAGGCAGTTATCTGCATCTAATACGCAATGACACAGCTACTTCTCATTCCAATAGCAGCAGCAAACAAACCTGTCACTGAAAGTGCCATTGTGCATTTAGGAAATTACCACTTCATTTTGGAAATCATGCTTCTTGCATGCTGAAGGCTAACGCAGAATAGGGAAAAGGGTGGTAGCTGCATGGCCCTGCTTTGGGGAGTGGCTGACTTTGATTTCCTTTAAATCATGTGATTCACATGCAAAGATCCTTTGTGGTACAAAGATAAAAGGAAACAGAAGCAGCTTCAATGAACTCTTGTAGGGTAGCTGCTTGTGATTTACCACTTACTCCGCCACCTACCACTCATGATACAGTAAGGCTTCCACAAAATTTAAGGAATGCCTCGGCCTTCCTCATTCTCTTTTTTAGATTTGGGAAAACAGTAATCCTGAGTATGCATCTGCACTTACAGAATGCAAGCTTCACTTACTAACCCTTTTTTAAAGCTTGTAAAAGTTGCTCTGTCTAGAGTAACCTTATGTAAACCATTTTTTTTCTGTCATTGTTATAGGTTCTCTTTTTTGGTTTACTCTCTGTAAGCCGCTGAGACTTTTTTAGTAATTGGGATGGCATACAAAAACCTTAAATAAACGAACAGAAATCCAGCAAAAGCTTTACTAAAACATTTAAAATATACCACTCACAGTAAAGCCTGTGTTTAGCCTTAGAGCGAATGAATGTTAACCGGCAAGCAAGTCCCTGTTGGGGAGATCATCCTGGCTCCTGCTATGTGGATGTGGGGGAGGATGAAGAACACCTGAGATGAGGAAAGACAGGCCTCTTCCCCACCCTATGAAGTCATTGTCATCTCCTGCACCACAGGGAAGGGGCAACAGGGCTGTTGTTTATTGCAGAACTTTCTGGGGTTATACAAATGCTTTTCCCTATAAGGATTCCCCCTGCCCTATCCATTAAGATCTCAGAAACCTCTAGGCGGATTTCACATGGTAGATAAAGTCAATATAGAATAGAGTAGCATGGCTTTTTCGTCACAATAGACTTCCTTTAATTGGACGGTGGAACTTTTTCTTTTGGTGGTCGTTGCATTTATGCGTAAGTTGCTACCCTGTGGAAATTATTAATTTTAGTTTTTGTGGTAATTGTTCTAGTAATCCATTTTTGGAATAATCTTAAAGGGTAGATAATGCAAATTCCAAAACCAGAGCAAGAAATTCTAGCCTTGAGAAAGAACACTCTCTTTCTTGCATGCATACAGAACTGTGCAAGTAAGAAACCTGGGTGTATTTTTCATAATCAGAACACATGGAGAAACTGTTCTCTTATTAGATAAACGTTCCAGAGTGGAGCTGAGCCTCCTTCTGTAGATGTTTTTATGAAATGTAAACCCTTTCAAAGTCCATTACTGATAACTTTTCTTTACAAAATACATATTTAGGAATAGAATGTACTTTATCTTTCTTTTGGCCATGAAGTTCAACACTGTACTTGTAATAATTGTAATGCTAGTCTGTATTTTAATGTTGTTAGCTGCTTAGAGGACCCTGTCAGGCTATTCAGCAGCGTATAAATTTGAAAATAAATTTCTTAACAAGCAGAAGTGGCAAATATTCTTCTGTCCCAAAGGCAGAATATAAGCCTGTAAACCCTGTTCTTGCAGTATATAAGCCAGTAAACTTTTGAAGGGATGTTTTATCCCATGATATATGGGAAGGCAAGGTGGATGGGTTAATGAATCACATATTCTTCCAATCTGCCCCCCACAACATCATTGGTCCTAACTGGGATTATGGACGTAATGCAAAGCTCAGGGAACCAAGATTCAAGGTGGATGCCAGGATGTACTTCCTGATGGTTAGGACCCCGAGGGTATGGAATGGGCTTCTATGGGAGGTGGTTGAGGCCCCATCAATGAGGGTGTTTAAGGATAGGCTGGTAGGCATGTCATGAGCAGAGCTGGCTGGAGCCAAGGTTCAGACCAGATGACCCATGAAGACCCTTCTGACTCGCTCTGTTTCTATGTTTCTGTGATCAGAACTGGTTTGCTACTAACTTGCAAGGAAGATAGAGAGCACTCTCTTCTAGGTTTGCACTATCCCCTACAAAGTGTAGCGGGGCCAAGCCAAGCCAAGCCAATCTAGCATCCTTTCTCTTGCACACACCTTTTCCCATCCATGGCAGTAAAAACAAAATAATACATCAAACAATGTCTTTTTTCTAAAGTAATACACCTAATACTGCATTTTAATGAAGTGCTGTGTAAAGAACTACTTTATTTTCTTATTTCCAACATTTATCCAATTCCAGATTGAAATAATGTACAAAAATATACCCAATACAGTGGTTATAGATACAGCTGTATAACATGGCAATGGTCAAAAAGGTTCCTGCAAGCTTTGTGAAAGAGATGCATTTTGCTCACATTTGACCACATATGCTCACTTTTAAAAGCTGGGGGGTCTATGGCTGTTTATTTATTGAATACTGGCTCAGCATTAATATCTTTCTGGAAATGAGCAAGAAAATATGACTTCAAAATTAAGCATTAGATGTACCCCCATGTCAACTTAAAAGAATTAGAGAAATGGCACTTTTAAAGAAGGCATTTTAGAACCCCTTCTCCTTCTACCAGTGACAGAAATTCTCGATTTAGTGCTGCAGTGGATGAACTTTACCCCAGACTGGTTCCTTGCCTCTGGGTTCCTTAGCCTGGTATGAATTACCAGGCTAAGCTCAGTCTTTGAACACGGATGGCCTGTTTTAGTGTTGGCTGTTAGCAAGGGTCTCAGAGCCCTGTCCAGTCCCATTAGAACTGGGTGCTAGCTAGCTATGCATGGGTCTATTAAGTTAAATGACAGCCAAGTAGAATTCCAGTCCTGTTGCAAAGAAAAGTCTGAGACTTCCCCAGGATCATCAAAATGGGAACCCTTTACGACCCCAAGCACTGCGGGATAGGCTGCCCAAAGAGAGCTAACAAGCTCACAGGGGCCACTCTGACAGATTTCTTTGCCTGTGTGGAATAGAAGGGAGGCACACAAACTTATTTACCCACTCACTGTGCAGCTATGCATTGAAGAACAGTGTTGGGCTGTGCTGCATAGCGGTGACCAGATGTTCACCCCCAAGTAGTACAGATCAACAGCACTCATCTTCAATGTAGATGTGGGGAGGGGTTTAATGTCGCTGAACTGCTGGGAATGCTCGTGTGAAGACCAAAAGGAAAAGATCCACTGAGTGACAAAGACTCTGTGTGGCAATAACGGCAAAGGTTCATGCACACAGAGGTTCTCTGGTCTTGACAACAGCAGCTTCTTTGTGCCACCAGATCCCCTTACTGGGGCAGGACCAGGCTTCTATCGGCTTCAGTCTGTTTTTTTGGCTAAAGAAATCCCTTTAGCTAAGACAGCAATTCTCACTCTGGCATTAACTTTTTCTCTTGTCTCTGCAATTTTTCTCTTGCAGAGCAATCATGTGGGTGGATCATTTCTCTATGAACCATGTGTTTCATTGCCTCCAGATTCAGACCTGAGCACCTTTCCAGGGAAACCAGTGTTTTAACGTAAAATAACACGGACAGGCACTGCCTAAGCAAGGCAAGCAGCTAGAGGCAGACAGAGAGGCAGGTTCATCACACCGGATCAGAAAGAGGGCAAAATGCTTCCGGTGTGCTGAGATAGGGTGGATTCAACACTGTGACCCACAATGGTGAGCAAGCAGAGATGCACAGAGGCAACTCATGCCAGTCAGGAGGCAGATAGTAGCAGAAAGTCAATGTGGCTACCACAGTCCACTACCCTTTCTAATTCACCACTTGAATCATTTGCTTCTGTCTGTCTCATGAAAGAGGTGCCCTTGTTTTCTTAATGCAACACAAACATTTAAGTCAGTATGTACTACCTTCTGACACAATGGGCCTTTGTAATAGATTCTTGTGCTTTCAACCACTGTCTAAGCAACATTTTTTCTTAGAATAGGATGTTGTGTCAGTGATCCAGCATAAGTACATCTTTGTTTATGAAAATTCTCCCACGAAACAAGCAAATAAACTGTTACTATTCAGCTGAGTTAATTGAAGCTCTCTGTTCCATATAACTCTTTCAAGTGAATAGATCTTCAGGACATTGTGTGTCTGTGTGGCAGGGAGGGGGGTTCCTAAACAAGACAACAGTTAGATAATAATTAAGTCAGCAAATTATTTCTTGACTCATGGAAAACACTGTGATGAAGATAGAAGTTTCACAGTTGTAGTTCTGCCTTTGGTGCAACAAGGCATCTTTATGCAAACTGAAATCTTTATCTTGTAAGTAAGTGTTCCACAAAACTGTCACAGAAATCCTATCCTGAAGATTCGGCACTCATGAGAAACTCCAGAAGGCCACCCCATCACTTCTGTTCCACAATGTATTCATCAAATGGCTGACGTTGGTAGCATGCAACACTGTCCAGCACCCATTCACGTGAAACTATAGTAGCACTGCATTCCAGTGGGAAGCCTGCAAAACCAGAGCAACTGTGAGATTTTTTTAAACCCCAGGCAGTCTTCTTTCCTTTCTCTCCACACCCTGAGGATTCAAGAGTGTGATTTCTTTAGGAGCATCTTTAATGAATGACTTTTCAAAATGCCATGACACAAAGATAGGCGATCAAGGGCAGAGGTCTTCTCCCTTGGTTTACATTGTTGCTGTAGCATCCTTTTATATCGCTAGCAGGCTGTCGGCAAACAACTTGAGTGACAGTGTGCAGATGCAAGGGTGGGTCAACCTAATTTCTCTCCTCATCTCAAGCTGCTCATGTTTGGGGAAGAGATAGGTAACGTACAAAAGCCAAAGATGATAGGATTCCTTCTTGTTCACGGATACCTGACTCTCTCTCCCCATTTGATTCTATTTTTGAAAACGAACCTGGAAAGTGCAGAAAAGGCCAGGAGCACAACTTACATATGTTCATTTCTGTTAAACATATATGTGAGAACAGAAAAGGATACTTTGCAACTGCCTTTGGCAGATTCTCACAAATACTTTTTAGCAAATTACTGGAAGGAAATCACCTCTGGGGAACAAGATGCCAGCAGAACATGGAATTCTTACCTTTCTCAAGCTTTCATTTGCACTGTGGTTTGGAGAAAGTGAGCAGCCAGAGACATCTGAATTGTGGAGATGAGAGACCCTGGTAGTTTCTTACCTTTTCCATGACCTAGTGCAAATATGACCAGTTGCCCAGAAAGTTCACAGAAGGTGAAGAGTTTGTGGCGATGACAAAGGACACTAGAGGAGTGAGCCAAGCTAACACCAATGGACTCTTGGGCCCCTGGAATACTACTGTTTCTTCTAGATAGTTTGCTACAGGGCTGGTATTCAGTATCCCAAACTTGCAGACAACTGGACATTATGGGAGGAGACGTGAGCAGTGTTTATAATCTCACCTTGACAGGCACTGCCTTCCACCCAAGCATCGGGCTGAACCACTACCACAGCAGCAGAGTTCTAGGAGGTTGCAAGGTAAGAAGACAAGAAGGAAGAAAGTGTTACTAGCTGAGTGGTACAGGATCCATTTCTCTTGATCAGGACCCATGCCACAGCACACACTCTAACCAGATGGGAACTGAGGACGACAAGAACATGCCAGAGTGGGTGCAACTTTGATTAAGGTAACAAAGTAACAGTGAGGGGGAGAAAATAAAGCTAACTGAAAGGCCAGGCCTGCTCTCCCAGTGGCTTGCCAAGCTGGCAAGTGCTTCATCCAATTTCTCCTGGCACTCAGCTGATCAGCAATTGTAACCAGGGCCTTTGGGGAAGTGTGCTGAGCCTCTTCCCTCTCCTGGCACCCCTGAAGCTGCTGGGATTGCTGCCACCATTAGTGGTGATCCTGGTGATGCCCCATCTGCATGATGTAAGCGTGTGCACATGTGTGAAAGAACAGGAGAGAGAGATAACCTGTGTGTGTATGTATGTATGAAGAATGTAAAAAAAATCTAGAAAGTACTAGGCTAGTCTAGAACTATTTATCTAACTCTAACTCTAACACCCGTATTTAGCATAGGCCATGGGAGTCAGGCTGAACCAAATGCAGGGCAAGCCAAATTCATTAGCATCTTAGAAAAAATTAAAGAGGATCAAACTCAATTACCCAGTTTGGCCCATTTAGCTGTACTTACAATACTGAACACAAACTTACTGCTGGACATGCAAGTAAATGAGATTGCTTCACAAGTGATGCACCGCACAGCTCTACCATCCACTCCAGTTGTTCTGAGCAATTCCCAAAGGGAGAGAGGGACAGAACATTAATCTACAATGACAGATACTTTACTACCGTCCCTTCACTGCACACAAACACTAAGTCCAAAGAGGCCCTTTGTATAGGTTAAGATATACATTGGCATTTCCTTTTTAATAGAATCTGAGAGCCTGGAGAGTTGTGCTCCTAAGATACGGCTGTATTCCATAGTTTGGCATACAGAAATACGATAGCACAGAAGTTGCTCCTGGGCAAAGAATTTAACATCACCCCTTTGGACATTACCAGAAAATACCATTGGTGAATTAACAGCACCAAATCATGTGGAGGTTTACATTCTGCCTTGCCTTTGGATAAAGAAAGGCGAGTGAAGAGCCTCTGAGAGCTCCCTAAACCCAGACTGATTTCAGCTCATGTGAACGTCTTTGCGTTCATTTCAAGGTTCCCCATCTACTTACCTGGGAGCATGTCAGTGAACGGCTCATAGCAGCATATTTTCAAGCCCTGAAAAAGCTGAGGAGGACAGTGTGTGAGTCAGGAACTGAACACTTCACCATTGGAACTCTGGAATTTCTATGGGTGTGAACCAACCAAATAGAGTCCTGCCCTGCCCGGAATTGTCCAGCTAATCTGATTTGAGAATAAAAGAGGAACAAAGCTAGAGAGTATTTAGAGCAACTAACTAAACAACGGCTCCCCATCAGGTCTACCTCAATCTCACTTCCACTTCTTCATTAAGAACCCACCTCTGACCAGTGCAGAGCGGAGACCCAGCCCCCCAGGTGAAAGGCTCCCCAGCTGGTTAGCTCCACTCTACAGGGGGAGGGGAGTGGGCAGGCATTAGCAGAGGCCTCTGTACTGCCAGTGTCACCAAGCCATGTTATTCAGATGGAGCGTGAGAACCAAACTGTTCTGGAGCAGTGGGGAGACAAAAGGGAAGTCTTCAATCCTGTCAAGGATACCAGGCCACGAGAGCGGGCCTGCCATCCGGCCTGCAAGCAGTATGAGCTACCCTGAGGATGCAGTCAAATCCTTTCTGAAGAGTAGGAAAGGAGTGACATATTCCAGATTGGATTCAACTCTTCACATGCACAGATACTACTTCTACACATCAAAGGGGTTGTTACTTTGATTTATGCTGTTTGGAAACTTGCAAAGCTCAATAAAGGACAGTGTTTCTAAGATTTCATTTAAGTCTGCTTGAAAAGGAATGGGGGGAGAACCTGCTTCAGACAACCATCTCCTTTTTCATCTTTCTCTGCACAAGTTCTTGTTCTTTCCATTCTGCACAACTTTATCTACTGCCGGCTATTTTGGCTTATCTTGATTTCACCTTCTTACTTTCAGGCTTGCTGACTTCCATGCCTTCAAAAACCTATTCACTGGAAAGTTCATTGAAAGCAGTATGATTTCTCCATTGGATCACACTGCCTGAATCTTAAATTTCATAAACACTATGTGCACTTGGCTCTCATTTATCTCATCTCCCTGAATCAATACCTCTCAAGAATTCAAGATACCTTTCATGAATTACAGAAGTCAAGCAATTTGCCATTTCACCTTTCTTGCTTTTTACCACCTTGTGTAGATATAACTTCCTTCTGGGCATCAGAAAGGCAGGCTGCTTAACCTGTAAGGGTTGTTCTTGGAGTAGTGATCTGTGCGTTCACACATATATGGGCTTTGTGACTGCACAGAGGCTGTCATCAGGAAGCTTCAATAGCTAAGCTCTGACTGGGCGGGAGCCCTTCTCCCTCTTCCAGGATAGCATGGGGAGAGGCTCCTGCCCGCCACCTCAGTTCCTTGGAGACTGCCAAGGGTCCCAGGACCAAGAGAGGGGAAATCACTGACCTGGTCAAGCCCTTGCACCCCTGGTGAGGGGCAATTGTCAAAGGGATGAAATCAAGTGGGGCCGGAGGGCAGGTTATGTGAATGCACAGATGACCACTTGAAGAATGACAGTTATAGGTAAGCAACCTGCTTTTCGCCTTCATGGTGTCTGCACATCACACATATGGGCGACTGGCGAGGAAGGACGGAGGGATGATGATGTCACTGGAGGATGGAGGAGGGGACTGCTTTGTGGAGCAGTCGTCCCTTGCATGGTCGTCTAGCCTGTAGTACTTGACAAACACTGAAGGCATGGACCATGTAGTCACCCTGCAGACTTCTTGCAGGGGGATCCCAGTGAGGAAGGCCATAGACAAGGCTAGTGCTCACATGAAGGCCAGTTACTTCACATGCTAAAAGAGTTGGTACTTGTGATCCACTTTGCCAGCCTCTGCACAGATCATGGGTTCCCTTTGTTCTGGCCACCATAGCTAATGAAAAGCTTCAGTGAGTGGTGGAATGGCTCCATTTTGGATCAACAGAATCTGAGGGCTCGCCTGACATCCAATGTGTGAAGGGTGGATTCAACCTGTTTAGCAGGAGCAGCAAAGAATGTGGGAAGGACCATATCCCCCCCCCCCCCCCCGCTTAAGATGAAAAGGTGACAGGACCTTGGAGAGGAGAGTTGGGTCTCACTGAAGGACAGTCTTGTCTCTGTGGAAGATAAGGCATGGGGAGTCGATCCAAAGTGTACAGAGTTTGCTGGCTTGCCTGGCCGACATAATCACTACCAGGAGGACAACCTTCCAGGAAGGAGGTGAAGGTTGGCTGTGGCCAGTCGTTCGAAAGGCTTTCTGATGAAGGCCAGCAGGACAACTGAGAGGCTCCCTGCTGGGGTATATGGTCAGATGATGGGGGCACAGTTCTGGAGGCTCCACAGGAATTGACAAGATGGAGGGTGAGAGAAACCTAAGGTTCCCTTGATTGGTGGACAGATGGAGGATATGGCCACTAAGAATAACCTGGTTTGGGGGGGGGGGGGGTTAGTTCTTTTCAGAAAAGTGTCTGTAGGAAGTGGAGAACATTCCTGATGATGTTGTGGAGCAATGCCTTTCTGGTGTGCGAAGGTGGTGAAAGTGTTCCATTTTGCCAGACAAGAACTCCCTGTAAGTGGTTTCACAGAGCTGCCCTGAGGTTGGACCTGACTTTCGGGGGAAGGGACTCTGCCACAGGCTCTCTAGGACATGATTCTCCATGCTGTGAGGCAGAGAGTCTCAATGTCAGGATAGAGACCTCAAGCCCTGGCCTTACAAGATCAGGTCCTGGGTGTGTGGGAGCCAGAAGATGTCCCATGGCAAAGCTGGAGGAACACAGGTGAACCACAGCTGCCTCAACCACCATGGGGTGATGAGGATGCAGTCTGTCCTGTCTCTCCTGACCTTTGCAACTACTCTTATGATCAAAGGGAAGGGGATGGGAAATGCAGAAAAGGGTTCCCCACCACTGGAGAAGGAAAGTGCTTTCCAGGGGGCTGGCTCCCCACCTGGCTCAGGAGCAGAAGTTTGGGCATATCATGCTGTTGGCCATGGCAAACAGGTTCAGGACTGCTGGATGGCTTGCAGTAGCGTGGGAGGGAATGGGATGGCCACAGGCATTGAGTCATCAGTAGCCAGGGCACAAAGAAAGGGTTGGTGACCTGATCCTACAGTTGCTCAGCCTCTAGCTTGAGGGATGTGGCCATCCTGAAGACCAATTCTGAGAAGCAACACCTCTCTTCCAAGGGAGATGCTGGGTCCTATGCCACCACGGCTGCATCTAGGGATGATATGGATGGGGCCCTCAGAATAACTTGCTCCAGTACTGACACATAGTCCTCCGAGCTGGGCAACAGGGATGGTGCCTCGATCTCTGGAACCTCAATGCCAATGGGCTTGGTGACTGGTGTCGGTTTGACCCCTGGAGCTTGGTGATGACTTTGTGTCAGGACCTTGTCTTGATGTCAGGAGCACCTGGCATTGGTTTCTTGGTGTCAACGTTCTTAGTACGGAGGCTCAGCGGGAGTTTTGGCTTCTGGACCCCTCTTCAAGGGTCTGCTTCCAAAACTCAGTCCTCAGGTGGCTGGCCCAATTCCTCTAGGTCTGCTTTGTGATGGCCTGGCAGTGTGGACAGACCTCCACAACACATCCCCTGCTCAGGCAGATGAGGCAGAGGGAATGGTCATTGGTGGTAGGAGCCTGCTATCACAAAAAACCTCCAAAAAGCCTCCAAGAATGCCATCGTGGTAGAGGGGAAGGCTGGAAAGAATAGGAGTGGGCAACTTGGGGAAGGAATGTAATGAGCAGTGGATAGAAAAGCAGGTAGGAAGCACATATTTTTGTAAGATTTTTTTAAGGTAGAGTGAAAAAATCAGGTTTGTGAAGAAGGAAAGAGAAGCAGAAAAAAGTTTTTTGGAAGAAAAACAAAAGAATGCTAGGTACTTAGGTGAAGAAGAGAAGCACTTCCCAATCTAGGCATGGTGGCAGTCAAAAAGCAACAGAGGGGATGGGCAGGAGCCTCTTCCCCTGCTACCCTGGAACAGGAAGGGGAAGGGCTCCTCCGCAGTTGAATGCTTAGCCATAGGAGCTTCCTGACAACAGGCTCTGTGCAGGTGATATGCCCATTTGTGTGAAGTACAGAAATCACAAAGAATGAGTGTGTGCAACAGTGTTCAAGAAACAGATGGGAAAGAGAAAAGAGCTATATAAAAATTGCACTATAAAGCTGCACATCTCACTTCTCATCCCCAACTAGCATCAGTCTTCAAGTCACCATCAATATAATGTTAAAGATCAAGAAATGCAGGCCCAACCAGCAGTCCTTTTTGGCTTTTGATTGCTAGGAGCAGTGAGGCAAACTTCAATCATGCTGTGTTAATCTGATTTAAGTTTGGCAGCATCCTGGACACTTTTTGCCCCAGTTCCAATTATGATTCCCATTATAACTGCTTCTCTCTTTGAAAAACTAGTTGTTACTTTCTCTCTTTAGTAACAGGGCAATGTGACATTTTGTTTCCTGCCAGTCGCTTTCCTTATACATTTTTAATAGTTAAAAAGTTCTAAAGCTTAGAATATACATACATATATCTATTTTTTAAAAGGAAGAAAAATCTGCAAGCATCTGGACACTTGTTGAGCCACAGTATTTCAGTAACAAAAAGTGTGACCATACACACAGACTAGAAGCATTAGGGATTACTGCAGGGGGTACGTAACTGTGAAGGATGCACACTATCTGTTCACACTGAATGGAGTCAACATTCTTCACATTTCTTGCCCATAAAAATCATCACATTCAATGGAGACAGGAAAGCAACTCTCAGGATACTCTAAGAGAGTAATTATTTCCTATAAACAGTGAATAACAATTTGCTATATGAGACAGAAGTATGTTAGGAAGAACAGAAGTCAGCCATACATTAGGGACATTCCTTTGAATATATGCAGCAGGAATGGTACCTATTGCTTCTTATTTTCAACTTCTCTGGCAGATTGATGGTTAAAGCATCCATACCTTTCCAGCAGGAGATTCTCTTGCTCTTTTGGGCCCTTGATGATGTCTCCCATTGATTACATCACCTCTCACTTCAAAGTCACCCTGGAAAACAACATTAACCAAATCAGATACCAGTGAAAAAGCAGGTTGCTTACCTGTAACCGATGTTCGAGTGGCCATCTGTGCAGTCACACATATGGGTGCTGCGCCTGTGCAGTGCCTAGGCCAGAAGATTGAAAGCTAACGGTTTTGGCGGGAACTCCGCTCCCCTCCCCCTCAGTAGAGCTGAGTGTCTGTCATTTTCCCAGTCTTTGACAGACCAGATGTTCGCCCCCTAATGTAAAGAATTCATCCTAAGAAGATGAAGTAGGTATCTTCAAAAAATAGTACAGTACTGTCGACAACTTCCACTCACCGACACCGAGCGGGGCTGGCGGGTGGGTTGTGTGACTGCACAGATGGCCACTCGAAGAACATCAGTTACAGGTAAGCAACCTGCTTTTCTTCGTCGTGGCCTCTGTGCATCACACATACGGGTTGATTAGCAAGCTTACCCTAATTGGAGGAGGGGAGGTGTCATCACCGTTGAACAGCTGAAAGAATGGCTCTTCCAAAGGAACAATCTTGTCTTGCACGGACATCCAGACGATAATGTCTGGCGAAGGTGCACGGAGTAGCCCAAGTTGCAGCCCTGCAGACGTCATCAATCGAAACACCTGCCTCAAAGGCTGAAGAAGCGGCTACTGCTCGTGTGGAATGACCTCTGGGAGTTACAGGTAAGTCCATCTTGGCCAGCTGGTAAGACAGAACAATAGTCTGAACTATCCATTTGGAGAGTCTCTGAGGAGTAACAGGAGAGCCTTTATCGTGCTCAGAATATTTAAGAAAGAGTATTGGAGCACTGGATGAATTCAGTCCTCGATCTGTAAAAAGCTAAGCAGCGCCTTACATCAAGCGCATGTAGGGATCTCTCAATTGGATTTGATGGTGATGGAAAAAATGCAGGTAAGACGATCTCTTGATTCATGTGAAAAGGAGTAGCCACCTTCGGTAGAAAAGAGGAATCCATGCGAAGAACAACCTTCTCCCTATGGAAATTCAAATAGGGAGGATCTACTCTAAGAGCACACAGTTCACTAGCTCTTCGAGCTGATGTAATCGCTACAAGAAAGGCTGTCTTCCAAGAAACAAGGCACAAATCTATAGTTGCCAAGGGTTCAAACAGAGCTCTAGTGAGTGCCTGGAGCACCAATGAAAGACTCCAAGGAGGCATAACTGGCCTTATCTTCGGATGGAGGTTTTGCAGTCCTTTGAGGAATCTTTTTATCAAAGGTTGTGAAAAAATGGATGATCCATGTATAGTGCCACGGTAGTAAGAAACTGCAGCTGTGTACACCCTTACAGAGGATGGTTTAAGTCCTAGATGGTGAAGTTCTAGAAGAAACTGAAGAATATTCTCTATCAATGCTGAATGTGGAACGAACGAACGAGACTCGGCAAAAGAAGAGAATCGTTGCCACTTTGCTGCAAAGGATCTTCGGGTTGACGGTCATAACGCAGATTCAAGAATCTTCTGAATTTCTGAATGGAGAACTGTTGATCCCGACGGAAAATCCGTTGAACCCGACGAAGTAGCAAGAGCCAACGGATTCAAAGCATTGGACTCGTGGGTAGCACCCCCAGAGAAGTTAAACGCTGTTGGTATCGGATCGGTATCGACGCTCATCGAATCCGCCAGGCCGTAAGGTTCAGCAATGCCAAATGTGGGTGGCGGACTGTCCCTTCCTGCTGTGTTATTAAGTACGGGACAGATGGAAGATGAAGAAAATCGTTGTGAGATATGCAGAGAAGCGTGGAAAACCATGTTTGACATGGCCACCACGAAGTTATCAGCAGTCCTGTGGCCCCATCGTGAGCAATCTTCGATACCACTCTCATTATAAGTGGAATTGGAGGGAAGGTGTAGAAAGTCATATTGTTCCACAGGATCATGAAGGCATCTCCTGCTGATACCCGTCCGATTCCCGCTCTGGAGCAGAAATTCTCACATACCCTGTTCTGTTGGGTAGAGACTAAGTCCATGTCTGGGTGTCCCCAACGACGGAAGAGTTGGTCGCAGATCTGTCAATCCAGCTCTCATTCATGGGATGTCGACATGTGTCTGCTCAGCAGATCGGCTTCAACATTGTCCATACTGGCTAGGTGAACCGCTATGGGAGTAATGTCCCTCGGGATACACCAGTCCCATATTTGCATCGACAGTCGAGCTAAGGTAGCCAACTTCGTTCCACCCTGCTTGTTCACGTAGAACACCGCGGCGATATTGTCTGAGGTTATCTGAACAAGCTGATGTCGAAGTATGTCCTCGAAGGATCATAGAGCCTTGAATATTGCCATGAGTTTGAGATAGTTGATATGTTTTGTCAATTCCTGTCGATCCCAAGCACCCTGAGTGCGCAGAGTGGAGCACACTGCTCCCCATCCGACCATGGATGTGTCCGTACAAAGAGTCACTGTAGGCTGTGGGGGTCGAAATAGAATCCCCACATTCAAATATGCTGGAACTGTCCACCATATCAGGGATCGTAGGATGGCAGACAAGAGTCAGATTGGCTTGGTAGGCAAGTCCTGTTGTGGTCAGAACATCTTGTTGAAACAAAGTTGGAGAGGGCGGAGTTGAAGCCTGGCGTATGGAACTACAGGTACCGAAGCAGCCATATGTCCCAAAAGTCTCTGGATAGATCGGGCAGGAACTGTTCTGTCCCGCTGAATATGATGAATGTGTAGACCAAGGTTGTATTGTCGGTCCCGAGGGAGAAATGCCCTCGCTACCATGGAATCCAAACGGGCTCCAATGAAGTTGATTATCTGCGCAGGAATAAGAGAGGATTTCTCAAGGTTAATACAAAGGCTGAGGTCCTCTAGCAAGGCACAAGTCATGTGAATAGAGGAAAGAAGGCCTTCTCTGGTCTGAGAGACTAGCAACCAGTCATCCAAATAAGGGTATATTTGAACACCCCTTAGACGGAGATATGCGCAGACTGGAGCCATGCATTTTGTGAAAACCCTTGGGACGGTAGCCAACCCGAAGGGAAGCACAGTGAATTCAAAGATTTCTGAGGCAACAGCAAAATGAAGGAAACGCCTATGACACGGATGAAAGGAGATGTGAAAATAGGCATCCTTCAAGTCCAGTGAGGCGAACCAATCCTCTCTCCTCAACAACGGTAGGATATTTTGAAGAGTGGTCATTCTAAATTTCTTTGGTGTAATAAATTTGTTAAGCTTTTGTAACTCCACTATAGGGCGGAGACCACCATCCTGCTTAGGCACCGTAAAATATCTCGAATAGAATCCGTGGAGTCTTTTAGATCGAGATAGCTGACGAATTGCTCCTTTGCGAAGAAGCTGGTGAACTTCGTCCAACAATACTGACAAGCATGGTGTAAACCGGATCGGACTCAATGGAGGAACAATGTCAAATTCTATTTGGTATCTGTGCTGTATAATGGATAACACCCACCGATCAGATGTGATGGACTCCCAAATGGGGAGTCGGTCTTTCAGCCGGTCCCCAAATGAGAGAGGGAAAGGTGGGAACGGGAGTAGAGGAAAGGTTCACCTGGCCCATCAGCGTTGGCGTTTATCACCATCAAAACGGTGACGGCCTTGTTGGAAGCGCTGAGACTGCTGTTGTTTGCAGCGTTGTTGACGTTGCGGAAACTGTTGCCTGGGTTGATATTGTTGTCGGTATGTCGGATGGGTCCAAGACCACTTACGTCTTTGTTGAGGGTGTAATTCCATACAACGAGCTGTCATCCTGGACTCGTGTATCGATTTCAATTCGTGCTCTGTCTTGGAGTTGAAAAGTCCAGACCCGTCAAAAGGCATCTCTTCAATTCTCTTCATCTCCTCCAGGAAGTTGCAACTTTGCAACCAAGCGTGTCATCGGAGGGAGATGGCATTGACCAGAGCCCTGGAGTCAGTATCGACGTGATGCCTAGCCGTCGAGAGTTGTTGGATTGCGACCTGCATGGCTTCTTTTACGAAGACCTTTGCTAGGTCACCTTGATTGTCCGGGAGAGCCAAAATGATGTTATCCAGGCAGTGCATTATAAAATATTGGTAGCACGCCAATGTCGCCTCATAATTGGATATACAGAGGCCAAGCCCTGAGGCCGCATAGACTCGGCGTGCAAGGGAGTCGATCTTCCTCTCCTTGTCGTGGGGAGCCATGTGACCCCTTGACTCTCTGCCCTGCGAAGACTCCACCATGACTGAGTTCGGTTTAGGATGTTGTAGGAGGAACGGGATGTCCTCCTCACAAACCCGGTACATGGCTTCGTATCTCCTTGATGTCGGTTGAAGATGAGTGGGCAGATCCCATGGCTGGGTCATCGCTTGACGCAAGATGATAATTAGCGGCAGAGCGATAGAAGTCGATTGTTCACCTCGAACCACATCATAGAATCTGTTGGTGCTGGGACTGGGCTGTTGTTGAGCCTCGATCTCCAGCAACCGAACCAGTCTAGACATCAACTCCGCAAAGGAGATGTGTGGCTCTTCTGGTGATCCAGGGCCCTGAGATGTAACCACCACATCTGGGGAGGTGGAATCGACTTCAGACTCATCCGAGTCCACTCTGTAAGGCACAGGAGCGCTGGAGGAAGAGTCTCCTGGTGACATGGATCGACTGCTCTCCCTTTGACCTGGTGCCAGTAGTGCGTCTCTCGGAGCCGACGAAGAAGGACGATCCCGAGAAGCCAGCAGAGAAGGATGGTCCCGAGGGCCCGGGTAGAAACCAAATTAACGGTAATCTCCCCATCCCGAATAATAGGAATAGCAGGGACGGTCCCATTCATCAGAGTGCCTCTCAGATGAGCGACTTCGGTGTCTAGGAGGAGGCATCTCCATCTCCGCATCCAACTGTGCCGGTGGCATAGGCATAGGGGACCTAGCTCTAGGTGGGGAGTCACAGACCTCTCCGTCTGAGAGCAACTCACGTTGAGGAGCCTGAGGTTGTTGAGGTGGCTCACTTTCTGTGGCCGCCTGAAAAGTCGGGCCTGATGGGGTCGGTACCACGACAATGGTCGGGACCGAGGGCGCTGACAAGCCCGATTCGCGATGTTGAACATGCTCGGGCTTTTTAGATCTGCGTGCCGGCTTCTCAGCCTTATCTCTCTTGGCCTTCTTATGTGCAGATGGCTTCTCTGAGCCAGTGTGCTTCCTTTTTTCCCGCTGCTTTTTGGGCGGGGAAGCAGGCTGATCGCCCACGGTTAACGTGCCTTCATCCGAAGGGCGTGAGGGAGGAGCAGCAGAAGCAGGGTGTTGCAGCGGCACAGACGAAGTCGGGCGGCGAGTAGAGGCAGCCTGAGTAGAAGCAGATCTCGCAACCAGTCAGTCCGATTACATGAGAGCCTGGTCCCATAATAGCCTTCGCAAGCGGTTCTTTCTGTTTTTTCTGGCCTGCTTAGTGAAGGCCTGACAATGACCGCAATTATCCGTCCTGTGACCTTCCTCCAAGCAGAGGAGGCACAGGTCATGCGGGTCTGCCGGGGACATCTTAGACCCGCACTCCAGACACTTGCGGAATGCCACCCATTGTGCCATCACAGAAAAGAAAGAGAGAGGATAGTGCAGCGGGAGTAGATAATATTTTTGGTTTGTTTGTTTTTTATAGAAGAAGAAAAGACGAACGAGAATAATAACTGAAGAACTATACTAAGGATATATAAACTTGGAGAAGAGAATGAGAAAGCAGTAACAAGGAAAAAACGGGTGAGAAATTATCTAAGTGAGAGCGAAAGCAGCACGAGGCACAACGAACGGCAGTCGCAAAGACTGGGAAAATGGCGGACACTCTGCTCCATATATACTACTGAGGGGGAGGGGAGCAGAGTTCCCGCCAAAACCGTTAGCTTTCAATCCTCCGGCCTAAGGCACTGTGCAGGTGCAGCACCCATATGTGTGATGCACAGAGGCCACAACGAAGAATGTTCATTGGGTCAGTTCTATGCAGCTAAAGAACGAAAGGACTGCTTGTACTTTAGAAACTGGGGTCCTCTTGGTCAGAACTAAGGCAGAAAAATGCTGGGGTAGGGATTGAAGGACTACTGCTCTCATCCCACAGATTTATTTTTTTAAAGGAGAAATGTACTGAGCTATTAAACTGCAGTTTAAGTTAAGCAGTCATCCCATAGCAATAAAAATATTCTTGAAGCTTTGGTGATGGTAAAGGAGCCCAACAAATGGCAGGGCTGGATGGGGCTTGCACACAAGCAAAACAAAGGGCTTTCTGCCTATATTGGGGCTGTGAATGAAGGATTATGGATATGGATATATGACATATATTGAGAAACCAAGATAATATAAACTAAATTCTTAAATCAATTTACAGAAATTAAATCCACCAGCTGTTTCATTTCTAGAATTTCATCTAACATTCTCCCTTTGAGGGAAGAGTGAACAGCATAGGGAAATGCTTTGCCTCTGGAACTGGGATAGCCAAATTCAAACTTCCCACATGTTTGTGATGAAGGTGGGGAGTTGTCTGGGGAGACAGGCTTCAACAGGCAGAGATGGGCTATGAGGTCCAAAACACTCTTGTAAGCCAACAGTCCCCTCATCCAACACCCATTCTGAAGGCAAACTGATGAAGCTCAGAGACAAATATCTTTATCAGGAAACCAAATATTAGGCTGAGGTAGGATCTAAGTTCCAGTGACAAATCAAATATATGTCTGCCCCTCCCCGAACCAGAACAAAATATGCTTCCATTTCAAGAAGATGATTTTCAGAGAGGAAAGAGACGGCATCAAATGTTAAACCTCCCACACTATAAACAGTAAAACACAAATACTGTATATCAATACAGAAACCCCAGGCAAACTGTACACCACAGAAACACATGCAAAGAAGGCAAGGCAAAGAATGTCTTCTCATTTTCCTTTCTGTCTAGCATCTCCCAAAACCTCCCTCTTCCTCTATAGCTTATCTTTCTCTTCTTCTAGATGTGTTGGCATACTAAGCTGCAGCCGCCCACCATTCTTATTTTCGAGGTTTGCCTCCACATGGGTCCCAGCAGCATAGTTGGAAATAAAGATGGCACTGGAGGCCAGCACTTTATTTTGCAGTGTGTCAGCCTCTCATGTTTAAAAGTACCTAATAAAATAAAAATCAGGAGGGACTGAAACCATAATGGATGCCAAGAGAGTGCTTGCAGGCAGATTGGGTGCCCTGTGGCACCATGCTGGAGATTCCAGGACTAGATGAACTCCAAGATCCCTTTCAGCTGTATGATTCTAAAGCCTCTTTCCTCCACATGAAGGGTGAAGCCTACCTTCTCGGCACCAGAGAAACAGCCTTAGCTGTGCTCCTCCCCGCAAGGAGAAGAGATATTCACAAGTAAATTCAGAACTCGCCTTTGCCGCCTGCCCCACACCATTCTATTCAGAATATTAACTTACCATTTAAACAATCTGCAAATAAAGGGCCGTAAGAGACATGCTGTGGCCCAGCTTCAATTCTACTGCCCTACCTTGCCTCTCTGGCTCACTCTGCAAAACACTCACACATGAGCACAAATCCAGCACAACTGCAAATATTAGGTGTACCTCATAAAGAAGCTTTCCTGCCTTAAGCGACTGCTCAATCCCTAGAACAGATAAAAAAGGAATGACTCATTAATATTCTTTAAACAGACAGACTTTTTAAGCATATATAACACTGGTTTTAGTTTCTGTCCCAAGAAGGAACCTGCACCAATGTGGTGCAAAAGAGCAAGTCCATGTTTAAACAACACTGCTAGCTAACTGCGCTGCTGCACATTGTTAGGAACTTCTTCATCCCTACTTATTACAGATTTCAAATCTATTGAAATCAAGAACATTAACTGCATAGCAAGTGAAACAATTTATGGCTAACTTTTGGAATCAAAATGCAGGTCTTGCTAAGAGCTACCTTACTAAAGATGCACTTAAAAACTTTTAAACTGAAGTGCAAATTCAAATCAAAGAAAAATACAAAACCAACAACCAGGATAAAACAAAATGAAATCAGTTGAACATCTGTTCATTTGCTTCCCCTACTGAAATCCCAACTTCCCAAGCACAGCAAGTCTTGTTCTTTTCTTCTTCTTGCCCCCCATGATTTTACTAGACAGTGCCCTCATTTTCCAGCCATATGAACTAAAGTGGAAGTTATCAGGGTGGAATTCTTTGCCTGCTGTTAAACTCTGTGCTTGGATAGCACAATTATGGGATGTGAAGTACAAAACCTAAACTGAAAGTTGCTTAGAGAGGACAAAAATGCTTAGAAGAAAAGCAACACAGAAGAAAGTAGTGTTAGGGCCCAAATAGATAAAGGTATTGGAAAATCTAAGATCGGATTGCTTGCAGCTTTGTCTAATTCAAAGAAACCAAAGGTACATGTGCATACGTGCAAACTGGTCTGGGACAGCAGCACTGGATTTCTGCTGTAAGTGGTCCAATGCTGAAGCTACCTGCCTCAGTAAGATAAAATACAAAACCTGTATGGCATGTTTATGTTTCCCCTATCATGCAAATAGGTGCTGAGGAATTTGGATTTTGAAAAACAGATCATTGAGGGAAGAGAGATCACCCCACAACCCAATGTATGCTCCTCCAGTTTGGTCTCTCCAAGGCTAATGCAAAATGAAACCACAGTGGGAAATCTGATCATTCTGATTACGTATTTTTCAGCATCTAGTTTGGCCTTCTGTTGACTGTGGCAAACACAACAGAGTCCTACAATGACCTATACAACTGGTCTACAAATTTTGGGAAATTATCAACCTCCAAGATAAAATGTGCTAATTCTTACATATTTTGAGTAGATGAATGAGAAAACAGGTGATAAAGGTGCTGGTTGGCTAAAGTTTTCAAGATATTTACAATAAAGAGTTACACACAGGCGAGTATATTTGCCTACAAGGGAGGGAGGTGTCTGATGATCATGATGCCTCGTGACTTCTCAACAAAATACGGTAGAACAATGAAAATGGTACCACATGGAAGTGTATCAATTTATCTTCACTTTGAGACTAAAGATTATTACCTAACTGTAATTTATTGTTCTTTTATTGTAAGGTACATTTTTCTTGGTCAGACCTGCACATCATACAGTTACATCTGGTGGCTTGTGAAAGTGTCATTGCTTAACATTTCCAAGGAACAGTTGTGTGATATTTTCCCTCAGAAGCTGAGATGCCTCAAAACTGGGTAAACAGCACAGATAACTTCTGCTACATTTGTGGCGATGTTACATTTGCATCTCAAAAATGCAGCATGATGGCAGCGGTAAAAAAGGCACGCCACTATATTTTGGATGCAAAATAGGGGAGCAGGACAAGAGTTGGGCCCCTCATTATTGTTGCATTACATGTGCAACTTATCTGCGTCACTGGCTAAACAAGAAGCCATTGGGACTTTCGCAGTCCCAATGGTGTGGAAGGAACCCACCGATCATAGTAGCAACTGCTATTTTTGCATGATTCCCCCAACTGCAAAAGGAATCTCAAGAAAAAAGAAGTGGACTGTGAAATAGCTAAACATTCCATCCGCACTGCATCCTGTACCTCATGGTGAGGACTTGCCAATTCCAGATTCACCAGAATCCTACTCTCTAGACTCAGATGATGATAAAGACGATGAGCAGGATGCAGCTGATCCAGGGCCATCGACATCAACGGACCCAAACTTTAGTGCACTGTATGCTCCTCCTGAACCACATCTAATTTCAAAGAGTGAACTAAATTTATAACGATTGGTGTGGCACCATTCTCATTGCTATATTACATTTTGCAGAAAAGTTATGGAGCATAATCGCACATTCCTCTCATACTTTTGAATTATTTTGATGCAATTTTGACCTGAAGCTGTATCTTGGAAACTGGAGCCAGTTAATACTCAGGACTTAATTTTCCTTTATTAGTGACCCAATTCTGGTAAAATTTAGACCAGTGTGCACTAACGTCTCCATGCTAATGGCCATGCTGCAGAATACACTGTCTTGGGGGGTGTGGCTGCCTCATTTTGTTCTTAACACGTGTTGCTTGTTGAAAACTGTTATTTAGACAAGTCTTTAATTTTGACTTTGTTATGTGCCACTGCTTCCAACTTACAGCAACCCTAGAAATGAATGCCCTCCAAAATGCCCTGTCCTTCACAGTCCTTCAAGACTGTGGCTGCCTTTGTGGAATTGCAGCATCTCTTATTTGGTCTTCCTCATCTTCTTCCGCCTTCAACTTTCCCTAGTATGACTGTCTTCTCCAGGGAGTCTTACCTTCTCATGGTGTGTCCAAAGTTAAACAGCTTCGGTTCTGTCATTCTCCTTTTTAAGGAAAATTCTGGCTCAATTTGATAGAGGACCCTCTTGCTTGTCTTTCTCTTGCCCCAGAGCATTTGCAAAGCTCTCCAGCACAATGGTTTGAATATATCCATTTTTTCCTGTCCAGATTTCACATCTATACATAGTGATTGGGAATAGAATAGTGTGGATGATCTTGGTCACCAGTGAAAAATCCTTATACTTGATGATCTTTTCTAGTCCCTCCATTGCTGTCCTTCCAGGTCTTCATCTTCTTTGAATTTCTTTGATGCAGTCTCTATCTGAATTGATGACTGAGCTCAGGCATGTAAAATCTTTCACAATTTCAATTACTTCACTGTTGCCACTAATTCTGTAGTTATGATTATTATTCTCATAATATTGGGTTACAGTTGTGTTTTTGCACTTTTACTTTCATCAGAAGTCATTTCAATTCATTGCTACTTTGTACCAGTAATATAGTATCATGTGCATATCTTAAAACTATTGATGCCTTTTGCATCAATTTTCACTCTTTCTCCGCTAATCCTAATCCAACTTCCCTTATGAAATGTTCTCTATACAGACTGAAATGATGTGGAAATACAATACACCCTTTTCTGATGCCTTTGCCTATACAATTCTGTTTCTCCATACTGAGGCTTCTTGCCCATGATACAGGTTACATAGGAAGCAAGACAATCAAATGCTGAGGCACACCCATTTGTTTCAGGACAATCCATAACTTCTTGTAACCCACTGAGTCAAAGGCCTTGCTGTGCTCTATAATGCACAGACTGATCATCTTCTGAAATTCTTTGGTGCATTCCAGTACTGAAGTTATATTTGTGATATCCCGAGTGTCTCTTCCTTCTTGGAATCTAGCTTCCACATCATCCATTTCTCACTCCATGTAGGCTAATATTCTTTGTTGCAATACCCTGAGCATCACTTCAATTGCATGGAAAATAAGTGAAATGGTTGCGGCACTCTTTCGCATTCCTTCTTGTGAGCAGTGAAATGTATATGGACTGTTTCCAGTCTGTGGGCCATTGTTTTGTTTTCCATATTTACTGACATATTTTTGTTAGGATTTGGACTGATTCCGTCTCCACAGTTTGGAACAGTTCTATTGGTACCCTATTTACTTCAAGTACTTTATTCCTTCCAAATGCTGCTTCCAACAAGCTTTCACTTCACTTTCTAATATTGCAGGCTCTTCTTCATAGAATCCCTCTTCAAATAAGTCTGACATATTTTTCTCCCTTCTGCACAGTTCATTTGTTTATTGTTTCCAGCTTCTGTTTATCCTGATAAAATAATATGCTCTCCTGTTGGTCTGTCAGCATTCCTAATACGGGTTTGATTTTTTTTTTTTCTTCATTTCTTGGATCTTCTGGAAGAGGTATCTTGTTTCTCTTGTTTTGTTTTCTCTTCTATTTTTTGCACTGGTCATTCTAATAGTTCTTTTCGTCTCTCCATGATAGTCACTGTAAAGTTGCATTCAGGATTCTGGCCCTATTTCAGCCACCTTTTGCTCCTGCTTCTCATCTTAGCAATTGTGTTTCTTCTGTCACCCCTTTAGGCTTTTTTCTTTTTGCTACAGAAGTTGATTTTCTGAATTCTCCCCTAATAATGCCTCTGGGGTCAGTTCACAATTCTGGGGCACAGTCAACTGAGTTCAATAATGCAAATATGTGTTTTACATTGACTTTAAATTCCGCAGGAATATGACTGAAGTTGCACTTCCCATTAGTGATTTTGCTCTAGTTTTGTTCTTAACAGATCATTGTCCCTTTTACAAGCTGCTCCTGGTCTTGTTTTTGGCAGCAAGAATACAGTTTCTCCACCTCATTCTTCCAATTACATAGTCTGTTGGATTTCTACATTGGCCATATGGTGATGTCCATCTATGCATTCATCTGATTGCTAGCCTGAAGTATGTGCTTGCTAAAAACTGCTTGTTGAGTTCTATCTTTCATAGCTAACAGCTTGTTCTTCTGTGCCCTGAAAGGTGAACATGCAAGGGGAGGATACAGAAAGAGTTTGATGAGCACACACACTCACATTTGTAGCTCACCACCCATTTCTGTGCAGCAATTCCGAGGAAGTATTTCAGAGTCCGCTCACAGACTAGATCCTCATCTGAAGATAAAACAGAAAAGATTTCAAGTAGTGCTCAGTTCTAATATGTACAACAAGGAAGGAGGAGCTGGATGCAAAGAGCTAAGTTAGGCATACCAAACAGCTTTCACATGTGCAATGGAACTTTCTTTCAATGCTTTTCTCTTCACACCATACCGCATGGGTAGCATGGGTTGTTAAACACCCAAAGCTGCAGAATCAGGTTCAAAGTTCTTTGGATCTTGGCCAAGGTCTGGTATGCACATAACACTTAGAAAAACCTGTCAGGTACTTTTTAGTATATTAGATAGATTCACAGGTCACAGCAACAATGTCAGAATTGCCTTTCCATTGTGTACACATGCAGACTACCCTTCATGCACATGTACCCTCCCCACTATAGCTAACAATGCTTTTTGGAAGGGAAAAGAAAAAGGGAAAAAAATGTTTTGTTTTTAAATTCCAAGAATTATTTGATGAATCCCTCTCTTTCTCAGGAGAGACGCTAGTAATGTCAACTCAAAATTTTATGCAACTGAAATAGTATTTATCTCTGCCTATGAAGCATAAATCATTTTGCTTTTGGTAGCCATGGATATAAACACAGTTCTATAGTAGTAGAAATGCTACAGAGCTTGTTCCTCCCACTCACTGTTTTTCTACATCTTACAGATTTTTCACTTTACCACTGCAGCCATCAGGGCTAGAAATGTACACTTCTAAAAAGAAAAAAAAAATCAAGAAGTTGTACCTGAGAATTTTGAATTCTGAGTATGAATGACTCATGTCATGTCCCCTAGGTTGAAGCACCACATTCCTATGAGGAGCACATCAGTTTGCATATTTCAGGAGCAGTCCTCAGTACCCCTTCTATACTGCCTTGGGTTCAACAATATCTGACTCTGAGAATGACTCTCTCACAGCTTCTCCTGACCTTCAACCACACAGAGATAAGGAAAGGGCTTTGGACAGATCTGGAACACCAATTAATGAAACCGTGTCAGTTCTTCTGTCTGCCATTAAATCATTTTGGTAGAGGAGCTGCAGGAACTCAATTAGGCAAGAGCATGGAGGCAGTGGCATGAAGCCTGTACAGAGAACACCTGGGCTGCAAACTATGAAGAACATTTGACAATTCCATGTCTTTCTTTTCCCTGGACAGGGTGTAGTTGTTAGCCATAGCAAGCCATCAGCTCCAAAGATCTGACTCTGACCATCCTGCAGCTTCTCCTGACCCTCAACCACACTAAGGGGACAGCAGAAACAGATACCAAGAGCTGAAGTGTCAGTAACCAGCAGCAGAGCCACTAAAGAACAGGCTCTGCCAGACAACTTAAGAGTTTAAGTGACTGCAGCCCTTGCTGGGACCACAGCTCCTTGTGGGAGAATATCCCATCTAGCACAGCCTCAGTATGCTGTCCAAGAACCGGTCTTGCTTGACACAGAACAGATGGCGAGTGCCTTGTTGTGTCTGCTTCCCATGGGCTCACACTTACTGAGGGCAGCTGAATCACAAAAGCAAGGAACACCCTCAGGCTTCCAAGTCAGCCTGGAGTGGGAACTGGCGCCGGGCAACACTTGGTGGATTTTGTGCATTACTCAGGACCTCCAAATCCCCCTTAAGACATCTCATGAATTGCTTTGCTAGCTCAGATCAGGAGACACCGAGTCCAGCATTGGACTAGTCCAGCAGCGGCTGGCTAGGCACGCCTCAGGCAGGCTCCTCAGCTGAGTATGATGGCAGTTCCCATCCTGAGTTGATGTCATATCCGGCATCTGACAATCAGAAAACACATCCGAACATGGAGCTATCACAGCTACTGGCGGAGCTCTGTGAATGTATCTGGAAGAGGCAACATTCTGCAGTCATTCCACTGAGAGTCTCAGCGAGCCCAGCAGGGTGTGTATGCCTACCCAGTCACCCAGCCAGAGAGACAAAGCAGGTAGTAAGTTCTCCGCTCTGGTCCCCACTCACCTGTTTTCATTACTACATGGGTTGTTTCTGCAGTAATGTTATTAGACCAAGTGCTCTCAGTTTTCCTGGCAAACTTTTGTACCAGTCTCTAGAAGAAAAAATAACAATGTATTAGAAATAATGTATTTGGCTTCTCAACAAAGCTTTTTTATTAGAGGAATGCGCATCCTGGTTTTCTGTATAGATGTCTAACATTCAATGCCATTAACATGAATATCTACAATTTAATAATTAAAACTAAAGAGAAGGAAGAGATAAATTTTGTTAAATTAAAAAGGCTTATTAGAATTAAGAAGCCCAATATCTATCAAAAAAAGAAAGCTCTGCACACAGAAAGAAGGCCTTCAGAGAAGAAGCAAGGCAATGCTTCTCACTAAAATGCTTTCTCTGATGTCCAGCCAAATGAGGAAGCCCAGATATGAGATAGAAGCCTCACATTTACAAAACCTGAGCAGGACTGTGAAGAACGGAGGGCATTTATTCATAGGGTTGTCATAAGTTGGAGACCACTTGACAGCACATAACAACAACAAAGCCAAAGTTAAAAGCTTGTCTAAATAACACCATTTCCATCAAGCAACACATGTTAAATACAAAATGAGGCAACCACAATTCTAAGGCAGGGTGTCTCACAGCTGGCCATCACCATGGAGCAAAAGTTATGCTGCAAAGTGCCTCTTCCATTCAATCTTAAGAGCTTTTTCTATCTCACCCACAAACACTTTCTTCTCCTCCCCCCAGCTCCCCACTTTTAGCCTATTGTTACTGTTTGGCATACTGAAGAGGAATTCTAACTCTAAAGCTGGCTCACAGTTACCCTAGTGTTCCACATTACAAATAGTGGCAATTCATTGCCCCACGAAACAGAGAAAAATCCAAATTCTGTTCACTACAGAACTGTTATATTGGCACCTAAATATTTCCTACAGCATGTCTTTCAGATAATTTCCTAGCTCAGGTCAAAAACTAGAATGAGTTGACAGTTTGTCAATAATAATGTTGAATGACTGCATGTTTTCCCTTAGCACCAAATCCTTCTAGATTCTAGCTATGAAGCCAAATTAATATTAACCACAGTTTGACTCACTCCTTAGAGAGAAACAGAGAAAGGACCTGATTTGAATTGTACTCTCTGACCTTTACCCATGCTGCTACTAGCATAGACTGGACAAGCTGTGAAGGGAGTATAAATGCATGATTACGTGCTTACCAACTCGCCCTGGTTTAGACCTGATGCCACCAGAAACATATTCCTCTTGCTGGCCAGAAACAGACTCTTGCAATTCCCTTTGCTGGAACTACAGCATGTGATGGGTGACAACGGAGAGTCTGGCCTTCTGTGTGTCTCATGTCTTGGTGCACTTGACTTGCCTGCATCATATTTGGCAGCGGGAGACCCCTTTGTTCTCTCTTCGTCCAAACAGGTAGAAATTTGCTCTTCAGGCTTTGAGGAAGTGGTAGAATAGCTGCCTGGAGTCCAAAACAGACTTTGGACAGTGGGGGAGACTACTCCTTGAAGGGGCTTTTTGAATTTAGCACTCATTTTTGCTTTATGTCCTGGAAGAAGAAAAAAAAAACCTCCATCACTAAAGCATTTCGCTATGCCATGTATATTTCTGACAGGCAAAAGATGTATCATCTTAGTGACATTTATTTGTTTTAGTTATAGCCTGCCTTTTTTACCTTCCAAGAATTCAGAGAGGCTTATATAATTCTCTTCCTTTTCTCAATCTTATGCTCACAACAACCCTGTGAGGTAGTTTTGGCTGAGAGTCTGGGACTTAGACAAAAAGTCATCCAGTGAGCTCCATGCCTGAATGGGGACTCGAATTCAGATTTTCTGAGTCCCAGTGAAACACTCTTAACAACTACACCAGTGATAGTCACAGTATTGCTGTGATGATCAAAAGATGCTTGTTCTATATAATTTTACTTACCATATTGATTAGGAGAACGTGAAATATATGAAACAGAACAATTATACACTCTGGGTAGCTATTAAATTTTAAAGTATAAATACTTAAGCTTAATCAAAAATAATTGCAAATATATTCAGTGTTTCAGACAGAGCTGTAAAAGGCTTTCCTGCAAGGTACTCAAGAATAACTTAATTGTTGCCAGATGGGAAACTGGGAGCAGGAGTAAAACAGAAGTTTAGTGACATGTCCTCTTTCTCCAACACTGCAAAGTCTTTTTCCTCCTGAGTATTCAAGGGAATTTTAGACAATGAAACAGCCTAGGAGAACACGAGACCTCCCATATTTAAGTGGTCTGGGGACTGTAAACATCTATTTCATTAGTTTGGGTATCCACAACCTCAGCAAGATCACTGTGACAGATTTGCTGAGCACTCTAAGAATAAAACTTGCTAATTTAAGTCAAGAGCTCCAATTTGATGGAGTTGAAGGGTTCATGAATAAGTTCCAAGGTGCAAAGTTTTCAGACGTTGTTTGCAACACTTTGTCAACAAGCTGAAAACTCTTTTAACCAGGGCTGGCTGGATACACCCACCCTCCAAGCTACAGCTAATTACAAAAGGCGGGCATGGAACCTGGCATTCTGTCTCAGAGGGAGGACCTGCATTCTCCTTTTAAAGCAGCAGTGTCTTTGGGGCCTGGGTAGTAGTCTTCCTATCTCTGGCTTACATTCCGAGTCTCCCTGAGGAAGGGGAGGACTCATACTCGTCTTTAAGGGTCTTGCCCCTTCATCCACTGCCACTGTTCCAGTTTCTGTATCATCCTCTTAAGCCAAAGTATCCCTGTAGTTAAGTAAGTCAAGTTTTTCCTCAGTCAAGATCTCAAGTGGAAGCATGATAAATACACAAACATGAGTACACCCTTCCACATAACTGGGTCTGAAGTCCTGTGACATGGATAGACAACCATCTGGGTTCCATGGGCGTATCTGGCCCTTAGAGAAACTATCCTGAGCGCCACAACAAAACTACTGCCATGACAGGCATAGCAAAACACAAAGGATTAGATCAACACACTAAACGACTTATTTGAGCCCACTATTTTCGGCAAGAAGACTACTTCAAGCAATCTAAACTGCTGGTGAGAAAATGTTTTAATACAAAAAACCAATTGGGAGAGAGAGGACACATTTGTGCACCAAGAAGGGTGTCCAGGGAGCCATTGGCACCTAGACACACCATTTTATCTATCCCTTTCCTATGTGCATCACAATCCCTATGGCAGTCAGCTGATTAGGGTGACAGTCACTCTGAAACTCCTGAATCTTCTGGATGCCTGAAAATGGGTCATCTTGGTGTGGTGTCTTTTCCCTGTCATGGAGACAGCTTTATTGTTCTCTCCTGCAGGTGTTTTACAACTGAATCCCCTGCAAGAATCCAGAATAACCTCTAACCTGAAGGAAACTAGGATTGCTCAGTTCTTCATCCTTCTGCAAAAGGCTCTTCATATTGGCTCCCAGCCAAAGTCTTTTTTCTGCTATGATATCAAAATATGTAAGCACTTTGGATCCTACTATTGCAAACTACTGTAATGTTGTTCCAAGAAAGTGATTTGTAACTAAGCTTGTCTTGCCTACACAGAGCCACAGTTTAAGTCAACTGAAAAAGGTCTTGAATAAACCTCATTTCTTAGCATAATATTTATAAGCACACCTGGTTACAATACCAAAACAGTCATGTCAACGGAAAAGTTGATTTTTGACTTTATTTAAGGAGAACAAGTTAGCTTGATAGGCAGTCACATTACTATCACAGAATTAGTAATTCATTTTAAAGCAGCCATGGCAGCAGAGAGCAAACTTAGTGTGCATAAACTCTACTACAACAATGCAAAATTAATTCTGTAACTCATCAGTGGCAGAATGCACAGCGTGGTATTCTCGTGAACTGAAGAAAGGTTAGTATTTAGACTGAATGGATAATAAAAGCCCCAAAAGAGGAGAGTAAATTGGAATATTCCTCATCAGTGAACAGTGGGTTCACTGAGTTACTCATCCCACTTGCTCTAGAAGCAAGACAAATAACATACTTCACAGGCTGTCCCTTCTGGTGAGATAGCAGTTGTTGCTGCTATGCGGTGAGTCCCAGGAGCAGCAGCTGGCCAGAATTCTAGGTGGCAGGGCCACAGAAGGAGATGCTACTTTATGAGGCACTGTTTAGACAAAGAGAGGAATATGGAGGAAAACAAGACAAAGGCAAACAGAGCGGGGGGGGGGCGGGGGGGGGAATGGACATCAGGGAAAGAGAGTGAAACCATGAAGAGGAAAAGACCAGCAAGTAAGTAGAGGGATGGGATAACGTCAAGCCAAAACAGATGTCTAACCTGGTTCCTGCAATTGTTAATACCTGGGGCAGAGGATTAAGACCTGTTAGGAGTGGGAGAGAAGACAGAGAGAGAAGGTGGGGTAATCTATACAAGCAGGAAGAAACAAAGACCAGAAATGCAGTTGAACAGATACCTAGCAGAAGAACCTGCTAATTTTCAGGGTGGATGAACTACTGGGAAAAAACACAGTCGCATGCAGTGAAAGCTGACTAGTTGGGTCTTCAGTGGATGTGCAAGAGGGCTAGTAAAAATTCCTCTCTCAAGGAATAGCACCAGGCTAGGGTCAAGGAAGAGGAACTCCTGGCCCAGTACCTACAAGCTGAAATGCAGGCCACTAAAATACAGCCTCTCCTTGAGCCTGCTCCCTCAACCTCAAGAGCTTCTAGTAATCCTCCCTCTGTGCGTGTTTGCATAGTTCGGCATCTGTGTGCTTCTGCAGCTTATGAATTTTAGAATGTAACTTACAGTTATTATCACACATCTATTATTATGTCTACAACAGAAAATAGGATTTATTTTAAGTTGCTTACAGGTAGAAGGTACTGTGGATTCTTAGCCAGCCTTCTTTGGAAAAACTAAAGGCGCTATCCTACTTACCCTTTGGTGATCTTGTCTGTTCTTCCAAGAAATCAGCTTCTTTATCAGGTAGCATCCATCCTTCTGGGGCAGTACTGTGGCTTCCTTGTTTGAGAACTGCTTCAAGAATAGCCATCTTCTGTTGGAGTTTGTCTAAGTTGATTTTCATGGCATCTCTTTGCTGCAAATAGAGGAAAGTGGAACATGGAGTTTTAACTGTGATAACGGAACAGAAGGCATGACTGCATACCATGTGAAGTGTGGCAGGCAGCTACAAGGAGCAAGGCATTTTCAGCTGTGGCACTTTCTCCCTTGAGAGGTTTACCTAAAATCTATATAATGTTTTATCAGTTATTGAAAACCACAAGGGACATTTTGAAATCAAAATAAATGGCTTAATTACATAAAAAAGGTTTTTTCCTTTGCTTTAGAATGTAGAACCATTTTAATTAAGGTTATTTGATCTTCCCAAGTGGAAGGAACTTTTCACAAAGCAAAGAAGAACCTCAGAAGACAATAAAACTGCGCAACTCTGTTTATAATAGTGGTGGACAATGCAGAGCTCTAGAAGTACAGAAAAGAAAGGAGAAGAGGTGAGAAAGAAAGAAAGAAAGAAAGAAAGAAAGAAAGAAAGAAAGAAAGAAAGCAAGCTGTAGCAATCAATTATTTTGACTCACAGCCCTAGGAGTCAGTGGACTCTCCCAGCCTGACCACAAGCAGTAAGGATACTCTGCACCCTCTGAAGATAATTAACTCATCATGTGTTCAACATTTTTTCTCTTTCATGGGATGTTTAGAACCAATGTCATCCCTGAAGAGGTATCATGTTGTCTCTGAAATCAAGTTTGAAATGCCTGTTGAAGTGCTTGCTTCTCCAGAGAAGGAAATGTACCCAACTTAAACGCTTCTCTGAGGGAGGGTCGAGTGCCTGCCCCTTTAAAGGAGGCAGCAATACGACCGGTCCTGAAGAAAGCGTCACTGGATCCAGAGATGACCACTAACTATTAGATCTGTGGCCAACATCCCGTTTCTGGGCAAGGTGTTGGAGCGAGTGGTGGCGGAACAACTCCAGGCACTCTTGGATGAAACTGATTATATGGATCCTTTTCAGTCCGGCTTCAGACCCGGGTACAGTACTGAATCTGCCTTGGTCGCCCTGTACGATGACCTGTGCAGGGAGAAGGACAGGGGGAGTGCATCCCTGTTGGTTCTTCTGGACCTCTCGGCGGCTTTCGATACCATCGACCATGGTATCCTTCTGGATAGGCTAGCGGGATTGGGGGTTGGAGGCACTGCTTTGCAGTGGTTCCGCTCCTATCTCAACGGTTGATTCCAGAAGGTAGTGCTGGGGGACTATGTCTCTGCGCCATGGCAGCTATGCCATGGAGTACCACAGAGCTCCATTCTATCCCCTCTGCTATTTAACATCTATATGAAACCGCTGGGAGAGGCCATCAGGAGGTGTGGGCTGCGGAATCATCGATACGCTGATGATACCCAGCTCTACCTCTCATTCTCCACTAATCCAGGTGAGGCAGTGGCTGTGCTGAACCGGTGCTTGGCCGAGGTAATAGAATGGATGAGGGCCAACAAACTGAAACTCAACCCAGACAAGACGGAGGTCCTGTTGGTTGGCGGATCGTGCTTCGGAGAGGGTGGATTTGACCTGGTCCTGAATGGTGCAACACTCCCTCTTAGGGACAAGGTCCGCAGCTTGGGAGTACTCCTCGACCCAGAGCTTTCTTTGGAAGCTCAGGTGACAGCGGTGGCGAGGAGCGCCTTCCTTCAGCTTCGGCTGATTAATCAGCTGCGCCCCTACCTGGAGTACGACTGCCTGGCAACGGTGACACACGCGCTGGTGACTTCCCGCCTAGACTTCTGTAACGCGCTTTACGTGGGGCTTCCCCTGAAGACGGTCCGAACACTTCAACTGGTGCAAAATAGAGCTGCCAGGTTGCTGACGGGGACGGGGCGTTATGCTCACATGACTCCAGTCCTCCGTCAGCTTCACTGGCTTCCCATTGAAGCCCGGGCCCAATTCAAGGTGTTGGTTATGACCTATAAAGCCCTAAACGGCTTGGGTCCTGGCTACCTGAACGAGCACTTACATCCGTATATGCCCGACCGCCCCTTGAGATCTGCGGGAGAGTCCCTTCTCCAGGAACCCTCCATGAAAGAAATTAGGAGAGTAAGTACTCGGAGGAGGGCTTTCTCTGCGGTGGCAACCAACCTATGGAATTCACTCCCCAAAGAGGTCTGCCTGGCACCGTCGTTACTGGTTTTTCGGCGCCAGGTAAAGACCTTTTTATTTAAACATCATTTTAATTGTTAAAATATATGGTCTGGCCAGGGCAACTTCTTCTTCCTTCTCTTTCCTCCTCCTATATTCTTTATTTACTTATTTTATACTGTTAATTTTAATTTTATATGATTGTATCTCAGTGTATTTTTTGTATTTATTGGTAATTTATTATGTTCTATTGTATTTCAATGTATCTTATTGTGTTGTAAGCCGCCCCGAGGCTTTGGCAAGGGGCGGCATAGAAATGTTATAATAATAATAATAAAATGGCAGACAAAGGTAGAAACAGAAGTCTATCTACATGTCAGCAAAAATTGCACCTTCATTGTTTTTATTACACTGCATTTATATCCTGCCATACTTTCTCTGGAAAGGAACCTAAGGCAGCTTACAAACTTCTCCTCCTCCCCATTCTATCTTAACAACAACACTGTGAGGGAGGTTAGGCTGAGAGTTTATGACTGGTTCAAAGTCACCCAGTGCACTTTATGGCTGAGTGGGGACTACAACCCAGATGTCCTGTGTCCCAGTTCAGCACTCTTAACCACCACACTACATCAGCTCATATTAGTACACAAAGCTGCTGAAACGGCTAAACAGCCAGAGGAGTGCTCAGTGGAAATGAAGCCAGTGCAAATAATTCATATGAAAGGGAAAAACAACTCAGATTCACCATGAGAGGGTGCTTTAAATCATTTTTTCTAAGGTTGATGAATAGAAGGAAAACAAAAACATAATCAGACTTACAGAAATTCTTTGGATACCTGAGAGAAATGTTAAGCATCCTCCATAGCTGTAAGAACTGTCACTACTAGAATGTCTAGGGGGAGAGCAAAAGTAGCGGAGTGACTGCCAGTCCTTGTGAAAGGAGTGCTTATGTGAGACAATAAGATGGTGTTGTGTTGATGCAGGTAGGACAGTGGTTTAAACCGCTGTGCTGCTAGGCTGGTTGATTGAAAGGTCGCCGGTTCAAATCTGCACAAAGGGGTGAGTTTCCGTTGCTCTGTCCCAGCTCCTGTCAACCTTGCAGTTCGAAAGCATGCAAATGCAAGTAGATAGAAAGGTACTACTTTGGTGGGAAGGTAACAGCATTCCGTGCACTTCGGTGTTCAGTCATGCCGGCCACATGACCACAAAGACTGTCTGCGGACAAACGCTGGCTCCCTCGGCTAGGAAACGGAGATGAGCACCGCTCCCTAGAGTCAGACATGACTGGACTTAACGTCAAGGGGAAACCTTTACCTTTACCTTTATGTCGACCACATCTGTCTGAATAGATGAGACAAAGTTTGCTTCAGACAGCAAGTGGTCCCATCTCTGAAACTATTCTCAAAAATATGATAGTAGCAAGAAAGGCTAGGTTGTTAACCTTAAACTATGTTTTTTGAGTGGTAATCTGTGCACTCATCAAACATATGGATTATGTACCTGTTCAGAAGAGTCAGGTACATTCTACCACTGAACAGTTAGGCCAGAATCCTACCCATCCCCTCTGTGTATGCACAGGATGTGGCATCCACCTGTCTCAGGAAGGCTGCATGACTTCCCAGCTAATCATGTAAAGAACCACAGTTACAGGTAGGAAACATGTCCTCCTACTTCACTGTCTGTGGTTTACACATACAGCTGAGTGAAAGGCAAGAGACTCACTAAAAGGAGGACATGTCATGCTACAACTGCAGAAAGGACCACACTGCCAGACTGCAACTGCATGAGCCCTAAAGCCTAGGTGATAATATTTGATGAAGGCAGATGACTGAGCAGAAGTTGCAGCACAACATATCTGTGGAGGTGGAATACGTCTCAGGAACACAGAGAAGAATACTAAAGGAAGATGTACTCCTTGGTAAGCAAGAGGTATTGGTGATGTGTCACACCATAAAAGGTGTGAAGAAACAAGGAAACCTTATTTAAGCCAAAATGGTAGACAAAGAGATGAGAGTATAAAGGATAATGTTCTGTTTCAGTAAAATTATAGTATTCTGCTAGCATCTAAAGAAGTTTGACCACCAATGGGGAGGTAAGTCAAGGAAGGAAAGATAGTTACACAAAGTCATGAACTAAATGGAACTGCAACACAACACTGGAAGTAAAATAAGTGAAATTTGCATGAATAAGAATATTAGATCTTTAGTTTTCAAAGAAAGAAGTCCAATCTGTGAATGAGACTGCAAGATTCTAGATTCTGTTATAAAAGGGTGCCCCTTCCTTTCAGTGGTGTATGAGGCTCAAGTGGATGGTTTGCAGGAGGCTCTCATCACCTCCAAAAACTCCCTTGGAGAATTGATTAAAACACCCAGTCTCCACGTAGTGAGACATAGATTTTCCAGATCAGAGTGTCTGAACTTCCCTTCATTCATCTTCAGCAGGCATGAATGTTTCTTGTTACATGCAATCAAATCAGCTCTGTACTTTCAAATACATTATTATTTTTTGCTTCTAGTTGGGAAGACTGACAGCATTTGGCTAATAACATTACTGCAGAAACAACCCACGTAGTAATGAAAACAGGTGAGTGGGGACCAGAGCAGAGAACTTACTACCTGCTTTGTCTCTTTGGCTGGGTGACTGGGTAGGCATACACACCCTGCTGGGCTCGCTGAGACTCTCAGTGGAATGACTGCAGAATGTTGCCTCTTCCAGATACATTCACAGAGCTCCGCCAGTAGCTGTGATAGCTCCATGTTCGGATGTGTTTTCTGATTGTCAAATGCCGGATATGACATCAACTCAGGATGGGAACTGCCATCATACTCAGCTGAGGAGCCTGCCTGAGGCGTGCCTAGCCAGCCGCTGCTGGACTAGTCCAATGCTGGACTCGGTGTCTCCTGATCTGAGCTAGCAAAGCAATTCACGAGATGTCTTAAGGGGGATTTGGAGGTCCTGAGTAATGCACAAAATCCACCAAGTGTTGCCCGGCGCCAGTTCCCACTCCAGGCTGACATGGAAACCTGAGGGTGTTCCTTGCTTTTGTGATTCAACTGCCCTCAGTAAGTGTGAGCCTAAGGGACGCAGATGCTAACAAGGCACTCAGATGAAGGACAAGGTTTGGCTCTGGCCAAATCTTCCCTTTGCTACCTAGGCTCCTTCTCCGTTCTCCCACAAATGAGCCTGGTCATGTACAAACTAGACATTCTAGTCCCCTGAAGATCAATCCTGTCTTTGAGATGTCAACTCCTCAATTCATAGAATACCACAACCTACCCCTGCACAAACTGACTGGCACAAGAAATACCATATGGTATGGGTTCTAAATGTGAAGTGGCTTCAGGGCAAGCTATACTACTCAGTGTATTGGACAGGCAATTGGCCTAACAATCAGTCTTGGTCCAGTAAACTACATACATGCCATTGTCAATGTCTGCAGTTTCCACATGCTTACTTCAACAAACCAGCACCATGAATGAGGCAGCTGGAAACTTTTTGGAGAGGAGAGTTATTATGGGGATTTACAAAGCAACACAGCTCCTCTAGTGGCCTGATGGAGAGTGTAGCCTTGGTTACTTGCAAGTCCTTGTAGAATGGCATCAGATCTGTTGGTGCTTGCAGGATTTAGTCCAGTACAATCATGCAGACCAGCTGGGAGCTACAAGAGATTCTATAAAAACTTTCTTGGTCCTGTCCACCAACACAACTCTTCATGTTGGCTGATTTGCATTTCTGATCCAGCTTCTTCTTCCAGTCCTGCAATGTCTTTACTAGGGTTTTGACTTGAGTCCTGCCATGTCTTGCCAAGATCTACCCCTTGCCTATTCCTGATGCTGCCTTCACTTTTGGCCCTGCTACATCTTACCAAGTTCACTATCCATCTCCATCACCCTAGTCCTGTTCCAGTTGAGCACAGCAGCTGCTTATGACCAGAAGGTGACACCAATGGGAAAACACAGGATGTAGTAGAAGGCCTCTAATGGGAAAAGGGAACACTGAGCTTGTTTGTCACCACAACAATTCTATTTGTGGCATTCCTTAGCCTCTGGAGAATTGGAGGATCTTGGAGAGGGGAACTTGTAGTCTCAAAAAATTAGGAAGGAGATGGAGAATGCATCATGCCCTACCACCACCTCTCCGGACATTGCTTTTTTGGATGTGACTCTGAACATGGGAATGGATCTGAAATGCTTCCTCCAGGGCGAGTCCCTGGTGTCATCTGATAAGCCCCCTCTCTGTTTTGTAGCAGAATGGGAGAAGCTAGGAAGTGTGACTTGCTATAGCAGTACTCCCTGGCAGCTGAGAACATGACCATCTATGTTGCCCCTTGTAAGATCTCTTAGGATCAGCTCCTATATAGCAGGAATCAGAAAGAAGATACCCCACGGTAGCTGTCTTTGTGTCTAAGTTTGGGAGACCGCAAGATTGCTTATCTCCTTTTTGGGCAATGGCTCAGTACAGCTTCCCTGGATTGCCTATACAGTGGTGGGAAGAAGCATTGGGAAAATCTTCTGGTGTGTGGCCACAGAAAGCTGTGGCCAGGGCTTACATATTCATAATGGTGGATGGTGGATGGTACAGCTCCCTGAGACACAATTAACTCATGGTGGGCTGTCATGTCATCCAAACCAGGTCAGATTCTGTCTTGCCTAGTTGCTCTTTTCCTGTACCATGAATTATGACTTACCTTAATAATACAATCTTACCTAAAAGTGACAACATGATTATACTCCCAATAAAGCAGCCAGTTTGCCTTCTATCAGCTTTCTGAAAAGTTTCCCTTCTCCGGATCGTAACCTACTGCAGTTTGTTAGCACTGGTCCCTCCCAACCATATTTGAAAGTATGCATCACATACCTGTGTGCTGAGGATCTCATTCTGGGACGATAGTCCTGACGAATCCCCCATATGGCTAGCTTCACTGTCATAGTCCATGTTCTCTTCACCTTCAAAAGTTCAAAAAAAATTAACATGCAGTAAATTGGAGAGCATAGAGACACAATTCCCATATAGAGTCCTTATCTTTATTGATGCAAGTGAGGATCCAAAACACCCTCCCAGGGTGGAAAGCTTTTCCTGAAAGAGGAACAACAAAGAGGAGGGTTACCTAACCTCAGAGTTTCCTTGTAGTGGCAGAGCTTGAACTAAAAGTATACAAAGTGAAAAGGCTATAGAAATATTCCCATTTCCTACATGCCAGGAATGAATCTTTAGATAACTGGGATTCGGCAATGACAGCAAGGTCAAGTAGGGTTCTGCACAGAATTTCAAAAGGAGAAGGAATGGCTCTTCGATGCTCTTTCTGAGGGATGAAAAATTGAGCGAATTTGTTTCATTTTCATAGTTTATTTAGATCTTAAAACTCTGTTTTCCCTAGAAAATATGTCTCTCCATAAAACTGGCTTGAATTTCCAAGGGCTTCATTTTATTAAACAGACACTTGTAAAACACATACCACCTTTAGAAGTGTTAAAAGAACTGTAACATCTGCTTCAGCAGGGCTTCAGACAACCAGTTTTCCCCAGCTTTACCATGGAGTTTTTATCTCTGCTTCTAAGTAATGGAAGCCTGCAATGCATCAATAGGTCTTAAACCATTTTAAAGCCATTGGTCAACACTATATCAGAAGGCAGTAAATCGTGTACTGTATGTATATACAGTACATGTATAAAAACCAGTTGTCCAGATTTATCAAGAAACCTCAGGCTATACACTTGTTCTTTTGGGTAATATATAACTTCTAAGAATATGATGTACTCTTTCTATACATTAGCGCAGAGCTAATTCATGTTTTATGAATGAACTATGCAAAATCACAGAGGGGACAGGTAAAAATTCTTATGCATTTCTGTGTCTGGGCATACGGTTTTCAGACACAGGCTTTCTCATAAAACATATTGCAGCCTAGACTCATCTTTATCCCACTGAACTGTTGAAAGGATTCAAGTTGCAGATGGGTACTTAAAAATAAAGTAATTATTATTAAAAATACAATAACATCGTAATCAGTAACAGTAATCACAGCTTTGTACCTAAGCTGAATTCTGAATTCATCTATTTCTACAGTTCTATTGTCCAACATCTCTGGAGAGAACTTACCAATGGGTTCTTCTTTATTCCTGCTGAGACTTGGCAGATTTTCCCTGGAATTAACTTGAGTTAAGTGTCCTGAATCATGAGGTTTGCTACTGAAGTCCGCAGATGCATGTGTTTGGGAGGAAAACAAATTCACTGAACAGTCTGACTCCTGACTTGGAGAGTCATCCCCATCGTTGTATTTCAGGTTACTTTGGCTGCTGCTCTTCCATGCTAGCATCTCAGTTGATGGATTCCTTTCTTGTTGTGATGGCATACTTATTGTTTTACCAAATATTAGTTCTTGAAAGCATGGCAGTTCATCTTCACTGGAATCTTCCTCTTCTGAGGATGGCAACTTCCGTACCCGTCTCTTGCGTGCTGAAATATTGCTTTTCAACTTGAAGCTGCTTCCAGTGTTGCTGTCCCTGTCTGTTTTAGCAGACATGTCTAAGCTATCTTTCTTGTCCATTTCCCAAAGGTTAGGTGAGCTCTCTTTGTTTTTGATAGAAGGACCCAGCAAGCCCTCTGGTGTCTCTAAGTCATCGGATTCCTCCTCCGTGAACTGTTCTACATTCTCACTGGGCAACAGGCACTTAGGAACATCTGGGCTAGAGATATCAGTTGCTTCTCCTATGCCACTGTTCAGTTGTTTTTCTTTCATGCTGCTTTTCTTTTCGATAAAGACACAGCTAAGTTCAGGAAGTGTTGGTTGTGACTGCAGCAATTCTGGCTGAGAGTTTAATGCCAGCCCTTTGATTTCAGTGCCTTCAAATCCTGCTTGCTGCAAGTTGTGAGTACTGGGACTTCTCGTATTAACAAGTGTTAAAGTAGTGCCTTGCAAGTTGCTATTTCTGCAGACACTTGGGATTCTGCTACTACCACTTGGACTTGCAGTTTCCTGCATTATTTCTGGAGATAGTTTTTTTTCAGTTGCTGGTTTCTGACTTTGTATCTGGCTTCCGTTCTCTATATTCTTGCTGGCTGAGTGCTCTGACATGGATGGATGACTTGGGAATGCAGCTTGTGAGAGAAGCTTAAGATTTTCAGTTGTGTTATTCTGTTGAGGGAAATGGGAGGTGCAAGATGCCAGTCTCTGCCCAGAACTGCCTCTACTCACCTCACAAATACTTGCTTCTCGTCTCTTCTCAGAAATCCAGTCTATATTTTCACCTGATTTATTCAAACAGTGGGCTTTGTTGCTTTCCATCTTGCCAACAGTTAGCTCCCTTTGAATGTCTGCAGCAGATTCCTTCACTGGACTTTGATGCAGCAAAAATGACTGGCGTTTGCAGCGGCCGACTATCTTCTGCATGAAGCCTGAATCCAGTTCACTGTCATCAATTTCTGGGTTCAACTCTGAAGTCCCTGTCGCTTTATCATCTGTCTCAGTGTGCTTACAGGTTTCTGTCACATCACCTGTGAAAAATATATCACCCTCTGGTGCCTGAGTACCTAATGCATTCTGCTCATGTTTATCTACAAAACTGGTTTGCTTCACTTCTGTAGGATGAAATAGTGAACAACTATTTTGAGAGTCCGTGCTGGGGACAATACAACTAGGACTTTGGCCCTCTGTAGTTTTTTCATTCTTCAGAAGACCTTTTATACTTCGCATCATAGACGCAGAGGATTCAGGGTTAATACGAGCCTTATTTGCATCACTTTCCTTGTCTATCAGGCTGTCATCTGACAAAGAAATGTCCTTCTGCATCCCGCCTTGCAACATGTTCAGTTTATCTTCTGCTACAGAAGGAGATGGCGTATTCTCTGCTTGAGGCCACCCTTGTTTTTTACCTCCTTCAATCACCTCTTTCTGTTCACTCTTTGCTGGTTCACTTTTCCTCCAGGCTCCTTCTGGCTGTAATTGAAGTCCCGTGTCTCTCTTCCAGGCTCCTTCTGTGATCAGCTGAAGCCTCCTGCTCTGCCTGACTTGCACCTGGCCTGTTCCTCCTTCCCTTGACTCCTCATCATCTATCTGCCTCATGCTTTTCTTAGGAGATTTGGAGCTGATGTCTCTTACCACCTGCACTGCCCCAAGTGACCTACTTAATAGTTTACTTCTCTTACTCAATGAGCTTATTTTCTTCTCTGGATTTTTCAAGTTTGATTCTGACAGTTTGTGGCATCCACTCTGATCATGTTCACTTGCATCATCTTGAAAAATGGATGTCCCTTCCTTGACAAGTACTGTTGACAACTCAGTGCCCTTTTGGTCTGCTACAAGTACATGATCAATAAGAGTAAGGGCTTGGTCACATGCTTCCAAAGGAAAATTTTCATCTCCACCAGGCCTCTTACTACTTTCTTTCATGTCCTGCCTCCTGATGGAGTCATGAGCCTTCCTCTTTCTTGTAAAGATTTTTCTTATAGGTGTATCACAAGATTTTGTGTTCAAAGCAGTATCTTCCTCTTCCTGTAATTGGATTATTTCCTTCTCATTCCAACGAGGGTTTGACCTGCGGTCCCTCTTGTATATTTTCCCAAATATTTTATCTTCAATTTTTGTGGCAACTGGCTTGGACAAAAACTTGCTCTCTTTCCTTCTCATTATGAATTCCCCTTGGTCTTCCACCTGCTCAGTCTTCTCAGAAACACAAGAATCTGCATCTGACAAATATGTGACTGGATCCTGATTCACTTCCTCAGTGAGAACTTCCTGCAGGGAGCTAGAAGACAGACTCCCTTTGCTTTTAGAAAGCCATTCACTGACTTTCTGGATGCTCCGCTTCAGTTTCTTCCCAGGAACTTGACTCAAGGAATTGTCATGTGAAGTTGGACAATGCAGCAGATGCTCCTCATCTTCACACAGATTTTGTGTATTTCCACCAGGCAATACAATGCCAGCATTTCCTGTGCCATTTTCTGCCAGACCATCTGCCAAAGACATTGTCGTTTCATCAACCAATTGCAATATACTGGGTACAAAGCGAAAATCATCTTTGTGTGTGGACGAGTCATTAGGTTTTCTTGCATGTTGCCCAGTGCAGGGTTCAGGAAAAAACAAACCCTGATTCTTGTCCACAACCACATTATCCTCAAGAACTTTAATGTTTTCAGGGCTGCCTTGAATGTCTTCTTTGCTTCCTAGTGCTTCTTCCAAGAACCCAAATGCACCTGTAAAGGGAAGACCTTAGAAATGAGATTGGTTTATCTGTAGTCCTTCCTTCCCTTCTGCTGTTTCTCACAAGAACTGGTATTGGTTCAAGCCTAGCAACTCATTACCCAGAACTTCCATTCACAGCTACCCCATCTTGACCCAAAATTGCTTCTTTAACAAATAAGCTGCGATCAGATGATGGTGCTTCTAAGCGTGCTTAATGATCAACTCTAGATTCTAGTTCTCCTGGCTAAGAATCCATCTACTCTTGACTCTACAGTAATCAGCAATTCTTGGCAGAAGAATTCCTTGTTCTTCCCCCTGCCTCCCACACCCCCGTTTTGACTGAACTACAGTAAGTGCTCAGCATATATTCCCTGCTTTAATTTAAGTACTTTTACTATACCATTAGGTATCCTAATAACTTGTTCATAAACCAGAAATTTGTTAAGTCAAATACAGATTCGCAGAAATGTACAAAGCACTTTTCCACATGGTGTGAAATGCTTTAAAACTGATAAAAGCACATGTACTAAAATAACTGTTGAAAGGTAGGCCTAATACTACAAACTTAGAAATTAATTAGAAATTGGCTCAGCTGGCAATTTCAAGAAGAACTAATTTAATAATAGTTCTATTATTATTAAACATGTTCCCTCCTTCTAATGCTGACTTAGAGAATAGAAAGAATAGAAATCATCATTATAGTTCATATATTTCCTTTCTGAGCATATGGTATGAAAGGCTAAAGTGTGTAAACACTAAACACTCTTTTTAAAAAGTGGGCTTAAACTGGCCACAGTTTGACGGGAAAACAATTTTGTGGGAACCCAAATCTAAGTCCCATGTTAGCTTCCTACCAAAAAATTATCCTCCCAGTGAAAGTGTTCACTCTCAAGGAAATTATTAATGCAAGAAGGTGAGAAATCTGGTTGGAAATGGATACAAGCTAATCTAGATCAGGATCCCATATATCTCCTTTCCCTTCAAAGTGAAAAAGCCAGCTATCCAGCTGCTTAAAAATAAAGCTTAAAGTAGCATACAGTTTGGCAAAACTTGCACATCATAAAGCAAAGAACTCTTGAGGCCAGTTTTATGATATGTAGAAATTAGCACCACAGGCTTTAATTGATGTGCTGAGCTGATTTAACCAATTTCAAAAGCAGATGGGGCAAACGCTGTTCCAAAACAGCAAGTAGTCATTTTGAAATACATTGATCTCAAAGGCAAACTGCCACCTGCATTAAAGATACTCTGAAAAGGCATCTCTTCAAACACTTGTAATTGCTTTAGAACTAAAAAGGCTAGTGAGCAATTCCAAGTGTTTTAGCCTACAACTCTATCAGTCCTAGCCAACAACGCAAATGCTGAGGGATCATAAGGGCTGTAGGCCAAAACTTCTGGACAACTGCAAGTTACCCACCCTTGAACTAAATGATAATATGTCAAGAATCTATGAAACATATGGCTAAGGGTTGGGGGAGAAATTAATTCAGTTCATGTATATATACAAACTGACTTCACTGCACTTCCCAAATTAATACTTATACTAGAACACAATTACCCTTTGGTTTTCACATTTCTTTGAATTTTGCAATATAGTTCCCTGATCCAAAAAGTGTACAAAATGCATACACAGGGGGAAAACTATTCACAAAAAATGAGTACATAAGAGGATTCTGTATGTGGATTTTAGAAAACCCCCCAGCAATTTTATAAAAATGAAACAGCTTCCACTAATTTTGTATAATCAAAGCAACTTATATGTTTAAACAAAAGTTGCCTACCCTAGTCACTCTATACATTAGGGCAAAAGATACTGAACCTGAAGGTATTCTAGTTATGATGAATAACTAGAATAACACTTTGCCAACGAAGTAGAGAATTCCATTAGATATGCCAGATCCCTTAGGTAAGCTGACCTAAGGTCTATCAAGTTAATTAGCATGCTAACTACCCAGAGTTATGAATGAGTCTGGCTAGCACAGGGCATTTAGATTGTAGAGTTAGGTACCCAATCTAGAGAGAAATCCTCATACCTGACTTATTTAATGGTGCCTGATCTTCAACACTTGGCTCAGGAAGTTCCATATTCTTGGCACAACTTTCACCAGCCTGAGATAAAGAACTACTTCCAAATCCCACACTGTAGAGAAGGAGGAAACAAGATGATTCAGATGAACAAGGATTAACTGTTTGACAGCCACTTATAATCAGGCTCAACACTGAAACAGAAGGAACTGATACACACCATCAGTTGGCTGTACCTAAGGACAATAAACCTAGCTCTTATTTTCTTCAGCAATTTAGTTCAAAAGACAGTAATGCTTATCTGGCTGGACAATGTGATTGTTGGGGACCCTGGGAACAGGATCCTAGCATGGGTAGAATTAAATCCTGAATCCTGTCAGCCAAGTACATGCAAGAAAACTTAAATATTAGAGTCAACTGGTCAAACTGGAGGTTAACCGAGTAGAACATCAACAATAATGTGCTTCTGGAAATAGTACATTAGCAAACTGATCATGGACCTTTTTGCATCCCCTACAAACTACATGGTAAACAGATTTCTTTTCAGATACATCACAGAGGACACAGAAAATACAAATGCTGTCAGTCCCCTGGCCTGCAGGCATAACATACATCTTGCCTTTGACATCCATGGTAGCCTGGCTTTCTAGATAGGTTCCAGAGCATGCACATGTTGTTCTGATGGTGTAAAATTGGCAACAAAGGACTTGGTACTTTGATCATGTACAGCTGTGATAAAGTTATGGGCCCTGCCAATAGTTCAGCCAGACTGATCCTTCATCCTTATTCTCTAGTAGTTAAAGCTCTATACCTGGGTCTTGAAAGGCTATTGTTGCAAAGAAAGAGAGGTATAGAAAGATAAAGTTATAAGACTGATGAGGCCACTTTGCAGGCTTTCAGTAAATAGTTAAGGAAGGAAGGGGATTATTCTATTGAAGAAAATGTCAGGATGGAGCAGGCTTTCCTGCATGGATGCATATGTCCTGTTCAAAAACACTTATTGCCCTATCAAAACTCTGTTTTAAAGGGGACCTTAGAAAATGAGCTGGGACACGTTTTTTCTTTCCTGAGCAGCTAGAGTTTCAGGAAAAAAGATGCAATATACTATGGGGTAAAAGGAAAACGAGAAAGATGAGAATCTTACCACCCCCTTTTTAAGAACAAAGATTCCCTGCACTTTTGCTTTCCTTTGACAGCTTCCCTTTTAAAAGTCGTCAAGAGAAAGCTAAGAAAAAATGCATTTGGAACCTCTTTTGGTCAAAGTCCATGGCTGTGCTTGCTACACTTTCATAGCAGGTACCCTTTCCAGACAAGCCCAGATTTCTATACATTGTGAGTGCAAGCTAGAGAGAGCAGGAGAGAGAGAGCAAGAGAGAGATTCTGCGTACTAGAGACTGTCCCTCCAGCATGCCACTTGGTCTCTTTGAAGGGGCTATAACTGGCTGCCAAAGCAGAGACTACAAAAATTGGCTTTCAGGATAAAGAGCATGATCCCTATGGAAAAATAATTGCAACTACAGAAAAGCCATGGTGAGCATAAAAGGCTTATGACTGTGGAAGGGAAAGCCTAGCCAGTGACAAGTGCTCCAAAGTGCCACTGGGGCACTTGTGCGGCAGCTGGCACTGGCCCAGGCAAGCTTGGCAAGATGGGGACGATCATCCAGGATCAGATGATATGCCAACCCATTTTAGATTAACCATCCAACAAATATGAGTTGTTATAGTGGCTTGTGGCCTATGGGAAACAGTCCAAGTTCACATGACACAACAACTCACAGTGGCTTGTCCTCCACAATGAATAGCAGTGCTATGCAAATACAGACACTAATTGATTTTAATGTGGAGTACACACATACCTACCTACAGTCTATTCTGATTTCCAAGACTGACCCAAGAAGTTGCCTATACACCACTATACACCACTAAAATTTTATTAAGACCTCAAGGACACATACACCTGACTGAAACAAAAAATACCATGTTGTTATATGCATGAGCCTCAGTCTGATGCGTCAGTGCTCCTCCTTTGTGTGTGAGGGGAGGAGTAGATCTTACACTCTTGATTAGGAATGACTTGTGATTTATCTTGGCAAATGGTGTTCTTTTTTTCAATCACATTTAATTAACAAGGATATACAACTAGGACAATATCCCATCATGTTTACATACTATGATTTGAACAAGCTGCCATTTCCTAGCTTCACATGCAGCAATAAACTGCAGTGTGTTTCTAATCAGGAATGGAAGCTTTAAATTTCTCCTCTTGCATATGAGTTAATAGTTCATGCATGGAACGATAATCCATGCTTTCTTGTTATATCTGAACTAAATCATACTGAGGCTTTCTTAGTGGCTGAAATTCAGCTCCATTACATTGAAGGCAATTTAAAATGTATTGAACATACAGCTGGGATTAAGCAGGATTAATTAAGATAATATTCTCTTTGGTTTAAATGCAGATTAAAACCAGCAAATTCATTAATACTCCTGTTGACAGCTTCTGAGGCTGTGGTCCATACAGGTCAATAGCTGGCAGTCCCAAGGCTGAATCAAGCTTCCTAAGTGATATCACACCATACCTCTTCCTACAATATCCTTACACATTTTCAAAAACAGTTCAGGAAGAAGAGAAACACTGAATTTTCCATACAAAGAATCTAAGCATTCAGTAAGCAAGAGCATAAGAAGTAGCCATCTTTTACAGAATACTTTTCTTTAGAAGACAGGACGAACAGGGTAAAATTTCCACTAGGCATGTTTTTTTTGCCCTCACATCTGCACTGCATGAGTGGAATTCACTGATCTAGAAGGCCAGAAGTATTATAGCTCCTTCTCTAGGGTGATATAGTACCAGAGACACAGCAAAGGAAATTTTAAAAATACAGTGGTGTCTTGGCTCACGAACACCTTGGTTCACGACCAAATCGAGTCAAAATTACATGAAAATTTTGACTTGGGTCGTGAACTCCACATTGGGTGGCAACCAAGATCGGGGCCATCTCCCCCCCCCCACCCATTGCTGATTGCGTACATGCAGGGAAGACGTGCATAATCATGTCTTCCCTGCATGGGTGCGCTCCTGCAGGAAAGATGGGTGCAATCTCGGCCATCTCCCCCACCCTCCAACCAGCATGAGTGCGGAGATGGCCACGATCGCAGTTGCATTCGTGCAGGGAAGACATAGAGGAGCTGACGACAGAAGAACTTGCTGAACTCCAGAGTGAGCAGCAGAAGGCACTTGCTGAGGAGGATTCGACTGAGGAAGACAGGGAGGAGGTTAGCAGTGATACAATCCATTATGAATGAGTGCCAGGATTTCTTTGAGAAGCACCACTCCAACATAACTGTAATGAACAGAGTGTTGAATCTGATGAATGATAACATGGCCTCTCATTTCCAGAGGGTTATGCAGCACAGGAAAAAACAAGTGACATCAAATGGATTTTTCGCCAAAATTTTCAAAATTTTCCCTGCAGCTAAGAGACAAGGAAGAGAGGAAACCCCTGAAAGAGATCTTCCCAATGTCCTTATGCAGGGGGACTCTCCCTCCAAACAATAACCTCCCCCACACCTAGGTGAGTGTTATCCACTGTACTGTATAGTACTTTGTAGTTCTTTGTCACTTTGTTTCAATTTTTTCTGATTAAAAAGAAAATAGTTACAGTACGGATTAGCCTTATTTCCATTGACCCTTATGGGGAAATTTGACTTGGCTCGCGACCAAAAATTGGCTCACAATCACATTCGGAGGAGCCAGAACGGATTAACCTTATTAACATTAAATCTTATGGGGTGATTTGACTTGGGTCACAACCAGTTTGGGTCAGAACCAGAGTCGTGGAATGGATTAAGTTCATGACCCAAGGTCCTACTGTATTTAAAACCAAGGAGATGTTGACAACATGAAGTGAGAGTTCTACTTACCACCTGACAGCCCCTGCCTTCTTACATACATCTTCAGAGGAGTCTGATCCTTAAAATGACAACAAAGAGATTCAGTCAGCAATTCTGGCTATAGGCCCAGCAGGATCACAACCACTCCTTGCTTTCACACTCCTGTTTTTCCTCAAATATTCCATAAAGACCAGATTGATCCACCCAGCAAGTGTGTTCAGAAAAAAACATTTAAATCAAAAATAACTGCTGAAAGAAGGCTTATAAGAATGGGAATGGTGCACCTGGATCAGCCCCCTCCCCCCAAAAATAAAAAAAAGGAAATGTGAGAGCATGAGGGGTTGGAACAATTTCCCTATAAGGAAAGGTTACAATATTTGGGATTATTTAGTTTAGAGGAATGTTGAGGAAGGGGAGTCATGATAGATGCCTACAAAATTATGCACGGTATGAGGAAAGTAAATAGGGAAGGATTTTATCCTTTATAATAGTAGAAATTGGGTGATCCCATAAAGTTGATTCGTAGGAGATTCAGGACAGATTAAAAGAAGTACTTCTTAGACTGTGCTATCACAAGACTGATTGATGGCCACCAATATGGATGGCTTTAAAGAAGACTGGACTAATTCATGGAGAAGAAGATAACTGTATGCTACCGCCAGCAGCAAAGTCAGTATGCCTATGTACCTCAGTTGCTAGGGAGTAAGGGCATGTGAATGCTGGGTTTCCCACAGGCAGCCAGTTGGCCACTGTATAATCAGAATGCTGGACAAGATGGACTCATCCAGCATGGTTCTTGTTATGTTGGCAGGGAGACCAAAAAGACAAGCCTGAGGTAAGTGACAGGCAAGGGACCAAATGGATGTCCAGGGCATATGACAACTCTGGAAACAGCTTATAGATTAGACAAAGAAAATAAAGCCAGTGCAATGTAATGGCTAGAATGCTGGGTTTGGACAAGGCAAACAAGGCAAATCCTTGCTCAAGTATATTCACTAAGTGGCCTTGGGCAAATTAGGGCAACAAAAACAATGTTATTATATACCAACCAAGATTTGTCATCCCCTTATTGCACAGGTAGGGACCTTTGGCCCTCCAGATCTTGCTGGGCTCCCAAACTCTCATCAGTCAGCCCAGGCAAATGATCTGAGACTTGGGGTTCATCAACAACTGCAAAGTCACAGATTCCCACTTCTGGCATTACAGTAACCTATCTCAGAAGACCACAATATGGCTATCAGTTAAACTAGTGGGAAAGAGGGACAAAATAAAAATGTGGATTTAGGAACATGGGGATGCTTTATCAGAGGATACAGGATGACTATTACTACTGCTGTCATTCTGAGTGACTCAGTTTCACTCACATCCTTACCAAATTCAAAGATGACATCTTTATTAGAATTACTTTTTTTCCTCAGGGAATATCTGTTGCATGGTGGAAAATGGGAGCTCTTGCCCTGTCAAGAGAAGCATAAAAGATGTGGTTACAGGCCTAGAGATGTTAACATGGAATTGAGAACCATGGACAAATTGAGAATTATTAATGAAACCCCATCTTCTTTCTCTCAAAACACAGTCACTTTCCAGTTTTTGTGTGGTTCCTCAGTTGCATCCTAAAATGATAGAAATGCCTCTCCTAAGGCTTAGTTACAGATAATAGGGGCTTTAAGCTAAAATATATTAGTGTTTTTGGATCCCCTTCTTTTGCTGTTGACCTAGGTACCTCTCACCTTCAACTCAATTACCAATGGGAGTATGGTTCTCCAACAGCTTCCATAACTCAGAAAGTAAGATTTTCCACAATCTAATTGATGCCAACTTTATTTACTACACATGAATTACGAGAGACCAGCTACCTCAATTAGTCTAGGTCTGGAGCTAGCAGGTGAGGTGGAAAAGCTGTACAGATCTGCAAAGACACTTTGAAGTACCCTTGTACGGGGAGCACTCTAACCTGAGTGATGTGCATGATGCATTATATAGCAGATCCTGCAAGACATCAGATCTCTCCTGTCAGATAGTAGTGAAGCCCTAAGCCTCCACAGAAAATGGGTGGCAGGTCATCAAGAATCTTGCTGCAAAGAGTAAACTGTCATGGAATCATAGAATAATAGAGTTCAAACTGACCCCTAAGGCCATCAAGTACAACCTGCTGCTCAATGGAGGACTCCCAAGTTAAAACCCCTCGACAGATGCCTAGAATGCCTCCAGAGTGGGAGAATCCCCCACCTTCCTAGGTAATTGTGAATGTGAATAACTTTATTGACTAAATCTTCCAACCATTTCAAACAAACAAGAAAAACAAACCTTAAACCAAAACTTTACATTGATATTTAAAAGCCATATATTTCAGAATATCATACTAAGATTTAAAAATGTTGCATTAGAATGGTCAAACATTATACAATACATATAAGCAATAAGATCTGTAACTAACAGTTGATAAAACCAACCATATACCACACCTTACATATTAACCCTGTTAATGAAATCTGTTAGTCAGTCCATTTTTTCAGTTCTTTTTTCTTTATGCTAGCTGCTCTGAGAGCAAAAAGGGCAACTATCTGAGACACAAAATGGTTGGAACCTTTAAGAGAAAAAACAATTTATCCTTCACTGACCAATTTCTCAGCGCATTTAAGAAATAAGGATAGGTAATGTTCTCTAATGTTCTCTAATTTTGAATATAAGCAGCATTCAAGTAATGTGCTAAATCTTTTACTATAGGATAGTCACAGATACATAATCTGCCTTTCACTGGAGTACCTAGGAATTCATCTTGTAGCATCATTGTATCCATCATTTCAAATCAGAGATGAGTAAAGGCCAAGCACTGGTCCCATTTCATATTAAAAAAACAAATATCTTTCTTTCTTAATTTGATATTTAGTTTTGGATAGCCTTTTCATGGCCCTTGAATTTGACAGTGCAGCTACATCAGTCTGTTTTCTGATATCTGAAATCCTTAATTTAACAGCATTTCTTACATTGGTCCTATGTAATTGATTCCATTGCAATACTGCTCTAACAATCTTGAAATATTTCCTGATGTTCAGCCAAAATTTGACTCCTTTAACTTTAGCCCATTATTCCACACTCTGCACTCTGGAATAACCAAGCAGAGTTCCTGGCCCTCCTCTGTGTGACAGTCTCTCAGCTATTTGAAAAATACTATCCCTTCAATCTTCTCCAAGCTAAACATGCCACCCTAGAATTTTGTTTCTAGCAATTATCTTCTTAGTGCTCTACTGACATTTTTCCTGTTTGTCTGCATCTTTTGTGAAGTGTGGTGCCCAGAACTGGATACAGTACTCAAGCAGGGACCTAATTAGTGCTGAATAGAGGGGAACCAGTACCTCACGTTTTAGAAGCTATACTTCTATCAATGCAGCCCTGAGCAGCACTGGGGTTTTTTTGCAGCCATATCACACTGTTGGTTAATATTCAGCTTGTGATCCACATCAGTTCCAAGATCCTTCTCACCTGTAGTATTTATGAGCCAAACATCCCTTTCCTTTTGACTGCATTTGGTTCCCTTTTCCAACTTGGCATTTGACTCTGCTGCATTTCGTCACTTCCAGCCTAGTGCTCCAGCCTTTCAAGGTCACTTTGAATGCTATCTCGGTCTCCCAGGTTATTAGCTATCCCACTGATCAGCATTCCTTGCACCTCCTTATCCATGTCAATATTTAAAATGTTGAAGTGCACTAGTCCCAGGACTGAGTCTCACTTGCCCCACTCATTATCTTTCCACAACCTGGCATTGAGAAACACTCCTTGAGTCCGATTCTGTAGCTCACCATGGATCCACCTAATAGTGGTTTTATTTAGCCCACTTTAGGCTAATTTGTCTAATAATGCTATTTGTGCATAGCATGCAAAAAAGTCTTTGTCAGAAGATCAGGACTTGCATGGGGGTGAACACCTTCTGACATGATGATTCCACATGCACGCGCGCGCGCACACACACAGAGGTGTAAAGTGGTAGAACAGCAAAGCAACATGCACCCTTTGGAACTACTATGGACTTTTAAAACTTATACATTTCTATATTGCCAAGTAGCCAAGTCTATATAGATGTAGTCAGTCCCAAGTTAAAATATAAAGGATGAACTAGCACCCAAGTAATTTCAAAATATATTTAGAGCCAACATTTTGGCTTCCACCCTTGTGAGTTTGATACTGAAAGTGCCAGTTTGGAGTGCTGGAGCTGAAAATTTCTAGAAAGCAAAAAATCAGAGGTATAACTAATTTTGTCCCTTTGATTGTTCAGTCAGAAGCAATTGTAAATCTGAGAGAATGACCTATTATGCACTGGTAAACACCCTGTTTCTGCAGGGTGGCTTATTTTTATGGAATATGCTTCAATAAACCCATCATGGCTTGTTTTAGGTTTGTTCTTTCTGTGATAGCTTGTGTTGTCTCGACCAAGCAGGGTGGCTTCAGCATAGGTTTGTCAGCTGTGTAACTGCTCAAGAACCCCTTTTCAGAGCAGTTCTTGCAGGTACACACATTTCCCTACCACTTACACCCCAACTGTTACATTTGCATATATTTCCTGCCAAAGAAGCCATGGGTTTTAAGAACTGTTGCTGAGCAGCAGTAACCAAAACAATAAATATTCCGGAAAAAAAGGGGAAAAAAGTACAGGGCAAAATTAAGATCACAGCTTTTTGAAGTGCTGATGCCCCAAGGAAGTGTTGAAAAGGTGATGAGCACCGAGAACTAGTCAATTCAACACTTAAAATCCACAGGATTACATTGCTAAGTGGGTGATATTGCCAGTACCCCCTTTTGGTGGAACTGCCTTTCCTTGATTTACTGGTGCTTTTCCAGTGTCAGCAAGCAAATCAGAGCTATAAACTGTGTGGAACTTAATTTATATACAGTCTTACCTTGTATGAGATAGTGTATCTACAGGGTACTAAGAGTGACCAAAAAATATATAAAAATTACACTATTTTCTGGTCAATTTTTTAAATTACCTCAATTGTGGGTTATTGAAGCTTGAAGAAGTAGTAGTGGTGGTGGCAGCAATCACAAAAAAGGAGGGTGGGGAGAACAAGCTTCAGTAAGTACCATCACCAAGGGTACCATGGGGTTGCTCAACAAACATCTAACTCACTATGGCTTTATTTCAATGTGGTTTAGCATATTGTGCGACTCTTGCAACAAGCTGCTCTATTTCTCTGAAAATAAATCACAGAATTTGTGACTATGGAACCTTGTTTTTAGGGCCATTGTTTTTCCTATGCATTGCATAGCACATCAATTTTTTCACATTTGATTAAATAAGTATGTGCTTCTGCTAATGTTTTGCATTCAGTTAAACAAGCCACAAACTGGACAATTTTTGTTGCCTTAGAACCACAATTATTTCCAAGAGAACAAACAAGGAATACTTCTGGATCTACAGACTGATCATTCTTCTTTCATATGGCTACAATCCGGAGGACAATTCATAAGCCTTATACGAGTAAGACCTTTTGTTCTTTCTCCTTAGGAATCTCCCAGCATGTCAAACTGTCACTTGTGGTATCTTTGTAACATCATAGTTATGGAAGAAGGTGGAAGCTGAAATGTTTAATGCTAACATGTTGTTAGTCTACCTGTTTTTCATATCTTTATATTTATACATATGTTTATAAAATATTTACTTTGCACGCAGAGAGACAAACTTGTATATTTTTATGCATTGATGTATATGGTGTATGTGTGCACGCGTGTGTAACATTTCAGAGAGTATGTATTTCAGAAAAGAAGAAAGTCTGTCTGTCAGTCCAAGGTATTTGCAAAGCTTTCCTCTAGCCCCATGTTTCAAAAGCATACATTTTCTTCCTGTCAGCTTTCTTCACTGTCCAGCTTTCACACCTACAGATTCCGATAGGGAATACAATAGTTTGGATGGGCTTGGCATTGGTCTCCAGTAAAACATTCTTACACTTGATAACCTTTTCTAGTTCCTTCATTGCTGCCCTTCAAAGTCTCAGTCTTCTTCAAATTTCCTGGCTATAGTCTCCCTTTGAATTGATGTCTGAACTAAGGTATAGTAAATGTTTCACAATTTCAATATTTCAATTTCTGCATTAACAGGGTGTTAGAACTAGCATAAGATTAAAATATAATTTTTTCACAGGACTTGAACTTTTGTGAAGACATTAAGATTCATAACGTGTTGAGCGGAATTTAATGTATTTGTTTCCCAACATCCATATACTGTGTGTATAACCCTGCTATTGCAGACTGAAGCTTTTATTTATGTAAATCATTTTTAGTGGAACTTATAAAACTTGAGGCAGGCAAGTAAGGAAAAAGAGAACTAACACAATTAGCTCCAATAAATAGTGTTAAGATCTTTGGGTTCTGAAGATGGACTCATTTGTCAACAGACCGTAGGATGAGTCTGCTCCTTCCATTATTGAAACTGTTCCTTAGACCAGAGGAAACAACTTGTTGAGGAACTATGGTAGCCATAGTGCAACAACATCTGGAGAGCCACAAATTGCTCTCCTTTTGCTTAATTGTACTTTTCCTTTTCCTTGTCTGGATTCCTGCACCTGAGTCAGCTTGACACCAGTAAATATTTATAAGTATAAACCCTGGCACCAAAAGGGTTGAAACAAAATTCGTACTACACAACCATTATTTGATAAAGAGGCTAGAAAGTGTTAGAACGTTCCTCACTTTTTACACCACTTTTATTTATACCTCAGACCAGCCTTCTGAAAGTCATATAGAAGCTCTCTTCCCCTAGATACTCCAATGGTAACCAGCTGCTTACCTAAGGATTTTTCTAGTGATGAGCCAAACAAGTCTAGCTTTGTTTTCTTTACCTCTGATACATATGAAACTTTGGTCCTGTGCCAGTGTTCCTCATTCTGTTGCCTGCAGCTGTGAGACTATGAGAGGTGAGGTCCAATATGTCTAGAAAGCATTAGATTGAGAAAGACTGGCACAAGGCAAAGGACAGCTCAACCTGTTTAACTGTTGAAATTTTCTTCTCTCAAGCATGTCTACTTTTTGTTTCAGGCCTGTGCTGGTTGGGTTCTACCCCTTTAACTGAGTTTTGATACATTACGGTGCCCAACTGGCCTATGGTTAGCCACCAACAAGATGTACCATTTCCCAGGAAAATCACGTCTTATTTCAAAGCAGGCCAAGAACTGGCGAAAGCATAGGGAATAAAACAGAAAGGACATGGTAACTGCCATGAGCAGAGCTGTTTTATTTTCCAGTTTCATTAAGGTTACTGCAATTCCAAGTCCATTTGATTTCAACAGACCAATGGTATATTCTGCAGTGTCCTTTCAAGAGTCACTAAAGCTTTCCTGCTATAAATTAGTACAGAAAAATATCCCTCACATCAGTAATTGCAATGACAAATTATAACTTTGAGAGTCTAAACAAATGGAAGCTTTATGCTGGACATTCTTTAAAATATGTAATATATTATGCATTACCACAACCCAGGAGTACTTATAAAATTAAAAACCAAGTTAACTTGCTACTAAAAGGGGTAGGGGGCAATATGATATATGAAGTGGGTAGGAAGCAGAAGGAAAGAAAAATGCCATTACCAAGTTTGTGTTCCCCTTTATTCCTTCCTTCACTCTTTTCACTCTGTTTCTGTAGCCCTTACAGTCAATTACTGGCTGTTCTGGAACTGAAGCAGAAGCAATTTCTACGGATTTCTTGGATGACCAATGATCAACTGAAACTGAAAAGAAACTTACATGGAAGAAGCAAGTCTTCAGCACATCCTTCTGCATAATTATGATGGTAGTTACAAGATTCCATAGGCTATGCTGGTTTACCAGAAATAATTTCTACAGGATTATACAGCCTATCAGAGTTATTCTGCCTTCACCTCTAACACAGACTTCCCCTATCAAGACATGCCAAATTTCATGAGCTAAAAACTGAACTAGATTTTGCTGAATTGCTTCAATTAACCAAAAAACTTGGCTTGCAATGAAAAATATTGGTTCCTGTGACTGATATTTGGTTTTCAAGGCTTCAAAACATGCTTTCACTTTAAAATGAAGAGTAAAATCTGAAATTCTAGTTGAATCCCATTAGGAAGCATTTGGTTAGTGAGGTTTTGCATATTGCAATTCATATTTACATTCCAAAATGTGGGGATTAAGGCTGCAACCCTATGCCTATTTACTTAGAAATAAGCCCACTTACCTCAGTTGAACTTACTGCTGAATAGACATGTACACAATTCTATTTTTGCTAAAGCAGCTTGGAAATTACTAGAATATTTCCACATTACCTAGATATTTGAAATGTTGCAGATGCACTGTCCAATTTCTAGAAATACTTGAAAATGGGACACTTTTACATTTCTTCCTCAAAGCTGAGGACCCAAGTTGTGCCCCAGAATGATTAAACTACTACCATACTAAGAAAAAATTTAAAAAATGTTCCACACAAGATCAAGGACAAGCTGATTAATAAGGTCTGAAAAAGAGGTGTTTTCTCACCTCTCAAAAAAAGAACCCTGGGGCATGATTTTTACATTGTAATAGAATCAGCTTTCTAGCACAGCTCAGACTGTCTATGAGAAAGAAAGCTGGCATGCAGAAATGCTGTTGTTTAATTCAGGGGAGCGGGGGTACTTCCAATTGTAACAACCAAGATATACCCACATTTGGAGAATGCAAGCTTCATTTACCACAAGCACATTCTATACAGACTCATATTTCTAAAATATTACAAAATAAAAATGTCTGCTCATTTCCAAATGCTTCCCCAGATAAGAGAATTTTACATTGCTTCCGAAAGATACCCATGTTTAATCTCAAAGAGAAAGGAGATCAAGAGCTGTAGCACAGGGATGAAAAATGTGTGGCTTTTCAAACATTTTGGTCTATGACTTCCTTTAACCATAATTGTAGGGCAAACTTCAAGTGGGGGAACCTGTTACAGGGCAATATCTAACTCCATGGTTTTTCAGTTTGGTGTTCTTCTTTGTTATGGGAACCAGATGTATGAAAGCAGTACTTCAGAGGGTTTTGGTGGATATCTTAGAACAGCCTTCCCCAACCTGGTATCCTCCTGATGCTATGGACACCAGCTATCATAATTCCTGACCATCAGCTAGGTGGGACCAATGGGAGTTGGAGTCCAAAAGTTCTGGAAAGCACCAGATTGGGAAAGAGTGATCAAGCAAACCATAGGTCAAAATGAACATCAGGGAATTAAGCTTAATAGCAAAAACTAATTTGTGGTATTCTGCATCTCAAAAGATGGGTAAGAAATTCTGACTCAACCAGCCCTTTCCCTACTGAAGCAAGCCTTGCTGGAGTTTATGAAAAGATTCAATACCTACATTTGAGCCCTGTATCATGCTCATAAGCACGGACAGTTTCCAGAACCACTTTGATTACTTCCTTAAATCGGACATCTTCCCTTAGACTTCTGAAACAAACAACAGATGAGTAGTCAAAAAGGATTAGATGGAACATTTTTTTCAACAGTTCTCTGAGAGAATAAGTTCAAGGAAGAGCCTTGGGGAGCTGTAATAATGAAGATAATAAGAATCTTCTCCAGGGCACTTAAATTTACGAAACTTCACTCTTTTGTCTAATTAAAAAAATATTCACTTTTGAATAATCTGAGACAGAGCAGGCACTACATTGCTTGTTTCATACTCACTCATTCAAATAAGACTTCAGCACTGAAATGGAAGGTTATGTTAAAGTGACAGTGCTACTGATTTACTAATGGGATCCCATTTTTCAAAGGTCAGCAATGAATTAGACAATGGTCACAACAAAGGTTTTGCTACTTCACTTGTCTTGCATTTTCCCACTCTTATCATCTTCGCACAGGAGGTATACTTTTCACATACCTCTTCCCTGTATAAACTGCTGAAACTTCTTCTACAACTCACTTCCTTAACTATATTTCATTTCAGACAGTATAATCATTCAGCATGTACTGCTCAGTTGCAGGAATTTACTCTAGCTTTCTAATTATCAATGCAATTTTCTTTCTAGGACTGTGCCACATATTGTACAAAGTTGCTTCATTCTGTCAGTCCTTCACTGCTAAAATTAGAACTCAGTCATACACAATGTACCTTTTGGTGACTTTAGCATTGCAAAGTGGACACTGTGTTACACCGTTCCTCTGTTTAAGAAGCTTAAGTGCACAGAACCTATGAAAGAAAAGAAAACAAGCCTTATTGTAAAGAACTCTGATTGAATCACTGTTCTTTAGCTGGCAAAATCCTCTACTAGAATATTCTTAGCCCTCTGTACATAAACAGGCTCAATTAGCACTGCTTTCCTTTGTCAGGTTCAAGCCAAATCAGTCTGGTTACCCCAGAACTAGTGGATAAAATAGTTAAGATCATAAGGTCCTTATGGCCTCCAGTTCATGTCTCAATTGGATTGTAAGGAGTCAAGCACATCCATATACAAGCCATCCCTTCCTGCTAGCTCTACAATAATTTTATGCCCCCACAGAGTGATTTCTTAGTTCCTGCTTCTTGTGTTGGGAAGCAGAAAAACTCTACTTATATTGTGAGTCTGTATTTCATGCTTTCTTAAAGTATTCATTGGATGCTTTTAACAGAAATGGAGCCCCTAAAGTTTTTGGATCACTAGGTACATTTGGAATTTAAGAGGCTGTCACAGACACTCTCACAAAATGGCTACCATGAGGGGCTTGCCCATATACAAAATGGGTAGCATGGGGTGGGGTAATGGCTAGTTACAAGACACCCATTTAGTTATCTATTCAAGAACCTTAGTACATGGAAGCAGTGGACTGAGCTCCAAAGCACAAAACTACCTTTTTGAACAAACAATTATCTGCTTCGACACCCATTTCACAGAAGTTCATTAAGAAATTGAGTGAAAGGTAGAATTGGAACCCTAGGTGCCAAATCATGTTGTTGCCCCCACAAAGCATAAGAAAATACTTATTTCACAAAAGGAAAACTTACTCTCAGAGAAACAGAAACAGGCAAAACATCTCACACAAACACACACAAAAGCATAGGTTAAAGCATCCTTCCTTTCTTTGCATCCCTTCTTAGCCACCCAGAACACTTTCTACTAACGCTAGCTTTCCCCACCTCCATTGCTGAGCGTGGTGGGATGCATCAACACACGATTTTTATTTTCTATGAGTGTTTCTGCAACCCAGTTCAGCTTGCATTAAGTCACCCTTCCAGTTTAAAAGCATTTTAACACATTGAAATACTTAAATACAGTAAAAATCAAGAAAGAAGGAAATCTGGTAGGTACCAAGAGAGATTCCATGGGCACAACATTTGAGTCCGCACATAAACACAATGAGATCAAAAAATGAAAAATAGCTGGTAGTTAAGCAGAAATCACAGTAAGCACTTTTCTAATATGAACTTAAGATGTGACAGGAATAGGATGCAGTCCTACGGCTGCTAGTCACAGCCTAGCCAGCCACAGGAAAGATTAGAGTTTCATCTATGATCTTGGAAAGATGTTCCATGGTCAGAACTGAAACTTTTATCTCAAAGCATCCTCCCTCCACCCTCACAGCTAGCACATTTAAAAAAAAATCTGGAAGACCAACTTTGGAACTGACATTGTTGGGCCATTCCAGAAGGCAGGAATAGGATAAGGGAGGCTCCACCAGGATGCATCGTATCCTGAAAATGCTTCAGCCTCTCTTCTTTTGAGCAGGGGCAAAGCACAGCCAAAACAGGCCTTCTTTGTGTTCTGTGGGGCTGCAGGAAGCCACGCTGGATCACAATGTTAATATACCAAGAAGGTAATTCTGAAATAATTTCTAGAAGGGAGGTGATTATGGAGGCAAGGACTCTCCACTGATAGAATGCCACATAAGTAAAAGGAATCTGATTTCACCAAACTCTTAGACAGACCTACTTGATGAATTAATTTTGCTACTAAGGAAACTTATTTCCAAATATATGATTACCATGCACACTATATGGTTCGGGTAATATTCCAGTAAACAGGCTATTTCCATAAAAGCAGTAACATTCCAGAAAGTAACTCTGTAAGTAAAGCAAGCAAGCAAAGATTCTCTGTGCAGCATCTCCTTCTTCTCATTCTTGAAGAGAGAGAGACAGACAGACAGTGTCTGGATTCAGAACATATAACTTGACTTCAGATGGTGGCCAAATTCTGGAAACTACCTCATTAACTTCACCACACAGGTGAGAGAAAACCCTTATCTTGCCTAGCAACAAGGGGACTGTGCCTTAATAAAAGGATTTCCCCTCATGTCCATTAGCTTGTTTCCCAGACCCTGTCACCCATCTCTGCATTTCCATTGCAGGTAGGCAAAAGCTCTTCTGCCTGACCAACTGAGATCCAACTTAAGTATTTTTCCTGCTCAGCACAGAGAAAAGCTTTTCTTAGTGCTGAAAAGGGAAAAATTCCCCTCTGCTGTCTGCATGTATTAGATGAGCAGGTGGGGCAGGGGATAATATGTGTTCTGTGTGTGTGCATGCACACATGTATGTGTTAATCTGTGGTCATAGCCACTTTCAGCTCTGACACTCACTGCTATAGTGCCTCCCCCTATGAAGTTCCCTAGATAGCACTTGAACCCTAAGGTCAAAAAAGGCTCCATAACCCATAATACAGTTTTGGTAGTAATAGGAGTCAACATAGAAAGAGTACCTTGAAACTCATTCTAACATAAGATTTCTTTACTCTGAGCAGCCTGAAACATATAGAGCAGTGGTTTCAACTGCCAGTCCACGGGGCATTTCCTGCCAGTCCATGGGGGAGAGGGGGACATCCTGTTTGCCAAGGACCAGTGTGGGGACTGGCTGTGCTCCACCACCTCTTCCTCAGTTGGCATCACATTTGCAGGGGGTGCACCAGTGCTGCCAGGGGGAGCAGGGAGGGGAGACAGCTGAGAGCCACACTGAGCCGATTTTGGTATTTTGTTCTTTTGTTGGCATTTTTTGTTGTGTTGTTTTGGAGAATTTTCAATTTTTTGTATTGTGTTAAATTATACACAGAATACTGTATTACACGTATGGTGCTTTTTGTTTCTGCCTCAGTAGTCCCTGAGGTAGTTTTCCGGTTTTTGCCAGTCCCCAACTGTGGAAAGGTAAAAAACAACTGATATAGAGGACTAGTACACGCTGCTCCTGTGACTCAAAAGGCCATTTAATTATAGATAGCAAGATGGCATTATCTTGGATTTAAACAAACTTGCTATAATCAGTTTTCCAAGCCTAGTTCATATTTTAAAAGCAAAATCCTTTAGAAAGAAAAGTTCTAGAACTCCCAGCATTTCTCAAGCTGTAGGACTTTTTAAAAATTTAAATATGCACAGTAGTGTGACCTAAAAACCTGTCTTACAATAACACCAATGAATCTCCTAGCCTATCTGCACTGGTTGTGGCTTCCCAGTATTTCAGAGAAAAATTTTTCTGTGTAAGGTTCTCGAGCTGGAAATTCTTGGGGTTGACACTGATCTTCTAGTTCAATTAATGGTCATGTATCCAAGGTCCATGAAACTGAAGGAAGTAATTTACCTGCAGAAAATATGGGCACAATTTGTTGAGACTGGCTCCTTCATCACCTCCAGGCTAGGAAAAAAAAGTCAAAAATCAAATGCATTCATTTTTAATAAGGAATACTCAGTGTAACATTAGAAGCCAAGTCCAGAGAACTGACCATTTTAGTATGTTACAGCAAATACCATCCTATGGTTCCCGGGATGCTGCAGGGGCCACAGGATTGCTCTTAGGATATTTTGCTGTTATTATGTTTTGTTTTTATAATTTTCTTACACTGTGAACAAAGATAGCCTAGAAGTCTTCTATTTTTTAAAATCCAAAATAATCTAAAATGTGCTAGCTGCAAACCATGGCCATTTAGCTTATCCTAAAACAGAGATGGGGAACCTTTGATTCATGAAGTGGATTAAGCCTGCAAGATCTCTCCCTTTAGAACATCAAAGCTCCCCTGAAGCTTTGTCTCTCAAAGAAGTGCACTCTGAGAAATGAGAGCAATCTGAGAAAGTGGCCAGATAATTTTCTTCTCTCTGTGTGGAGAACAGGATATAAGCTTTCTCTATACAGATAAAAAGTACAGAGATAGTTATATGTCTGAGTGAATGCAGCATGCTATAAAAGTTTGAGACACATTGTCTAAAATGATTTTTGAAAATTAATGTTGAAATATTGAATTTCATTTTTAAAAGCTAGCATACATAGCCTCAGAACCTCAAATTATTTTGGCTGCATATATCTTGAATTTTACATAACTTTCAGAGAGCTTAATTATTACAAGAGACAATGAATTGCATACAATTGTTAAAAAGCAATAACAGCATCATGAACTGGGCATGGAAGAGTTGCCAGGAAACAATTTTGAAAGACTTTCAATGTATATTACCAAAAAAAAAAAATCAAAAATCCTCAGGGAGATACACTTTAAAATTATGTTTGTTGTTGCCTGCACCTAATGGAAGGAACTTTGCCTTAGAAGCCAGTATTTTCACTTCTAATTCCTGCCAAGCTAAAGACAATATTTGTGTGTTCTGAATTGAAACCTGATATTTTTGTTCTTTTCCATACCATATGGGGCATTCCAGGTTCTTCTGTAAAGCCAGCAGCATTCCATGAATCTCAGATATGGAAGAATCCATAACTTCTTTACCCCTTCAGAATGAAAAGGTTTCATGTTAATTCAGGCAAGCAATCTGAACCTGAGGCACATTCTAGCCATAGGATTCTATTAAATGGATAACTAAGGCAGCCTTATATTCTTGTAAGCCCTATTGCATTCAATGAGATAATACATTGAAGTGTACACTTTTGCCAACATAAATTTCTGAAGAGCCACTGAAAATAATTTAAAGAGTTCACAAACTAACATTTCCATTCTAGCAAGTGATTAATTACATTTTAAGACAATCAATGACAAACAACAAGGGAGTAAGAGTAGAAAAGATTTATTTTGCAAAATAAAGGTCTCCTGCACCTAATGCTCGCAGACAGCCCTGTTCATACCTTTCACAAATCTTACATAGCTTTTTATACAAAGGATTTCAGAAGCTCTACCTTGGTTAGCTACATTTTGCTGCAATACAGTTTTTCCTTAACACGTCTCCTCACAACTACTTCTACCAATCAACATTTGCTCAAGCTCTTACCTTTATCAACTTTAAACTATGCATGGAACTCAAAAGTTTCTGATTACCTCAGCCTCCCTATCATTTTGTACATGTCCTGTATGCTTGAAACTTACAGCTGTCTGAACTCATCCAAAAACTTTGTCTCCTTCAGTCCCCCTTTGAATCTTAGGTGTACTTTCTTTTTCCCACATATGACTCTCTCAATTTTTATAATAGGATCCATATGTTCCACTCATCATCTCTCTAGCACAGCATACTGACATTTGGTTGGGGGCATGAAAATAAGGAATGTAAGCTTTTTCTGCAAATAGGTAATAATTGAATTCTGCAGCAAGAGATTAATAGGATAGCCAAGATAAGCAAGTCTAGCTTAAATATATGATAAACCCATCCAAAGTCCAACCAGTTAACCATTCCCATAGGTCAAACCTTGTCTCTTTTGTTAATTTTGGCGCAAAATGGCTAATATACAAAAGACAGTATCCCACATTTTCAACTAATTTCCCATTGTTATCCACTTATTTGCAGCAGATATGAGTTAAATTTCCACATACCCCTCCCACAGATTGTAAAAGGTAGTCCAAGGCCAAGCTCTTCTGTGTAGCCAGGGAACAATGATTTTGTAGGCTCCATTCCTACAAGAAAGAAGGCTTCTTCTGTCTGATTAAACAGGATCTCCAATTGATACTGGAATCTCAAGATTTTTCACAATAAACATTAGCTTTCCAAAAAGGGAATCTAGGCAGCTCTGTGCCAAGCCTCATTATGGGGTTCTTTGTCATCTATCTTTTTCTGCAATTCAGAAAGGGCCACACTTGGCACTGGCTTGCTCAGAGACGTGGTGCAAGACTGGCTTATAAATAGGAGGACCCTTTCCTTTAACAATAGTGAAGAGAGGAAGAACAGATTCAGTGTAGGAACTTCCACACCAAGTTCTAGGTAGCCTTTTATATGTGCTTCTGTCACAAATAAAACAGTGCCCTACTTTGGCCTTTATTCCTTTTGCCCACAGACTATTAAAGGTGGTATGATTGTCAGGAAGTAAAGGTTCACATGAATCACCACAATAATAGTTCCTCTCACAGGGGGGCATGGGTTTCTTGGCTAGTTTTCATTACACACAATTGTACTCCCAGTTTTCCTCCTCCTCACAGGGTTTCGAAAGATTCGTGTTGACATATCCTGGAATAGTGGGATTTTTCCATTACCAGGAGGAATCCTTCACCCAGTGTGAGTGGGACCCAGTTGCAAAGGTGCCATTCTTAGGTAACCATCCTGCTCTAATTTCTCAGGGATTTAAGTTTGTACAGGACGTCTGGCCCACTACACTTGGCCAGGGCATGAAGTGCACTGCCCAGGTGCATTCAGACTTCCCTTCAAAAGTGATAGTCTGGTGGAATGGTTCTGGACCCAACAACAGATTCCTTGTGAATTCCCTACATCCCAGAAATCCTGACTTTTAAATGTCAGTCCCAAATCATTCCATGTCTTATTTTCAAAGGCATCTTCTTCAAAAATTAAATCCGCTGATGCTACTACTTCGGGCAGGTAAGTGGATTGCTCTAAAGGGAAATGCAGTCTTCTCTGAATTCCCTAAGTGTAAACATATCCAGCAGTCAATTAGACTTAACTGCTCTTGCACTAACATGACTATTTGATCCACCCCATTATGCTCCTTGGTACTCAAATTTCTCTGTGTACAACCACTTGAGTTTCATGTCCAGTTTTTATATCTACATCACAGTGTGGTGTCTTCTTCTGCTTCACATACCAATAAGCATCTGCATCCTTCAAAATCACATTTTGGATGATGATTGAGAAATCTCTGCTAGAATACTTACTAAGTCTTGTGACCTTTTCATATAATCCAATATCTGCATAAGCAAGCTTCCGATGAGAATCTCTCCCTACCAACCATTTCATTTGGCACTGTAACCTCACAGTCTTCCTACTTGTGCTGAGATAAAATTGTGTGGTTGGATTATTTTCCGGTTTGTCTGAGCTATCCCCCAACTCTCAACAGCCCAAAGTTCACATAAGAATAGCCACTTCCCCACCCCCACGATCAGAATGTACTGCAATTGATAGTCTCTCAGTTTCTCTCCAAACTTTTATGCCACAAGAGAAACTTCAAATCCTCCACAGGTTCTACAGTCCACATCTGCTTCTGGATGGCCCTTCTCCCAGTAGAGCTAACTGCAAAATCCTTTTCTCCCTCAGCATACTCTTCACATGAGTATGATGGATCTAGGTTGGTAACTGAAGTGAGTTTTCAACTGTCTTTCAGTTCTTTCTACTAGCCCACTTTATTCTGGTCTACATGGAGTATACAGATGCCATTTTATGTCTATGCTGCCACTATCTGTTGTACCACCCTATATGTGAAAAGGGACTCTCAATCTGATTCCAACTATAAAGGTAGGCCATATCTTGGTATCACTTTGTTTAGCAAATGGCTCATCACTCTCTTGCCTGGCAGGTCCAGGTAGCCAAAGCCTCTATCCATTCTGAAAATGGGTCTACTAAGACTAAAAGATAGTTGTACTGTCAGGACTTGGGCAATTGAGAAAAATCTGTTTGCCATGAACAAAGAGTTAGGGCTTCTCTGGATTGAGCTCCTTGCAGGACTCATCATTGTTATTTTGAGTTATTCTTCAGATACGTAATGCATTTGAGTGATTGCTCCTATAGTCTAGGACACACTAGCCAATGCAGTAAAGCATCTTCCATTGCCATTTCTCTTGGTGTGTGGATTGGTGCCACTGTTAGCTGCTTCTCAGGCCCTAACTGTTGATATATAAACTCTCTCATCTGGAAGAATCCACCAACCATCTTTATTCACACACTTAAGTTCAAAAGCACCCCAATCCTCCAATTTAGTGTAAAGTGGAACAATATCTTGAACTTTTAGCAACACAGCTCCTTGCACTGGTAACTTCAGTGTAGCTGCCCACTTAGAGACTTGATCAGCTCATCTATTTCCCCAAACAATTCTAGAATCTCCTTTCTGGTGTTCTCTGCAATGTACAACAGCTCCTTCTCTCAATAACTAGATTGTTGTTCTTGTTAGTCGCGAAGTCACACCCGACCCATCGCGACCCCATGGACAACATTCCTCCAGGCCTTCCTGTCCTCCACCATCCCCCACACCCCTGGGAGTCCACCCAAGCTCACACCAACTGCTTCAGTGACTCCATCTAGCCACCTCATTCTCTGCTGTCCCCTAGTAAATCCCAGATTTGTGGTCCCTTTGGATCTTCTGGCTATTGGAGGTCAAAAATTCTCTCTCCTTCCAAATTATTTCTGAAGGCATGGACCACTTCCAAGGCATACTTTGAAGCAGTAATAAGAGTGACACTCTTCCTTTCTGAGAGCTTGAATGCTTTGGTGAGTGCAATTAGTTCTGCTTGCTGAGCCAAAAAGTATGGAGGCAATAGATTTGCAAAAACAGTTTCCAGTTATGTTACCACTGCATATCCTGTTCTTCAGTTCTGGTTCTCAACTGAACTCTGAGTCTTTCATACAATGGTTTCCAATTAATCCAAATTTAGAAATCCATATTCTACAGAATCCTGCCTTCTCTAAAAACCCTAAAAAGCTGCCTTTGGTTCCTTGGCTTGGAGATTCATTAAATTGCTTCTACTTGTTCACTTAGAATTGCCTATCCCCCATTCTCCAGTTGATAGCCCAAGTAATTTACAACTCTAGCACAGATTTGAGCCTTCTCCTGGGACACCCTGTACTCAGATTGAGCTAGATGGTTCAACAATGAAATCGTAGCTTCTTGGCAACCTTTTTCAGACTCAGCTGCTATCAATAAATCATCCACATACTGAATCAAATGAATTTTGTTCAGTTTCTCCCAAGTCCTCAAGTCTCAGGAGAGTTTGGCTGCAAAAATACTCGGACTTTTTACATATCACTGGGGAAGAACAGCCTATTTGTACTTGATCATGCACCCCCTTTCCGGGTCTTTCCTCTCAAATGCAACAAATCTTGGGCCTCAGGACGATGCAGAAAAATGCATCTTTAAAATCTAAAACTATAGAATTTCACCTCAGCAGGATCCATGTTGAGAACTGTTTGAAGATTTGCAACCACAGGGTGGCAGTCTTTCACTATTTCACTGATCACTTGCAGATCCTGAACAAATCTGTATTTTGGAAGCCCTCTTTCTGGGCTAGACTGATTTACTGGTAAAGGGGGTAAGTAATGACCTTCTACAATCAATCTGCTTCTCTTAAACTTATCCAAAATTGGGTTCAATCTTTTCCTTGCCTCCAATGGTATATGGTACTGACATAGTCTAGGCCAGTGGTGGTGAACGCACGGCACGCGTGCCGCACTGAGCATGCAGAGCCCTCTCTGTCGGCACGCAAGCCAAGTCACCCCAGCATCACCCCAGCAGCCGAGCATCGGATAACAGTGCACATAGGGGCCATGTGCATGCTCAAAAAGGAGTAGTGGCACCAGGCAATGACATCATGAGCCGCTACTCATTAGCTGCATCTCGTCTGAGCTTTCGCATGGCCGGTCAGTGCACTGCCAAGGACACACACACACACACACACACACACACACATATATGCTTGGATTAGCTGTGAGTTTTAATACATTCATTTTTATTAACACAAGATTTTAGCTTTGAGTTTTCTTATGAAAAAATGAAATTTATTATCTAAGATTTAGCAAAGAGATGTTCTAATTAAGAGACTGAGATCTGTTTAATCTGTCTCCCTAGCATATTTGAATCTGCAGCATCATATTTAGTTGTTTGTGAAGAAATTATGAAAACGAGAGCAAGTATATATATTTGCTTGGACTGGCCGTGATTTTAGCAGAAGCCCCCACAAAGTAGGAAATGCGCTCAGATGCCTTTTTCAGAGCAGGCAAAAGCACACCAAATGCAAACTTTTACCTTTCAACAAAAAGCTGTTTGTATCATTGAAAGCTCTGTTATTATGTTTTTCTTTGAAGACAAAAGATGTCAATGTATGAGTTGTTTTTTCTAAACTAAAACCTCAGTATTCAGGTCTTATTGCAGTGTTGGCACTTTGCGATAAATAAGTGGGTTTTGTGTTGCAGTTTGGGCACTCGGTTTCTAAAAGGATCGTCATCACTTGTCTTGGGCCTTTGGCTCCTGGTTTCACCTCTACATTTACCCCTTCTGAGTCCTTGCTTGTGCAGGAGTCTCTTCATCCCATACTTCAAGGTCTACTGTCTCATCAACCCACTCAGGCACTCTAGTTCCTTCTTCTACAGTGTCATACAGCATCATTTGAAATCTGCCAGGATGGCCAAATCAATCTTCTCTTCTGAGCAAGTAATCTGAGCATGCAGTTTACACAGCAAATCCCTTCTCAACAATGGCACTGGGCAATCTGGCACATACAACTTTTCATGGCTTTTAATTGTTCCTCCAACATTCACAACAGAGGAGGTTCATGACGCACAGGAGTTAACTGGGGTGGTGGTGGCATCCCATCAATCACTGGTGATTCTGATTGTGTGTTCTCACCCTATCAGCCCTGGTAAGGGCAGTAGGGGCAGATACAGCCTTGGCTGATATAACACATCATCACATTCATTTCCTGAAGACAGCAAGACTTCCATCTGACTCTTTTCCCTGTTTCCCAACACCATCTGCTTATTGCAATCTCCAAGCCCACATTTCCCACTCACAATCGTGTTATACAAACTCAAAAATAAGGATGCATATTCATTCTTCGACAATTTCTCAATACAATGCAATGACAACTGTAAAATAGTATTAAAATCCACACTTCCTTCAGGTGGACACTGCTTTCTACTGTCCAGCTCATAATGGTGCCAACGACTCTGGCAGAAAACACCAACTTCTGCTTTGTCAAAAATCTGCCTCCTCCTCCTCTCAAAAATTTTCAGTTTGTCAGGACACAAGCCAAGCATGTCCCCTTTTCTGGCTTTGACACTTTGAAGCCCATCCCAGCATAGTTTGGGTGCTGTACTTTGTCTTGGTCTGGTTGGAGAGCTGTGCTCTAGGGAGGTCCCCTGAAACAACTCATTTGATGGCCAGCCAAGGTCATCCCTTCAAGGCAGCAGCTCCACCCTTTTCCAAACACCAAGGCAAGTCCACTCTGGCCAAAATCGTTCAAACAGCAATAGCCATATCTGGGTCACCAGAAAACTGTTGGCCACAAAGGGGTTCTGCTCTGCTAGCCCAATGATACACAACAAGGGAGTAAGCATAGAAAAGATTTATTTTGCAAAATAAAGGTCTGCTGCACCTAATGCTTGTAGAGAGCTCCGTTCATACCTTTTACACATCTTATATAGCTTTTTACACAAAGGATTTCAGAAGCTCTACCTTGGTTGGCTACATTTTGCTGCAATGCAGTTTTTCCTTAATATGCCTGCTCACAACTACTTCTACCCATCAACATTTGCTCAAGCTCTTACCCTTATCAACTACAAACTATGCATGGCACTCAAAAGTTCCTGATTACCTCAGCCTCCCTTATTACTTCATACATGTCCAGCACACTTGAAGCTTATGGCTGCCTGAGTTTATCCAGCAACCATCCTTTTTCTCCTTCAGTCAGGCAGACAGTCTTAAGTGAGAATGAATTTGCATGTAGGTAAATGCATAGTATTTAATGCATGGAAATAAGTAAGCTAGTGGAGGAGTCCCTTCTGCATCCAACATAGAAATTAAATGGCTATTGCAAAAGGAACAAAACTGTCCTTATTTTTCCTTTTTCTAGTCTAATCACTTCTGCGGGCTTAATTACAAGGCTAACCTCAGCTCAGAAACTTATAGGGACAGTCAACATTACCTGAATCCTCCCAAATCTAATAGTATTTAAATATGCTATTTACATATGCACAGTCTTGCACCTTACAGCTCAATCACATGCATGTTTACTCACAGTCAAATCTTATATAGAGCTACTCGAATGTCACTTCTAATGCCTGCAGCTGGACTTACAACTAAGTGTATACAGGTTTGCAACACTGCTGAGGGCTGTACGAATGTTTTTGTAAATATATTTGCAGCCCTAGCTAGAGATATGGTGGCTGGGGGGAGAGGGACAGAAATGTTAGAAGTTTTTCTTCATTCCCCAGCCCAAAGTTCTCTACCAATTTTTCCAACTGAAAAATTAGACATTTGCAGTGGATTTATTTTAAAATTCTAAGGGATAAAATATTTATAACAATAAGTGAAATGCTTTTAAAGGCAATGTTTTAAAATCTTGGACTCCAATCTTAGTTACTTGGGAGTAATCCCACAGAATTTACTTTTAATAGACACATGCAGGTCTGCATGGCACGCTACCTTCTTCCAATTATGCAAAATTTTGCACTATTAATTACAGTTCCTGAAAACTGTAGTCTTTACTATTCTAATGCTTTCTTTCCTGCTTATAATTCTTCCATATTCTACAACATATGAAAGGAAATTATATTTAAGAATGTCCACAAGCAAATCAAGGAGCACGCTGGTATATGGAAGCATGAAACATCTTTAATCTGTGCAAATCTCAGATATCTACAAAAATAAATAGAATTTGACGTGATTTATCTTTTGATAAAGATTCTAATTAAGAAAAAACTTGAAATAGTAATGTTATCAAAAACATTATTTAAGTGAGATAGGTGTGGTTAGAGCTGTTCAATTACTAAGAAGGTTAGAGGCACAATCCTAACTATGTTAAGACAGAAAAAAAAGCCCTTTAATTTTGAGAATTTCTCAGCCCTATTTGTGATGGCACAATGAATTTTGTAATGCCTTTTTTGTCTAATTATGCATAGGACTGCACCTTAAATGTGCATAATGGCAGTTCGATATTATTACATTTAACTCAGTATCCATAAGTCATAAAATCACATCAAATAATAAATACAACCTGATTTGATAGTCCTTAATATTTTACTGTGCTGACCGGAAGTAAACACAGCTTTATCTCTTCTCACTGCCCCCAGACTTAGAAGCAGTTAGTTATAAACTGTTCGTGATAGTTATCCAACTGTTATATCTATTAAACAAATGCTGCAAGGTTTTGCATTGTAACTTACATTTCTAAATACATCCTTACTCTATGAACAACAGGCTAAAACACAGACATGGGAAACCTCTTTCAGAGAGAGAGAGAGAGAGAGAGAGAGAGAGCCAAATTCGATTTTGGAGACACCCTGAAGGGGCATGGCCATAATGGAAAACCCAGATGGTTGGACTTGGGCATGTTGGCTTGCAGTTCCCCATCCCTGAGATAACAGATACACCATACTATCATTACCCTATCCAAATACAACTCTGTATTATTTTAAAGTTTTAAAATTGTTTTTAAGCACTATGCCCCATATGGTTCAAAAAGCAACCCATATAAGTGACATTGCACCAAATATACACATTTGTTTATTTTGATACCTTCCTTTACTTTTATATATACTTGGAAGGGACAATGCCATCATCTTAAACAGGGAACAAAGGGGGAACTAGAAAACCCTGATACGGCTGATATTTGCACCACCATCGCAGAAGCCCGAATCCCTTCTTTAAGTTCTAATTGAGTGGATCCAACAATATTTATTATATTTATGTTCTGCATATATTCCTGGAAAAGTGCCACTTATCTAATTCTCTGCTCCACTGTCTTTACAACAAACCCTATGAGGTACCTTAAGGTGAGAGTCAATGACTGACCTAAAGTCAGTGAACACCATGGCCAAGCAGAGACTGGAATCTGGATCTCCTGAATATTTATTATTTTAATTAAATTATTGCATGTATATTCCACCTTTTTTTCCTCACAGGTGGCTTATGTAACTCCATTTTATCTTCACAACAACCCTGTGAGGTAGGTTAAGCTAAGAGTGACTGGCCCAAAGTCACCCAGTGAACTTCATGGCCTAGAATCTGGATCGCCAAGGTTCAACACTCTTAACAGGTACACCTCACTATCATTTCATTGACCAATTTGAGCCATACAACTGAATGACGAGTGTTGCCATTTTTTAAAAAAGGATTGCTGTAAACCGTCCGGACAGCCTCGGTCATGCGGTGATACAGAAATGAACTAATTAACAACTTTGGGCTCAACATATCACAAGTTTAGAAGGCATAGCTTTAAACCCAGCCTAACGCCCCTTTCTTCCCACCAACCTTAGATTTTCCCCAGCAAGCAATTTGAAACGCTTTTAGCCCGCACCAACTTACATCGCCTCCATCGCCTAAAGTTTGCTGTAGCAACCCCTTCAGAGCATCTTCCCCTTAAGCCGCTCTACTCGCTTTTCTTCCTCACATTACGCTCACTCCCCTAGCGGAAGGCGCCCAAAAGCCTTCCGAAGTCTTTTCGCGCTTTTTCAGAGTAATCGCCAGGTGACCGATTGCCGACCAATCGCTTTATCGCTCCCTTCTCCGTCATGCTGACGTACTTCAAAACGAAGGCCTCCAATTAGAGCAGTAAGGCAAGGTGTCACAGAGTGGGAGCGGCCTGTGATTACCTCAGTTATTGTTTGGACCGTTGCTGTTTTTACAACTATAGCCGACGGACTCTGCACACGAAATGGTAGCAACTGAGTGGCCAAACTTAGAAGCTGCTGCCAACAAAGGTACTCAACAGAAAGCATCCTGGGAATTGTAGTCTCGCTCAAGAAACCGGAAACTCCTTTATGCATCGGATGGAATCGGTTATTTCATAGTCTTTGCAAGAGGCAAAAAAAATCACAGGTGCCTGTTTTCACAGGAGTTCGTTCGTTTAGAAGCAAATACTTCTAAAGGTTCCTTGGCTGGACCACGAGTTGCGTCACTCTCATGGTTTATTATTGTTGTGCTTCCGGGATCCTTGCCCCTTATAACCCGCCTCCTGCCGCGCGTAGTAACCAATGGAATGTAACAACGAGATGGAAGGCAGCCGCGTAACCCAATCGTCTGTTGGCAGCTGCTGTTGCGAGAATAGGGTGGGCGAATCTGCCATGTTCGTACGTCACAGCAGGGGTGGAGATCCAGGAGCGGGAGGCCCTCTCGTTCGCGACATAACAGCGGCGGGGGCGCCTCGCCATCTTCAGCTCCGGGACAGGCTGAGCATAACGGTGAGGATCGTTCTTTTTGCTCACTCCCTTCACTTGGTTTCCAGCATTCAAAACCGTGTCTTTGGAGGATCCGCTCCACGACCGGTGTGGGGGAGGTGCGTTTCTTACAGTCGCCGCCTCTACTTCTTTTCTCCAGTTTCCCGTCCTCGCTGTTTTGTTTTTTTTCCCCCTCTCTGGCAATTATTATGGTGTTGAACTGGCTTCTTTTCCTTTACTGTGGCGAGTGAAATGAATCTTTCAGAGGAAAAGCTAATACTGGCCGAGTTTTCCCTATATTCTAACGGCTAGTGCAATTTTGTAAGCTCTTTTCAAATGTGTCCGTCCAAATTTAAATACACAAAAGACCGACTAGCAGTACTGCAGAACCCCGCAGATCCTCCATTCGGGTATGTGAACTGTACAGTCTTCAGTGATCACGGAAGGACTTACTCCCATATAACTGTAATTGCAGCACTTTGCGGGTGGGTGCATTAATATTGCTGCTAGCCTTGAAGAAAAACTAATTTGGAAACCTTTCACCCTGTAGCAGGTCAGTCAGGTGGTGAATTTCCTACATGTGCTGTATAAGATGCAAGTTTCTGAACCCAGGAATTCGCAAGATGGTGTCTCTTGGGGATGATTATGAAGTTACAATGAATATAAATTATGTTTTGCTTAGATCAGTTTTAGATTATTATGGGACTATACACAATTTCAGATATTGCATAGTTTCTTTTCGGAACTGCACCGTAAGTGTTTTGACATTTTGTTTTCAGTCGTTGAGTCCTGACCTACAATTGGGCTATGTATGAATTTAATGATATAGATTGTACCACAGTAGAGGTGGAGAAGGACAGGTATAGCTGGGTTTACTGCAAATGTAGTAAATGGGTAAACAACAGGATGAATAAAACACAAGGGGTCAATATATGTAAGCCAGTGAAATCAAATGTAAACAAAAAAGTGCAAGTTCATCATAGGCAGAAGTAAAGGTGTTCTTGGCCTAGGATACATTCAAAATAACTGACGTAACTCACTGTATTTTACTCAATATTCAGTATTGCTGGTAGTCAGTATTGCTAGGAGTCATTATTCTGAGTACCTAGAAATCCCTGGGCTTGGTTTGAACAATTATCTTTTGTTTTCTAAGATAAAATTCTTGGCGGACAAGATTACATGAGAAAAAAGTGTTTCTGAGGGAGCTTGAGTAAATGTTGTGTTCTGATTCATTTATTATGTTAAAAAATTAGAATGGAATGACTGGAAGCACTAAATATTCATGCAAAAAATGAGTAGAGTTTACTTGAAATAGGGCAAACACTTCTGGGGGACACCATGAGAAAAAGAAAATTAGCCAGATGATACAAAACCAGCTTTCTCAGTGCTTGAGACAATAGTGTCTAATTTTACAATATTTATATACTACTTTTTAAATTTTCTAGTTAAATTGATCCCAGATTCTACTTTTAGTGTGAAAATTGAGTCTCAGAATTTTGCTGTAATAATAAAGGCATGATGACATGTGATTGGGGGCAGAGTGTTTTCCTCTCACCACAAGGAGATGCAGGTTTCCAGACTGAGAGAAAAATAAAGGTAGCACTGTTTTTTCCAGAAGTGGTTGCATTTGGCCTAAAACACTGCTAGTGCCCATTCTCAGAGTTGCAGTTTTATTTGTTTCAAAGTGAAATTCACTTCAAAGCATTCAATTTTTTTAATCTGGTATTTACATCTTCTTTTCTTAGTCTTGCAGCATGGATCCACAGATACATCTCAGTGTGACATTCCGAGATGATACCCAGAGCTTCCTTATATCAGATGCCTCTAATACCACATGGGCTGATGTGGAAGCTATGGTGAGTTGCATATTTTCTGGTTCAAATTCACAGGTTGGTATAGGAGAAAAGGAGATAAGTATGTCATAGCAGAACAACCCAGAACCCTGATATATGTGCTGCCACCCTTTCGTGAGTGTTATGAGACCCAGTTTTCTTCCTGACCTTCTGCAGAATTGGATATTGTCCTTACAGTTGTGTAGCAGTCCTCACTCTTATATGAGCTTCATGGTTTTGAGGAAGTCAGAAGGTCATTTGGCTACTACACTGCTCACATGACTGGAGTACCCTTCAGTTTCTGAGGGAATGCTGCAGGGAGAGGCCTGACTCTAGTCTCAGGTCTGCTTCAAATACAACAGCAATTAGTTTTAAAAGCAATGAGAAACATACAAGCCTATATAGTTCTAATGCTGCTGAAAGCAATCTTTGTTTGGCTACAAATAGCTGGCTGTAAAGAGGCATTGAGGTGAGTGTTACCTGAAAGATGGTTTGGCTGGGCTTTATCATGAGCTTTCCTTGTGCTTTGTACATAGTTGTTTACTCTCTTGTATTTGCATTAGACTGTCATTTTCTCTAAATCTAGTAATATTTTTGGAATCTTATTTGCAATCCCCAAATTCTCTGGAATTTAATGTTGTGTATACTGTTTAGCTTGCTGAGAACCTATTCTTGGTTTAATTAATCTGGGAAAGGAGATGAAAGATTGCTGAGCTCCTGTGCTTTACTTAGCTCATTCTGGCCAAAGGAACCAGAATCCACTGTGCAAAATGAACACAAATAGAACTGTAGTGAACTTGTGTGATGTAAACAGCTCGCAGAATTCCAATATTCTGCATAATTTTACTTCTTTAAGCACAAGCTATGCACAGCTCCAATGGTAATGTGGAAAGGTGAAACATATTCCGGGGCATCAAAAAATGAGGGGTGTAGCTTTCTTGGAGTATGAATCCTGCCTGTTTATCTGGCTGTAATATCTGTTTATTGCATTTGTATATTGTCCAATAGCAAGCTTTCTAAATATTTCACAACAATTGAAACCATATAATACAACATAAGATAAAATGTATATCTTAAAACTACAGTATAAAATAGAAATAAAAACTAAAAACCTGGCAGCAATGCAAAGATTTAAAATGCAATAAAAGATTTCATGCATAACATTTATTCACAGAAAATATGGCAGCCCAATTCACAGAAAACCAATTCTCTTTCAGGTGAAAGTTTCATTTGACTTGAACAATATCCAGATCAAATACCTTGATGAGGATCATGATGAGGTATTACATTGTTTTAAGAATGAAAACTTTGGAGGAAATGTATACTTGTTCTTGGGGAATGAAGCCTACTTTCATGATTTTCCACATCACCAATACTTGGCCCATTTTGGAGAAAGCTTGGCTTTCAGGTTATCTCAGTTGTGTCTCTTGAAGCCTGTTCATATCAAGTTTGAAAGAATGGTGTCTCACGATAGGTATCCTGAAGGAAAAACCTCTCCCCACAAGCTTCAGTAACAGTTACTGGTTACATTGTGAGTGCCATCCCTTTGTAAAGTAGTCCTGGTCTGTGTATTCTTTGAAAGAGAAGTGATCTCTTGATTTTTAGCAAGAATTGCTCTCTCAAGACTCTTTGGGCACTGAATCCTACCATTACACCCACTCTTGCAATCTCATTGTAAATGAAAGTTGAGTGTTCAAATGTTACTTGATAACTGATTGTTTAAATAGGTCCTTGATTTATATCTGGATCAGACAGCATACAACCTGGAGGTCACCTAAGCAGCTCACTACTGATGCCTTCTCCCTGCCCCACCAAGTGTGCCCTGCTACCCTAGTTTGCCTCCTGTGCCTGTTTCTGCCCCTGCCATATGGGGTATGTAAGGAGAATATTCTCCATATGCCTTGCATAGCTGCAAAATTGGGCTCTTGTGTGGCAGCCTGGTCGATGCCCTGTTCTGCTGGAAAAGTGATCATACACATGATTTTCAGCAGAAGTGATTCTGTTGAGGAACAGAATGTACAAGGATGACTTTTCCCCATGCCCTGCTCCAAAGCAGGATCAGGTCCTCTACCAGCCTCTCAGACAGTTGATTGGAAAGCTGGTGAGCAGAGTGATCTCTGTACAGTGGTTACCTCAGCTCATGAATGCCTCAGTTCACGACCAAATCGGGTCTCAAACAAAAATTTCATAAAAATTTTGACTCCGGTCCTGAACTCCGCATTGGATGTCAACCACGATCACGGCCATCTCCCCACCCCACCACAAATGGGGAGATGGCCGTGATCGTGCTGGGGTTGCGGGGGAGATGGCCAAGATGGCGCCTATCTTTCCTGCACAAGCACGCCTGTGATTGGGCCCATCTTTCCTGCAGGAGCACAACCATAATCTCAGCCATCTCTCCTCCCAGCATTGTGCCCGTCTCCCCCCCCCCCGAGCCTGTGTTCGTACCTGTCTCTCCCAGCGCGCCCACGATCACTCCCTCTCCCCCCCACCAAGCGCGCCCACAATTGCACCCGTCTCTCCCCCGCCACGCGCTGGGATGACGGGCATGTGCAAGGATGAGGGGCGTGATCGCGGTCATGCTGGGCGGGGGGTGATGACTTTGCTTATGCTCAGGGTTGGGAAGGAGATGGCTGCGATCTTTGTTCTCTGTCACTTTGCTTTACATTTTTCTGATTTAAAAAATGTAGTTACAGAACGGTTTAGCCTTATTTACATGGAACCTTATGGGGAAATTTAACTTGACTCATGACCAATTTGGGTCATGAGCCAAGTTCCTGGAATGGATTAAGTTCATGAGCCAAAGTACCACTGTGTATCTAATTTGCAGCAGAATTAGCTGCTTCCCTGGAAAGGAGTGTTTGAACTGACTCTTCTCTCACACCTGTTTCCCAGCAGAAGTGATTCATGCTGGAAGTGAAGGTGTGCATTGAGAGTTATATGCATACCTTCTTATCTAGCACTATTGCTTAGAAGAGGCAAGAATGAAGCCTTTTTCCTTCTACTAGTAGTCATAAGAGGAGTGCTGGAATTTGGCAGTTGGGAGGCTTTAAATTTGTGACCCCCCCTTCATTCTCTGTGACTTGGATCATGATCCCTGGGAGGAGAGGAGGTTGAAGTATCTTTCTTTTCTCAGTGTCTCAGTTGGGATTTTGGGAGCAGCGTTAATGCTACTAGTCCTAGCAATTTGGATTACAATCACTTGGAAGAAGCTTAAATTCTGTCTTCCTCTCCGTGATCCTGATCAGAGCTGTGGGGATGCATGGTGCATGTGGGAGGAAGCAGAGGTACATCTTCTGGATGATGAAATTGGCCCCAGCAGTTCCTAAAATTGCCAGTATCTGAATTGGAGGCAGATAAAACTCTTATACTTCCTGCCTGTGATTAATGTGAGCAGGATGTAGGCTTTGAGTCACACTTATTTCTGTGCTAGTATATTGTGCCTGCATAATGCAGAGAGAAAGACATGATGGACACCAGATTGGATTATTTTTTCAGTACAGATCAGTACTTCGAAACCCTGTATTTAAAAACCTATTCCTTCTTGCCTACGTGCCCTCCCACCCCTTGTGATCTGAGGTAGAGGTCCTCCTCTGGGAGCCCTCCTTGAAGGAGGTTAGGAGGGTGGCTACCCGGAGGAAGACCTTCTCTGCAGTGGCACCACAACTGTGGAACATGCTCCCCAGAGAGGTTTGCCTGGTGCCAATGCTTCTTTCTTTTTGGCGTCAGGTGAAAGCCTTTTTATTCTCCCGCTATTTTAATTGTTAATTTATCTTAATACGTGGTTTTACAGTTACATTTAATATTGGATGGCATGCTACTTTTACTTTGTTTTATTTTATTGTTGTTGTAAACTGTCCTGAGATGTCTGTAATGGGACAGTACACAAAAGTTTTAAATAAATGAATAAATATATTTTCTCTGCAAGCATAAAAAGTATGACAATTCATTTTTAAAAGTGTGTCTCTCTTCTGGGATACTCAAATATTTGATCTGAATCAAGTTGAAAAGTATTGTTTGGCATTTTCACTAAAATCTGGAACAAAAACTCTGTATGTGCACCTTTCTCCAATGACAAAATCTTGTGGACTGCTGGCTGTTACCATAATTTGTTCGTTTCCAGCCAGTCAGTTGCATTGCTCTTGATGTGCTCCAGCTTTTCACAGTGTGGTTTCCTTCAGATGTGTTGGGTTACAGCACCCACTATCCAGCCAACAGGGCCAACCAGCATAGCCCAACACATCTAACGGAGGTACCAGGGTCAGGGAGGTTAGCATAGAATTTCATGACTGACACCTGTAACAACATCACCTGAGAAGAGAGAGGCTGCTGGTACAAAACTTTTGTATGCGGCAAGGGTGAACTTGGAAGAAGCCCTGGTTATGGAACTGGGTAAGGTCTAACCAGCATTTATTTCTCTAAAATTTGGGACAATCATCTGTAACTCCAGTAAAGTGCAAACAGAGTTATTGAGCTTGACAGTGCCATGAAATGTGGATCTAAATTGTAGAAGGGTGGGGTGGGGAAAGCAGCTCCTTATTAAAGAGGCTGCAAGCAAGTTAATGATAGCATGGAGTGTTAGTGGTGAATCCAGGCAGCAACTTTGAAATCCTGGATGGAAGTCTGCCCTTGATTTTAGGCTGGTAAATGTTATGAGCAGCAGGGAAGTGACTCATTTATGTTTTTTCCCCCCAGATTTCAGTCAATACTGCAGGTATGTTGCCTTTGACTTCCTTGTAATAGCTGACAAGGCATCTTGACTATGTTTGCTAGAAATAAAAACAATAGCTTGAAATAGTGTAGGGAAAAATCAAAGTATACACTTTCTATGCTCAGTATAACAAGCTTTATAAGGAGTATTTAGTAAAGGTTAAATGGTTATCTCAGAACTGTGTCATTGTCAGAATGGAAGGAGGCTTTCAGTCTACAGTGTTTATGGGTACCATTTATGAATAGTACTATATGAATGACCTGCAGCCAGGATTTGGCTTGTTTATTTAAATCAGGGGTGAGCAACAGGCTGGCTGCCCATGACCCTCCACTCCCGGGGGGCGGGGGGGTCCCAAGCATCAGAGCTGCCTAGCTGGCTGTCAGTATTTGGTGGTTAGCCAGCACTAATAAAAAGGCAATGGTGCTCTAAAACAAGCTATACAGGCAGAGTTTAGACATAATTGTGGGGTGGGGCATTGTCAGAGTCGCAGAGGGCAGGAATATAGCCCCAGGGAGAGGGAATGTAGCCTAGCAAACCCTGGATATTGCCCACCCCTGGTTGAATCAGTATGCCTGGTGGGCAGAAAATGAAGTTTAGTCCCTGCCTGGCTGCTTTGGGCTACAATGTAAGATTTTCTACAGGCTTTATCATTCTGCCTCCTCTGGTCTTTTTTCCTTCACCTATCCCAGCATGTTATACTTTTGCTCCTACTTTTCATTTCTGTGTCTCTCATTTATTCTAATTTAAATACACATTGCCTCCTATTTCAATGCTCTGTGGAAAAATCTTTCCAAGCCCAAATAGTATTTCACTCCCCTTAAGAAGGTTGTGACATTCCTTTTCCACAATTAGTATATTCCATGAAACATTCCATGAAATCATAGCTCCACGGCTTTGAGCAAGTGGGATACAGACAGCTGGCAAATGTTGGCCAGTTTTTTTTAGCTGTTATGCTCCTGTCCAGTTGTTATGTTCTTGTCAGTTGTGCTGCATTTACTCTTGTCCAAATGTTTACTAATTCACTCATAGGGAACTAGAAGTTGAATCCTTTCAAAACGGATATAAAACTGAAATTTGATATTCTCACACAATCCAGAATATGTTGGGCTTTTTGTTTTAAGAAAACGGCAAATGAAACATCTTTATATCCAACAGCTGAAACTTAATATGGGGATGGCACTTCATAGTCATATTCGGAGCAAGCCAATCCATGTAGGAGAAGAATATGGGCATGTAGTAGTTTCACAACTTTGAGAAATCCTTGGAACTTGTATAATTGGTAGCTTGTATATAATTTCATGGAGCATAGTGTTAATTTATTTGTCCTTAATATATTATAAAATGTGCTATATGACTTTCAGGGTAGTTCTGGACATGGTAGTGCTCACGGTCGTGTTTGTTTCTCTCTTTCTTTTCAGAAGAATATGAAGAAGCATTGAAGGTAAATGATGTGGCCAACTTTTCTGGCTATTTTTGCAATGGTATCGCTCTAACATTGTGGAGGTTCCATGTTGTGGTATAGGAAGAACCTGTAGATCTTTCCCATATTTCTCAGGGTTGTCATTTCTGTTGAAGTTGCTCTTGGAGTTGCATCAGCATTTCTATAGGAAGGTTTCAGGGTCATTGATTTCAAGTAAATTTTATTTGGAATGCCTGGTTTTCAGGAATGTCTGCTCATGATAGACTGTTGCTGCATGGTGTTGCTGATGGTATGCCCATTAACAGGGATAGGCATCCTGGTGCTCTCAAGGTATTGTAGACATCAGTTCCCCTGATCCATTGGCCATATTTAATAGGGCTGACAGGAGTTGTGGATTTTTTCTCTCTCTCTATTATTATGATAGAAGATACACATTCTTCTAGCCAGAGATTAGTGTGATACAAATAGGCAATCCTGTATGAAATCCATAATGGAAAGGAAGGGTGTCACCATATTCTCAGGTCACATTTTCTAAACAAGATATTATGGTAACATATGTTTTAGCTGTTTTACATTTTGTGGTGTTGCTTTGTTTTTATGCTATCTGTATTGTATTGTTTTTATGGATTGTTGTAAACCACCCAGAAAGCTTCAGCTGTCAGAATGTAGAGAAATGAAATAATAACTGTTGCACAAGAAAAGTATTCCTTAGAAGGTCATGCTGCTAATTGTTCTTCATGTTGTATTAGTCATTCTGCTAATTCTAGAATTAGCTACACTAACATACTGGTATGTTCCAGGGTAATGTAAAATCCCTTGTGAATCAAGACTGCACTTCTCTGGAGGCTTGTCTATGTGCTAGTCACCTCTTCTCTGCCATTGCTTCACATCTGTTGAACTCTATTTCTCATGTCACATTTCTGCACCTTCTTATGCTGGCTTTTTATCATTCTATTCTCTCTACAACGCCATGGTTCTAATCCTAGTTCTTCCTGTAACACTAAGAACATTGGTTATTGGACAAATTAATCATATAATAAATAAATAACATAATGTAAATACAATGTAAACAATTATTCCTAATAAAGAAGCTTAAAACAATTAGCTCAGATTGATGACCATATTAAAATAACAAGAGTTTTATTGTTAGTTGCAAAGTTGTGTCCAACCCATCGCGACCCCATGAACCACATTCCTCCAGGCCTTCCTGTCCTCCACCATCCCCCGGAGTCCACGTAAGCTCACGCCGACTGCTTCAGTGACTCCATCTAGCCACCTCATTCTCTGCCGTCCCCTTCTTCTTTTGCCATCTATTGTTCCCAGCATTAGGCTCTTCTCCAGGGAGTCCTTCCTTCTCATTAGGTGGCCAAAGTATTTGAGTTTCATCTTCAGTATCTGGCCTTCTAAAGAGCAGTCAGGGTTGATCTCTTCTAGGACTGACCAGTTTGATCGCCTTGCAGTCCAAGGGGCTTGCAGGAGTCTTCTAACAAGAGTACAAGGATTGTTTTAAAGGCCTGCAAAAATAACAAAGGTCTTCACATGGCAAAAAAAGAGCACCGAAAAGGTGAGCTGCTCTGAGAGGATATTCCATAATCTGGATGCTGCCACCAAGAAGCCTGCCTCCATTAGTAATCATCCACCACTTTGCTTGGCAGGGACATACTGAGCAGAGCCTTCAAAGTAAATATTATGTGTCAGGTAGGTATCTAAGTGACTAGTTCCCAAGCCATGTAAGACTTTTTAAATTATAAATATCAACTTTTTACATTCTGAAACTTTAAATTGAAGAGTGGGAGAAGTCAGTGTCACCTGCACATTTGCTTCTAACCACCAGCAGCTCTGTGTGTGTGTGTGTGTTTTGGGCAACTAGATTGGTTGGTTCAGTGTGACTTGCACTTTTGGGTTTGCCCTTGCAGGAAAACTGCATGTGAGGGAGTTGTACATCTATAAAGGTATCTTTATTGCAAGCTCTTTCTTTAGATTGCAGTGAAACAAGGCAGTCGACTACAGATGAATGTTTATGAAGTAAGTGCTCCTCCAGGCATGCCTTCACAGGAAGCGCCTGAGAAATCTGAGAAATTTCTTATTTCCAAGGATGGCAGGAAGCACTGTTCTCACTGTTCTGCATTTACTCAGACCTTGGTACAGGCCAAAGATACTGAAAAAGACGAGAGGCAGCAGGTAGGACCAAAAATGTTAATTTTTAATCACTGCTGTGCCTGGGGTAATTTTATTGACTGTGTAGTTATCTGCCAGAGTATATTGCATTTCATTGTATTTTACTTTATGAATTCTTATTGTATGAGACTTTATCATATGAATTTTATTGCTATATATTTGTTTTGGATTGTACACCTCTCAGAGAACCCTGAAGGACTAAGGAAGTAGTTTATAAAAGTAATAAGTTCTTCAGGTACTTCCCCTAGAATAACCTTCCCCAACCTGATAATTTCCAAATACTGTCAATTACATCTTCTAAAATCCTTGCTGGCTTGCACTGTTAGTAGTTGAAATTCCAAAGAACTTCATTTTGATAGTAGCAGGTTGGCAAAAGACATTTTTGGAGTATGTGCTTCTAACAGACAGGCATTACATGAGTATCCAAAGGTTTCAGAAAAGTGGAAATATTGGATAAATGGAATTTCTGCTTACCTAGGATTGGGACTACATGGGGATTGACGCACATTTACTTGCTTCTAATCAACTGGCTTCTTCCAATTCAAGTTTCAGGATCTGTCGTGAATCATTGATGTGTCAATTTCCTGTAACTTTCCTTCTGAGACCATGAGCTCAGTGAACAGATCCAACCATATTACTAGTAACTGAGTACATGACACAGATTTTCAAGTAGCCATCACCACAAATACAAAGGCATGTTTGTTGTCTGCTCTCAGAACAATGAATCTGCTGCTTCTAGCAGGAAGTCCACCTTAGTTTTTGTGGGAAAAATAATGTGGCCAAAATTAAAGAGTGCATGCTAAGTTGTGTACTAAGTTTCTGCTTTTTAAAAAATATATCTCCAGACCAGCAACCTTCCCAGTGAGGATCCTCCTGAGTGGTTTACAAACTACTTGGAAAAGGTGAATACTTCTTCTAGACTTGTATTACTGCTTTCAGTCCTTTTTTGCAAAAGGCTTTGAGAAGGGGGCATTGGAGGTGGCACAGTGTGTCCATGAAATGACATACCTTACTTGCTTCTCCAGATGTAAAAGGAGCTTGGTGCACAAACTGAAACTTGATAGAAACAACACCAGCTTCCAAACTAAACACAAATGACTGGTACTGTTAAGGAGGACACTTCTATCAGTTGTAAAGGTTGAAGTGGGGTTAAAGGAGTTGAGGAGACATAGGGGGAATGCTGGCAGATCTACCTCTCCTTTTTGCTGTGTGATAATTTGAAGCATATAAGTATGGTTATTATGTTCTGAATTCTATAGCAATGTATGCATATTCTGTTTGTTTTCTTATGCTGTAAGCCACTCATTGCCTGCCAGTTTTAGCGTAGAACTGCCTGTACCAGTTCTGGGTTTGAGGAGCAGAGTAGGAACTGGAGAAAAGCATTCAGAGAAAAGCTGAGAAACCTTGCTTAAGGTGTGTGTCTTTCTTCTCCCTCTCTCTTTCCAGTTCCGGGAGCAAGTGGTTCAAGAAACTGTTGAAAGGCTTGAGCACAAGTTGAACAAGAAGCTCCTCCTTTCCAGCCAGCTCCCCAGCTCCATTAGCAACTCTGCACACCATGTCCCTGCAAGCCCCTTGAAGCAAGGCAACCCCTTTGACTGGCTACTTTCCTGCAGTAACTGTCAGGCCCCCATTGTGGGCATTCGCTACCAGTGCAGGTAGGACATGAGCAGAGGACTTAAAGACCAAGCCTGTGTAGCTCTGTTCATTCCTTATGCCCAAAATCAGATTTTGACATCCTAAAAATTTCCTGGGATAGAAGGGAGTTTTGCATGGGTTTGTTAGGGTTGCTGTTGAATTCTGAAAAATCATCCCTGGGTTATGACAAGGGTATGAATCAATGCACTTCAAAAGTCCTGTCCTTCACAGCGCTGCTCAACTCTTGTAAGGCTGAGTTGAGGCTCTTGTAATGGAATCAATCCGTTTCATAGTTGGTCTTCTGTTTTCAACTTTCCTTCACATTATTGTCTTCTCCAGTTAGCCTTACCCTATTAATCACGTGTCCAAAGTGCAACAAACTCAGTTTCATCATTTTTGCTTCCATGGAAATTTCTGGTTTGAGTTTATTCATTTATTTACATATATTTATAGGCTGCTTATAATTGCCGAGGCCGTCCTTTAGACTAGAAAGGTTCAGGGTATTTGCAAAACTCTTCTCCAGGACCATATTTTGAAGGCACCAATTTTGGTTCTGTCAGCTTTCCCATACATGCAAAGTAATAAGGAATACAAGATCATCTTGGTCCAAATGCCCAGCGGAAAGTCCTTAACGTTATCTTTTCTGGTTCCTTCATTGCTGCCCTTCCAGGTTTCAGTCTTCTATTATCTTGTCTGCAATCATTTCAGTTGATGATTGAGCTAAGGTATGCAAAAATCCTTAACATTTTCAACATCTTTAAAGTCATGTAATTCTTCCATAGTTGCGACTTTTATGTTCTCAATGCTCAGCCACAGTCCTGCTTTTGCACTTTCTTCTTTCACTTTTACCAGGAGCCATTTCAGTTCATTGCTTCTTTGTACCAGTAATATGGTATAGTCTGCATATCTTCAGATGCATCTTTTGCCAATTTTCACTCTCTTTCATCTGATCCTAATCCAGCTTTCCTTATTTTGTGCATGCAGCTGGAACACAAGGGGATATAAAAAGCATTCTTTGTCTTCTGCCTTTGCCCCTAAGAACGCATTCTGTTTCCCCATATTCTGCCCTAACTGAAGCTTCTTGTCCATGATACAGGTCACATATGCCTCAGAACCATCAAGTATTGAGGCACACCCATTTCCTTCAGAACCATCCATAGCTTTTTGTGTTTCACACAGTGGCTATGTTCACATATAAATACTAAGCAATACCATGAAGTAACTTACCTTACCTTGTGTCCTGTATTCATATATTAATGAGGTTAGTACACGTGAGTACTTTCTGTGAGCCTCCATCTTCCTCCCAAATGGGGTCATGTATCCCAATAGCCCCCACTGCTGGGAATCAATCCCAGCATGCACTGCTACTACCTCTCCCCCCCCCCCCCCAGCTCTCCTCCATCGGCCCAGATGCTCTCCTGGGCATGTTCTGAGCCAGTCACCACCTTTGTTCCCTGCTTCTCTGCAGGAGCAACAAAGCACCCCCTGCTGCCACCATAGTGTGTGCTCATGCGAAGGCACTCACCTGTCCACACATCTCCCCCCCCCCTTGCTGCACATGTGCCCAACACTGCCCCCCATGTGCAGGATGTGCACGTGCTGGCATGGCTGCCTCCCCACAGCAGCCCAGTGCATGGAGGGCAGCAGTGTGGGCTCCAGTGCCAAGGATGAGGTGAGCGTGCTGTACCAGGCATACTTTCCCAAGGATGCTTGTCTGTCAGGCTATGGTGGAGGGTGGAGGGTCATTGTTTGCAGAAAGTCTCCTCGATTGTTGGGGACAGGTTGGGAGTGGGGCAGGAGGCAGAGCCAGAGACGGGCTCCTGGGGATGCTCACCCCAGTATCAAGGCCACGTGTGCTGCTTGTGCACTTCCTCAGCACAGTGCAGCAGTCATGCAGGAGCATCACACATGGCTGCCTTCGTTGCTCTGCTGGAGGTGCTCCCTGTCCTCCCTCGCACCGTGTGTCCCCTTATGCCTGGCTGTCCCACTGCCATGCTGCATCACCCACCATCATGCCAGTTTGCATGGTGCCATCCTCCTTTGCAGGAGCAATGGAAACACAGGCACAGCATGGGAGGTGACACTGCGGTGCAAGGTGGACAGCATGGTATCTTAGCACAACAACAGGAGAGGTGGACAGTGGATGTTGTAGCAGTGGAACATTAGAGGACACTGTCAAGCAAATGAGATATGAACATATATTAGCTTATGCACATCTGGGGAGATCCTTTTTATGTTCGGGTAAGAACTTAGGGCCAAGTCACATAGTACAATATACTGCCGCCCATTTAAACCTTCATTTGATTCAGAGGTCAAATGAGGGTAAAAACGCAAGTCCCAAACCATTTCCAATAGTTTGATAATATATTTAGAAAAAAATAGAGGGCATCTGTCTTCTCCAAAGCCTTTATGTACATTACTGGATCCTGTGCAAGTGTCTGACCCTCTCAACAGGCTTCCCTGGAAGGGTTTATCTTACCTTACCTACTCTGGAAGCCTCATTACTCTTTGACAGACCTTAAAACAGCTATTGCTTTAAGAAAGGTACATCATAGCTTCACGTATGCATATGCTCAATTCCTTCCTGTAAAAAAGTTGCAATTCCAGATGAATGGCAGTTCACCTGGGAATAGTAAAAGAAAGGCTGCCTCTGCTGGGAATGTCATCAGTGAATCCTTAATATTTTGGGAAGCCATGATTAATGGGCAAAACACCTACATACTGACAGGCCCTGCAAAAGTAAGCTGCCATGTACTGTTAGGTGCAGGGGAATCCCTGCAAATAGATTTTGTAGGAAGTGTTAAAAAGGGAATATGAGACCAACAATTCAGTTGATTTGAACAACTGTTTTGTTTCCTAGCATCATTGGCATACACCTTCTCTGCCTGCCCCACTTATTCAACACACCCTCTTAGAAATCATTGGAGAAATCATTGGAGAAAACAAAATGTGTGAATGGGCTCCTTCATATTTACCAGGGTACCTCTGATAATTGAGAGGTGGAGATGCAACCTGACATCACAGTGAAGGACTGTGACAAGTAGAACTGTATGTTTGAAAGAAAACACTGAGACTTTTAGATAGACTTCTGAATAATAAATGTGATTGCACATAGGAATGTTTTAACCAACTTGTAACTTGAGCTTGACTGTGCACTGGAATGGAATATATCTGCTCAAAATCTGACTGTGAAAGTTTGCATTGTAACAGAAGGGTAGAGATATATTGCAAGAAAGCAAGATAGGTTGAAATTGATTACGCTGAAATACAGGTGTCAACAAATTTACTCAAATTAGCATATCTAATAAAATTAGTTTTTATGCAACTACAGGCATCAGGTTTAGTGAAGGATACCATTCTTATGATTTACAACCAAGGAGGCTGGAAGCCAATTAATTAAAGGTTTTTCATATTACAAATTAAAATGTCTACTGCCCATGAAGTTTGTTTTCTTTTCCTCATATCTGAGTACAAGAGATACTGTGGCCAATAAAGCTAGGAATCAGTCCTGATAACTAGCCATACTCAATGAGAACAGCAGTGTTTTGCCTTGCTCTTCTCTAAACCAAGTATGTGTAATCACTCTACAGAGGATAAGGCAGGCAGCCTCATAAGGCCATATAGAACACCTTGCAGACGTAAAGCTATCTGTGGGATAGTACAGCAAGCCAATCAGGCTGGGGTTGTTTGAAAATCTGTGAAGACAGACAAAATGAAAACATCTCCATCCTTGAATGTTTTGGTTTATAAGCAAAATGAAGCATAATGTAGGAAAAAGAATCTCATAGGTGGTCACCATAGCTTAGGTGGCAATTCCACAGGTGGTCCTTCCTCTATTAATATTCAAATGCACTGTTATTAGGATGAGCCTGCTTCTGAATAAAGAGTCATATTGGTACAAAAAGAAATTATATTGCTGTGATGTAAATTTTCACCCAGATTATTTCCTTGTAGGCCTATAGCTGCTAGCTATCTTGTGTTGTAAGCCGCCCCGAGGCTTCGGCAAGGGGCGGCATAGAAATGTTATAATAATAATAATAATAATAATAATAATGGGAGGGAAGACAGGGAGCACAGGTGGAAGGCTTACCTGCAGGAGAATCAGATAGATTGATAAGAGGAGGGATGTTATCAGATTTCCAAATGACCCTTGTTGGTATAGTATTACTTGTTTGTGGTGTTAGCTTAACTGGGGGCAAAATACTAGCGTTCCTATATGCTTTCTGCAAAAGTTTTGTTCTGTGCAAATTTCTTTCACCTTCTCCAGGTTAAGGAAGGGATTCTACTGGAATAAAAGGTTAACATGATTCTTGTTGATTGATATGAATTGGCAAGACTCAAAAAACATTTCAAATCAATTTTATATGAAGGGTGCTCAAGTAACAAAAATTGATGATTTAAAATGGGCCATTTACTATTCTACCTTGGCAGTCTTCCATTTTTGGATAATATAAACAACACTACTTTGTCGGGGTTGTTCACCAAGGAGTGGGGCAAATTTTGTGGTAAAAACTCATTTCCCTTCGTCCCACTTTCCCATTTGGTTCCAGCAACTGCAGAGGCTCAATAAATATGATCAACCTGATTGTGTAAAGAGTTTAAATCAAATAATTTCCTGACAGCCAAATCTAAGGTCTCATATTTTTGTCAGGATCTGGACAGTCAAAAATGTCTGCATAACTAAAATTTGGGGATAAAGAAGAGTGTCAAAATCTTCTGAAATCAGAGGGGGTTTAGTTCCTATTTTAGTAGGAGGTGCAAAACTACCATGAGCCCTGTTGGGCAACATAGAAGAAGGAACAAGAAATTCTCCAAAATTAAAAAAAAAAAAAAAAAAAAAAAATCCCAAAAAAAAAAAAAAAAAAAAAAAAAAAGATTACAGAGGCAGCAGGAGCAATGGGGAAGCACTTCATCCAATTTCCTTCGCTTTTGCTGAACCAGCTCAGGAGGAGAATCAACCATTACTCTCTGACATCTCATGACCCCCAGTCTAACCACAATAAATGTTTAAAATTAAATAGTTTTAAAATAGTAAATTACTAAAGTAAAAGTACCAAAGTAATGGGATTAAAATGCTGGACCTTGAGTAAAAGCTAATATATTAAATGCTTAGTAGGACTTGGGTCTATAATGTGGTGCAAAGGCTTACACTCATAGATAGGTGAACCACTCAATGACTCAACTATTTCTCAAAAACGTGGTTTAAAATATTACAGCCATATGACAAACAATCCTAGGTTAAACAATGTCCTTGCACTAGTTAAGAAATACTTTTTACTTCCTCAAATAGATTTTTCAAATATAGGAGCTGGAGCAGTTAACAAAGCTGCTCTTGTTCCCAAAGTCGCTGGCCAGAACAGGAAGACTACAGAAAAACATTGTAACTGGCTTCACACATAACCACAAGTAATGTGAAAATGTAGAAGCCCTTGGAGCACACTGCTGGCTCTGCATGGTGATTCAGGGTAACTATTATGTGCCACGTTTCCTTATGCTTCCTGTGTTCACACATAACGAGAAACACTCTTCAACATGGATTGTTATGTGTGAATGACTTTGGGCTGGTCAGACTCTCAGCCCAACCTACCTCACAGAGTCATTGTGAAGAGAATAAGATTGAGAGAAGGAGGAGGTAAAGTAAACAGCCTTAAGTTTCTTGGAAGGAAAATCAGTGTGATATACACCTGTTGTTGTTATGTGCCATCAAGCCATCTCCGACTTAAGGCAGTTGAGCACTCCAAAATGTCCTGTCCATGACAGCCCTGCTCAGCTCTTCCAAATTCTAATCTGTGGTTTCTCTAATGGAGCCAATCCATCTCATAGTTGGTCTTCCTTTTCTTCTTACGCCTTTGACTTTCCTTAGCATGATTGCCTTCTCCAAGGAGTTTTGCCTTCTCATGATGTTCCCAAATTTTGACAGCCCCTGTTTTGTCATTTTTGCTTCTAAGGAAAGCTCTGGCTTCATTTGACCCACTTATTCATTTCTATGTCAGTCCAGGGTATTGGCAAAGCCCTCCTCCAGTACCATGTTTTGAATGCATCATTTTTTGTCCTGTCAGCTTTCTTCACTGTCCAGCTTTTACATTCAAACATAGTAATTGGGAATACAATACTGTGGATGATCTCGGCCTTGTGCAATGAAACATCCTTAAACTTGATCTTTTCTGGTCCTTTTAGTCTCTTCGTGATAGTTGCTGAAAGGTTACATTTGGGATTCTGGCCTAATTCTGTCACCCTCTGCTTCTCACCTGTCCTTAGCAATTCTGAAGGTTCCTTTCATCATCAGTCTAAGCCTGTTTTTTTCTTTTTGCTGCAGGATGTTGTGTTTGGTTGTTTGTTTTGTGTGTTCTTCCCTAATATCTTTGGTTTCAAATATTTGTGAAATTTTCATGACAACAGTTCAGCTGATGAGTTAGTTTACAATACAGTCTATTGGGGGTTCATTTACCCATGAGAATATACCCGCTATTGATCTTCTAGAGTGGTCTCCTGATCCTTATTTTCTCAGGTGCATAGGTAAGTGGGCTGCTTCTTCCAGGGTTGACATATAATACCAGAAGGTTTGTTTGTTAGTTTAATGTTTTAAAAGAGATGTTATATATTTTATTTCAAATCATTTAATTCATGTTTGCTTTTACATTTTGTTTTTAAATCTTTTATCTGTGGACGTTTTGTATTTTAAACCTTGGGCATGGAATACACAGAGCAGCAAAGGAGAGAAGCTTGTTGATAAGGTTGCATGAAACTGTTTTGCTTCAAAATGTTAGGTAAAAATGGGCCTTACTAGAACGCCATACTGAAATATGGGGATTGCTCCCACCACTGAAATTACTCCTCCAAAAAACCAAAGAAACCAAGCAAATAATATATTTCTTTTAAGATAAGGGGGCAGAAGAAAAATACTTGCATACCCCACATTCCATCTTAGATTGGTCTGTGGGCCTTAAAATAGTGTTTGGGTTCTTAAAGAGAAAGTTCTTCCCATGAATCTGGCACTGGAGCTCACACTCACTGAAAGCATGGCATCCCCGGGGTTGGTACGGACAGCTGAAAGTGATAATCAGCTAGAGGGATTCATGATGAGGCAGATTGTGGAGCTAGTTTGGAGCAAAGAAAAGCAAACAAGGAAGAATCTTCTAAGTGAAACAAGATAACACAGATGGAGAAGGCCTTTCAATTGAAGGCTGGCTCTTTTTGTTAATGAAGATGTTCGAATGTGCTAAATCCTTCTTATTGGAATGTAGCAAGTGTTACTGGTAGAAGTTTCAAGAAAACTTCTTCCAGGTGCAGGGGAGGAATCCAATAAATACCAGTTTCAAGCCAGTTGTAAAGAACAGAAAGAGCAAGAAGGAATGCAATAAAGAAGAAAAGCATACACATTTTAAGATCAATTTTGATAAATTTAAGTTCTTAGCTAACAGCCCCTAAACAGAAATCAGAGCAGATGACAAGGGGTTTAAGAATAAAGAAAATGAGGATTCACATTATCACATTCAGCCTGAAAGCACTGCTAGTCTCTCGCTGCAGCCCCACTCATCTATTCCATTCCAGGCTCACACTTTTGCGGTACAGGATCCATTATTATATGTATAGAATGTTAGCAACAGTGACAATTGCCATGCTATCTTAAACCAAAGGAACTTCTAGCACAGAATGATCATAAACTGCATTTATTGTAAATTCTTTATGCAGTTTTCCCAGTTCACACACTATGGCTGATGTAAGTCATGGGTATATTTATATTACAGTTAGTATAGTGCATGTGCCGTGATCACCCTCAGAGAGCACAGCTCAGTCTGAATTGTTTCTAAAATAGGGTTGTACTCACTGAAAGTAGGATAGCAGTTTTGAGATTCTTTGATAATTTAATGCCTCTATTGGCTTTAGGTGGCTTTTTGTACAGTATCACATGTACAAAAAGCAACTCAGTTGAGAATGCCGGCAGTCTTGAAAATTTAATTGACCTGAATGCCCCGAAGAAATCTCCTTCACTCACAAAAAACAGGCAAAAAGTGAAGGGGAATGGATAGGCAAGGAGAGTTCTTTTAAAGATGAGGAGAAAACACTGTTGGACCTTTGCCCCTAGAAGTGCCAGATGAAATTGTGAGGAGGCTTAGATCCCATGAATCTATTTGATAAATATACAAACAGGATGTGATGCATCTACAGATAAAAAGTGGGTACATAGGACATCAATAGATCCCCTAGAAGAAAATGGAGTAGTTACTAGAAGCCAGTATGGATTTATCAAGATGATAAGTTATATGTTTGGAGGAAGGGGAAACCTTTTAGGCTATGTGTTAAGACAAATAATTTTAATTTTTTTCTATCCCTTGCTCACTACATCTTTATACACATTGCTGCAAGTAATCTATTGATAAAAATGAAAAAGCTGTTCCTTAACACACAGCTTTGCCTTTTTTTTTCTCCCTCTGGACACAGTGTGTGCTCATCCTATAGCATCTGTGAATTCTGTGAAGCAGGGATATATGCCCATGACCCTAACCATGTGCTTTTGAAGCTGCGGAGGCCTGTTTTATGTCCCTCTGAGACATACAATCTTGGACAATTTTCAGCTCGCCTCACCACATTGGAACATGTCAGGTAAGCAGCCAAAGTTCATTCAGAACATTGCACTCTGTTTAGGATTAAACAACTCAATAGTTTTAATGGATCCACCATCCATGGTTTGTTGTTAGCTTAAAACCTACAGTTGTTGAGTCCTAAGCAAACCAAAATCCAAGGCTTGCAACAAACCTGGAATAAGACTTTTCCTGATTTGTTTACAAAGCCGGATGGAAGGGATGAGTACATAGGAAGCAGTGCACTTGCTCCTATACTCTGGCTATTCTTCTCTTTTGTTACATTTCCATACTGCCCAACAGCCATTACTGTCCAAGTGGTTCAGAAAAATTGAATCATCCATGGATCACCATCACATGTGAACTACACCAGATCACAGATCACTGATCTGAATTTAGCCAAATCCTTGAATTCAGGCCTCTAGATATCCCTCCCTCTAAACATCTCACTATCACACAAACCACAAAAAGCAGGCAGATCTAACATGACTCACACTGACTACAGAGTCAGTGTGAAGTTAACTCCTACTCTGGTTTCTGGGCTCTTTAGCCTTCTGTGTCCAGATCTCTCTTGTTCTTTCATCCAGTCTGACCAGCTTCTAAGTGCAATGTTTTCATCAGTTTTATCCTCTTCCACCAGCTGGCCAGGATTCCCATCACAATAGTGTTGATGGTTTGAGGAGAGGAAAGGCAGAAGCTTGAAAAGCCTGAGTTAGGTGCGCCTCCAGCAGTCCACTATGTGGAGTGTTCACATGCCCATTTACCTACCATCTGTGGGTATACCTAAGGAAGGTAATACTAAGCCTGGCTGGAGGAAATGGTATCTGCACTCACCACCTGTTCTAAGACTCTTGGGGTATCCTGATAAGTGAGAGGTGAATGGTTTCAACACCACAGTCCTTCTGAGTTTAAACTTTGTTGCTAATAGTGGCAGGATCCATATGCCAAGACTGTCTGAAGCAAAATTGACCCCTTCTTTCAATCTGTTCAGGCTCCAGAAACAGATGGACAAGCGCTTCTTGAAGGCAGAGAAGCAACGTCTCCGGGCAGAGAAGAAACAACACAAAGCTGAAGTGCGGGAGCTTAAAAAGCAGTTGAAGTGGCACCGGAAGATCCACCTGTGGAACTCTGTCCATGGACTAGACAGCACTGGCTTGACAGCTGCCAAATCTGAGAGTCTACAACCCAGTACATTTCTGTAAGCAATCCTGGCTCTGGGCCACATCAGGGAGGCTGCATCCCCAAGTCTGGATTTTGGTGAATTCTGAGGGATACTGTGCCCTAGCAAAGCATGGGCTTTGTATGATGATCTTCCTCATTTCCAGCATTTATAGCTTCTTTGACTCCCTTCCCATGAACCCTATGTTTTCAAGATCCCTGGTCCCTTCCTAAGACTCCAGTTTTCAGACTGAGTGACCCATGGTGATGTGTGGTATAGAGCTGCTCTAAAATTCAGCCTTTGAATCTGTCTCACATAAGGAAAGGAGATTAACATTGAGCTTGAATTGAGTAATCAGACTGCATCTTCTACTTTGCAGTCCCCTGCAAAGCTGCCCAGTCACTGTCCCTACACTGAGTGCTGCCTTTATGGATGAGAATCTTCCAGACGGAACTCACATCCAGCCAAGAACAACATTTATCAAGCATTGGCGCATGAGGAACACTGGCAACATAGAGTGGAACTCTGAAACAAAGGTGCTTTCAAATGCTTAATTTGTAACTTATGCTAGAAATTAGTGCTGCCTGAAAGTCATGCCCTCTTCCGTGACCTTTTCTCACCCTCTTTACCCCAGATAATGTAAGCCCTTGTTCTAGGAGTGCTGCTTCCATCATTTGTGATGGAATGGCATTCTGCACAAGTGGAAGAAAACGTTTTCATATGTTTTAGGACTGAGTTGTGCTGCTGCTGCTACTGTTGTTGTTTTTACCATTTCCTGCAAAAGGGAATTCCAAAAGGTAGCCTGCTTATTCGGGTGAGAGTTTGGATTTTATAGAGATGGGGCTCACTTCTCTCAAAATACAACATTCTTGGTGTGAAAGCTTAGGGTGTTAAGGTGAGCTGTATGAAGTACAGAAGGGGGTTGGAATGTGTTACTGAAATGCCAGGGTTAATGAATGAGATTAAATCAAGTGGCCGATGAGAACCAGACCAGCTCTGGTTCAAGGGGAGGCCATGTAGAATAAACGGGGTAAGAGAGGGAGAAGTGTGAGTTCATCAACCCAGCAGTTTGTTGTGAAGCTAAACAAGTGGACCAATTAAGCAATGTCCTTTGTTCCTGCAGTTTGGCCTACAAGCAGCATTAATCTCCTGAGTCAGCCAATTTTAAAAATTAAATTTCTGTGCCATTCAATAATTGGAAGTTCTCTGGGCTCTTTATAGTAATATATAAAATCCAGTGTAAAATATAAACAGCAATGAAAATATACATTTTACTATACATAAATTTTAAACAGAATTTAAAACAGATATACAAAAGTTAAAAGAGCTTATATAAATCAAATCAGAAGACCTGTTAAGCAGCTAATAAAACCCCAATATAACAGTAAACTAATTAAATCCTCTGTGGTTGAAGACAGTCTCAACCTGGCTCTGGAAAGATATTAAAGTGGGCATCAGGAAGGCCTTAGTGGGAAGTTTGTCCCAGAACTGACAGGGTGCATCCTTTCTTGCCACCCTTTGAGGTAGCAGTTGGAAGAAGGCACCCAGATCTTGTTCATGGCATCCAGGTAGATTACAGTTGGGAGAGGCATTTTGTTGGGTGCTGTGGTCCCAAGCCAAGAGGGCTTTATAGGTTAAAACCAGCACCTTGAATTGGGCTCAAAAGCATATAGGCAGCCAATGCAAGCAGGTCAGATTTGGTGTTATATGTTCTGACTGTCTGGTCCCTGTGTTATTAATCTGGCTGCTGCATTTTGCACCAACTGCAACTTCTAGACCATCGTCAAGGGCAGCCCCATGTACAGTGCATTGCAGTAATCTATTTTAGAGATGAACAGAGCAGAGTTTACTGAAACCAGGCATCTGTGTCCAGATAGGAGCATAGCTGAGCTGCCAGTTGAAGCTGATGAAAGGTGCCCCATACCACTTGAGGCCATGTGAGCCTTAAGTGACAAAGATGAATCAAGGAGCGCCCCAAGTTACAAACCTGCTCCTTCAAGGGAGGTGCTACCCCAACCAGAACATTTGAGCACCCTCCATCCAGGCAGAGGAATCACCTACCAACAGCATCTCCGTCTTGTCTGGATTAAATTTAGTTCATTAGCCTTAATCCAATCGATTGTCGCAGCCGGACACCAGTTTAGCACATTCACAGCCTCACCTGCTAATGTTGAAATGGAGAAATAGAGTCACATATCATCAGCATACAGAGGACAGTGCACACCAAAACTCTAGATGACCCTGCCCAGCAGTGTCATATGTTAAATAGCATGGAGGACAAGACCAGCCCCTGAAAAATCCCATACTACAGACTCTAAGGGGATGAGCAGTATTCCCCAAGCACCCCCTTCGGAGACAGCCATCCAAGTAAGAGCAAAACTACTGCAATGCAGTGCCCCCCTTTCCCAACTCAAGGCAGTCACCCTAGAAGGATGCCATGGTGGATGGTATCAGAGGCTGCTGGGAGGTTCAGGAGTACAAACAGGGTCACGCTCGGAGGGGGATTCATTTTAGAATGAATTCCTGCCATGAGTAAAAGCTAACTCCACCAATCAGAGTGATCCCTACTTTCTATCCCTCAGTGATCTATCCCTACAGAGTGATAGGTGCAGCTTGTTTATAATTGTATTACTCACTCTGTATTATAAAGCCAGCCTAGCTTGATGCAGTATTTTAGAAGCCTTTTACATTTATTTGTTGTGCAGGGAAAAAAGCGAGAGATGTGATCATGGTAACTTAGGTTCTTCATCGTAGTCTCCAACTGGAATCTAGAGCCTTGACTAGGCTCTTAAAAGTGAAAGGGAGAAATTCCCCCTCAGTTGCTCTCTTCATGCTAAATGCTAGGAAGCTGAAGGGTAATTTCATTGGTGGCTCATTTCTGTACAAGGCATAGTCAAGGAGACCCCCACCACAAAACGGGCAGATACGCTTTTCGAACATGTTCCAAAGTTATCTGTCATCAAATGGAACTATCTCCAAGCCCTTGATCGTCTGGAGGAAAAAGTAATGGTCTTTTGTTTTGTCTTTCATTATTCTTCAGCTAAAATTTATGTGGGGGAATTTAACTCTGGTGTCCTCGGAGAAGAAGGACGTGAGTGTGCCCTTCCTGCTACCAGGGCAAGTTGGGGTTGTCTCTGTAGAGTTTGTAGCCCCTTCAGCAGAAGGAATTTACACATCTCACTGGCGGCTGTCACACAAAGGAGAGCAGTTTGGGCCCCGAATCTGGTGCAGCATTGTGGTAGATCCATCTTCATCCAACACTGGCTGCATAGAAAATTGGAAATGGATGTCCAGTTTCTGTGAGAAGCACGGATCCCCTTCCAAGGAAGAGGTAAGCACCTCATGGTTCTGAACCCACAGAAGGGTTTTTTCTGTTCTCCAGCCCCCCTCCTTTTATATTCTCCCCTGCCCCCTCCTTCAGCCATCCTTCCCTCAGGCCCCAGTTCCCTTGCATGCTGCATATTCTTTTCTCCCTTCAACTACAAAGTTTATTTAGAATCTTGGGCTCAGTTAGTTGCCTATCCCCCATTCCCACATTTAAAACAGTTTCAGCTCTTGGGACTAAATTGCTGATGAAAAATTTATCCAATATTTGCAATAATGGGGTGTGGCATGATATGACTGAGCTGCCACTCTGTCACTGAGCTTAATGTTCAGCCAGCAGCATACAGTTCAGATTGCTATTTTTCCAGGAAAACCAGCCTTCACTTTTCTAACAGAAAGCTGCATTGCTGGTCAATATTTTGTCATGGAGATCTATATCCTCACTTCCCGAGTAGTTGGAATGTTTGTGGGTATTCCATGATAATGAAGCAGTTCATTCTGCAGCTATCTGGTCTTATAGATAACAGAGAATAAGAAGGCAATACCCCATCAGTAGCTGTCTTATACACTTGTGTATCTCTTGGCTTATTTAGGTGTCCCTTCTTCCTTGACTTTAATAAAATTATTTTTATCCTTTTTGTAATCAATAGGCTGTGACTAAAGGTATATAATTTATTTGCTCCTTTGTTGATATGGAGTTTGGGAACAGTGGGTTCAAAATCTAACTAAAGAACCAAGGAGCTATACAGTAAAGTTTATGGCATGCTTTTCTTGTTTACAAGTGATGTGGTGTATTTTACTACATCAGTAACAGTCAATTATATTCCTGCAGTGGGAGAGGCCCTAGCACAGGGTGTATATGCTTTCCGTATAAAGATCTCCAGCTTCAGCTCCTGGCATCTTCAGATAGTTTTCAGACCCCTCTGGGGTGTATCAGCTTAGGGAAGGCAGTACGTAAAATGCAGTGTTAGATGGGCCAGTAGTCTGACCAGGTTAAGGCAGCATCTTGTCTTCCTAAGCAGACCATGCATTCAACTGAACTCACGTGGAAGTTGCATCTATTTCTTAGGACAAAAAACCCAAAACACTTTTTAGCCTGCCTTTGAATGGAATTTATTCAGTGTCAGATTCTGCGGGATCCTGAAAATGTAATAATCAGTCCACTGTATAGCATCCTCTGTAAGTGCATAAAATTTTTTATTTCATCAGTCTGCTAGCCCAACAGAGGATGGAAGGAAATGCCAGATTCTCTACATGCTGTGTTTCTAGATTTTCACTACGCTATTTCTGACAGACACCTAGAGCTACAAAACAGAATTTGATTGGTCAAGATAATGCCATACATGTTGATGGCACAGCATAAAAAAAAGATGGAGTGCATGCTTGTGCCGAAGTAAGTTGAAGTTGGTTAGCTCAAGGGCCATCTCTGTGCTCCTGTCAGTATTACTCTTGTTTCCTGTAGGAAAGGACCTCAAAGTTCGGGGCAGATGTTCTGCATGCTGCTAATTGTGCCATCCAGGGAAGTTTAGCCAGCCAGACTGTTCCACCAAAGTTGAAGAACGTCCTCAGTGCTAGAGAGTTCTACATTCCATCAGTCGACCTTCTCACTGCTCAGGTGACCTTTCAGGTGCTAGCCAAGCTTGGGGGCAGGGGACTGACAGGAAATGTATTAATTTAATATACTTTTACTCTGTCCTTGGGTTATTTCCATTAGGATTTACTCTCTTTTGAGTTGCTGGATATCAACATAGTGCAAGAACTGGAGCAGGTCCCTCAGAACATTACTAATGGTAAGTGCCCTCACCAACCCAAAATATGTTTGAATGAAAGTTGTGATGGGTACATGCTCCAGAGGAAATGGGGAGGAATATCTGGCATCACTGGCTACCTTCTGAGTCCCGTATTCGGGTGACCTGATCCCAGTCTCTATATTTTGTGCTCCTGCTCTTACAGTTGCTGATTGACAGCTGCAAGGAAGGCTGACTTCTGGCATTAGAACACCCTTGCTCACCCTGTATGATACCCTTTGTTGGGAGAAAGACAGGGGAATGAACTCTGTTGATTCTCCGTGATCTCTCAGTGGCTTTTAATACCACAAGCCATGGTATATTTATGGATAACTGTCGGAGCTGAAGACAGTACTGCATTGGGCTACTTTCATTCTGTTATGGCTAGTTGGCTGGAGAAGGTGATGCTTCCACTATATCAGGTCCTGTGGATTCATAGAATCATAGAGATGGAAAGGGCTATTAAGTCCAGTCCTGTGCTCATATCAAGAATCCAGTTTAAAGCGTTCCAGTTTGAATACTTGTGAGAAGAAGTGATTTGGCCTGTCGATGAGAATTAATGGGTGGGTTTACACAACATAAGCACCTGTGGTTTTTTTACCTTTTTTTTGGTCTATCATATCATCAGAACCCTATTGTGGTATTTCAGCATGTTACATTGGGTTTTCATAAACAATAGTCTCCTCTGTGGTTTTTTGGTACCACAGTGCTTGTTGTGTTGTACAAACTGGGAAACACATCTCATCATGGTACTGAGGCCAGAACCATAGAGCCACTTGGCAAGAGGGACATGCTGCCACTCTTGCCAAGCAGCTAACCAGAGAGCAGTGCTGACTGCCAGTAGTTGCACTTGTCAGAGGTGCACTTGCTCCTCCTGCCCTAGACAACTTTTGGGCAGAAGCAGGTGACCAGTTAGTTGGCAATGAGAGAACAGCGCTGCTCAGTTGATTCCCTACCCACGCAGTGCTCCTGCACAAGTAGGACCAGCTGGGATTTGCTGGGTGGCAATGCCCAGCCGGGGACTGTGAGCTGCATTGCATCACCCCTTGTGCCCCCCCTTCTCGCTCTGGCTTTCCAGAGAGATTCTGAACCCGGCAGGCACCTGCTTGCAAGCACCCCTTTGGCAATCCAGTGTGACAGAGGAAGGACCAGTGCCATCTCCCCCTCATCAGCACCACCTGACTGTCTCTGAACATGGCTGCTACTTCACTCACAGCTGGGTGATGGGAGGAAAGAGAGGCAGCACTGATCTTCCCTTCGCAGACGCCACGTTGGTGATGCCTCTCTTGGCAAGCCAACCTGAGGAGGAGAGGCAGCATGGGGAATCACTGGAGCATGCAGCCTCCATCCAGGCACTAGCAGTGCTGCCAGACTACTTCTCTCCCTTGCCACTGGCTTGAATGTGCATGCAAAGAACTTCACTCTGGCACATACAGAAGGGGCAGAGGAGTAATCACTTGAGCAGCCCAGTTTTGCACAGAGCTGCCCAGCCCCTTTCTGCCTGAGTGTGGATCAGGCACCCTCCTCCTTCCTGAGCAGTACCCTGTAGAGCAAGACGGGAAGATGCCTGGCCTCCTTGTCCTCTCTGCTGAGCTTCAGTTCAGGAGCCCTGTTTTTGCAGCAGAGACTGCTTGACAGTAGTGACAAGCCAAACGTGGCTTGTGAGCACAGCTCATTCTTCAACATGATGCCTCCTGGGATCCTTTCTGGAGGACTGAGAAGGAAGAAGGCGGCGGATCAAGAGAGTTTCTGATCACCTTTCAGGCATACCCACACACAGAACCGTGCACAGCGGAAACTGTTCAGGCTTGCTTGTTCTGAAGTGTGAGCACAACTTTTGTGTAGACCCAATAGGTCAAACAGCTTGTGGATCAACCTTATAGCGTTACCATCCAATTCAGAATGAACTGGCTTGCTAATTGCAATAGAAGATGCCTTGCTAAAGATACACTGTAACCATAGCACTTCACCATCTGAAAAAGTTTACCATTCAAAAAATGAAATAAGGTTAGTCTGGCAGGAATTGCTCTTGACAAATACATGCTGGCTTCCGGTCACCATTCCATTACTGTTGCAGTGCCTACATACTGAGCACTACATAATCTACTCTAGAAGCTTCCCAGGTCTTGATGTCAGACTGTCTGGTGTATAATTCGCTGGATCTTCCCCCGCCTCTGTTTTTGAATATGGAGAACAACATTTGTCATCCACTGGTACTTAACCAGCTCTCTGGGACTTCTCAAAAATAAATGACAGAAGTCCTGAGAGTCCACTGCTGGCTCCTTCAGCATTCAAGTAAACAGTCTCAGCTGCTGTAACTTTTCCTCATAAAGGAGCTGCTCCAGCTCCTTTCTCAAACTCTACAATATCCATTTATAGGTATAGTGACCAGAACTGTACACAGGGTTCTGTGTGTGGTTACATCAAATATTTGTATAAAGGAGTGTCATATTGGCAGTTTTATGTCCAGTTCATGGGTCCTCAAACTGCAGCCTGTGGGCCAGATCTGGCCCACCATGCCCATTTATCCAGTCCTCTTCAGAGGTTTTGGACTCGCCGTGCACACACATGCCTGGAAGCTTGCTCGTGTGGAGATGGTTTTGGATTCTCTGGGAGAAAATTATTTCTGTGCACACCCCGCCCTCGCACCAGCCCGCACCCCTGCCGGCACCCCTGCCGGCACCTTTCAACTGGCCCCCTGTTGAAAAAGTTTGAGGACCCCTGGTCCAGTTCTTTTCCTGATTATGCCTAACATGGAGGGGGGTGGGTTCTCACCAACTACACATTGGGTCAGTGGTTTCATTGAGACATTCACCACAAACATAACATCCTTTTCTTGCTCACTCACTGCTAGATCCCATCAGTTTATACTTGAACCTAGGATTATTTTATTATTTTTTGCTCAATGTGTATTACTGTACACTTGCTTACATTGAAGTACACTCTGCTTTCTATTTTTTAATTACCAGTCCATAAGTGAACCTCTCCTCTTTCTGTTTGCTTGGTGAAAAAAGTTGTCAAAGTCTACTAGTTTGCCTCTGTCCCCATGTGCACTGACACTCTCAAAAGAACTCCAGTAGGTTAGCAAGAAAGGTTTACCTTTGCAGAAGCCCTGTTGATTCTTTTTCAGCAGTTCTTGTCCTTTTGCATTCTTAATAATTCATCTTTAGTACCACTTTCAACCAGTTCACTTGGAACAGATATTAAGCTAACTGTTCTGTAATTTCCAGGATTCCCCTGGATCCTTTTTTATGAGTGTAACATGGGTCATTCACCAGTCCTCTAGTAAAGAATCAGATTTTAGGCACACATTACATATTTTGCTAGCAGATTGGTAGTTTCATATTTGAATTCTAGAGGGGACATACCATCTCAGCCTGGTACTTTATTAACTTTCAGTTTGTCAATGTGGGTAAAAACTTCACTGTCACCATTATTGGGCTTCAGGACTGTCTTCCTGAAAACATCACTTCTGGCACAAATATCTGTTCTGTATCCTCTGCTTGAACACAGATGAAAAGAATTCATCCAGCTTCTTTGCAATCTCCTTATCCTCCTTTAGAACTGACTCTCTAGCTGTTTTTTTATTTTTTTGTCTTTTGCTTCTGATATATTTAAATAACTGTTATTGTTGGCTTTTAAGTTGTTAGACATGTACTCCATAAAATGTAATTTGAGTCTCTTATCGTCTTGCATCTCCCTTGTGCAAGTTTGTGCTACCCTTTGTTCCGTACAGTTGAGCAAGACATCCATTTACTGAAGAAAGCCTTCTTTTCTGGAAGAGCTTCCTTGAGAAGACACTACTTGTTTAACATGCTGGTGACCTTTTGGACTTGGGGCCACTGCAGTATACATACTACTGTTGTGGCTTTAGGTAACCGGCAAGCATTTCGAAATGGCTTTAAGCCTCTTGCCTTTCATTTACACTTTCTTTTTTACCAGGCCCTTCATTTTAGAGAAGTTTCCTCTTTTTAAAAAGAGATGACTGTGCTGGACTTCTTTGGCCATCACTTAGTTAAATAATTTGATTTGATATTTTGATTAAAAATTTTGATAACACTGTGGTCACTATTCCAGCTGGTTCAATACTTATGACTACTATTTCATTTGATATATCTGTTATTTGCTTTTATAAAATAGTTTTATAAAATATTTTTATAAAATATTTTTCCTTGGTTTTGTGGCCAGTGGTAAATTCCAGCCATATTTTTTATTCTTTGTTCCATTTATTTTACCCGGATGCTTTAAACAGGGTCACCATTTTCATTTTCTTGGATTTCTGTGCGTTCTAATGTAATGCAACTTTCCCCCATTTTCTGTGGTTTCTGTTCTTTTTGAATCAGAATCCAGAATCATCTTACCATGCCTATTACATCTATTACATGAAATTTGCTTTCTTGAATCAAGAAGTCACGCTTGCTCTGTTTAGTTTCCATATGGCCAGCATTAGTATAAGAACATCCAAAACATCTGGGAAATTGGTAGGTTGTTATGCTTGTGGGATCACTTACGTGATTTGGCATTTCAGGCTCAGACCCCATCTTTGCCTTTACTCAGTTTCTTTGCAAATTTAAATGTTTCTGAGCCCGATAATGTGTCTTTTGTGAAATGGGTGTTAGAGCAGACAAAAGTTGATTAAAATAGTGATTTTGTGCTCTGGAGCTATTTGTACTTTGGTTCCTGTCCAGGTTACTTTTATTTTAGTCTTCTCAATTTCCCAGTAGCAAATGGATGTTTTCTGACCAGCCATGCTTACCATTCTGTGAGTCCCCTTAGCAGCCATTTTATGAGAATGCCTATGACAAACTTTCAAAATTCCCAGTGTTCCTGCTAACCCAAAAAGATTAGAGAACCCCAGATTGGGAAAAAGGTTCTAGTTTCCCCTGCATTTAGGGAGGCTTCAGTGCCAGCCTCCTGTCAGATCCATTTGCTTATGACTTGAGCAATCCATTTTGTACTGAAGACGGGCAATGCCTGCCATATTTAACAGGTCTCGGGACAAAAGATCAAGAATGAATGTGGGTGAACAGAAGTAAAGAGAAATCAACACAGCTATCACCTGGAGAGGCAACAGAGTGAGAATCCATCCTGGAGGAGTCTTTATCCAGATTTGTGAACAGTCTGCAGCAAGGAAACCCTCATTATCTTAAGAAAAGCTCTCTTTTCAATATTCATGGCATCATTTGCTTGACATCTCTAAATTAAGACAGTCATACTTAGAGCAGACCCAATGAAATCAATGGAACTGATTAGCCCTGATCTCATAATTATGGCTTAAACCCCTTGATTTCAAGGGAACTACTCTGACTAAGTCTGAATCCTGCCATCTGTGTCTGCTATGTGTGGGGAGAGATAAGATGCTACATTTTGTCCCCTGAGAATAAGATTCTGTGCAGTCCACCTTTCAGGATTATTTCTTGAGTTTCCCATGAGCTGTAAATGGGAATGTTTTCTTCTTCTGTCTTCCTTTCTTCTTTTTAAAAAGGCTGAGATTTTTAGGATGCTGATATCTATGTCCAGTACCAAATAGAGCTCTTGCCCAGCACAGCTAGTTACTTTTCAGTATGTCCCATTCTGATGGTCATATGGACTGAATTGTCAGGCTTCCTCTTGAGTTATCACATTGTTTCAAGTCCCTGGGTTGGCTAAAAGTGGTCACCACTGATGAGCCTCTATACCTATGTTATCATGTTCCTTGTTTGTTAAGTGTTGTATTTGTTAAGGAGAACATCTCATCCCACAGATGCTCAGGTGGGGAAAGGGAAGGCTGAAAATGCAGCAAACCAAGAAGAAGAAGACATGAGCGGGACCCAATTTGTATGTGAAACAGTGATTCGCTCTCTCACCTTGGATGCTGCCCCTGACCATAAGCCCCCACAAAGGAAAGATTCTTGGCAGAGTGAGTGTTTTACATTGATGTCCTTTTAGAAGTGTAGAGCATAGAGAAGCAGCACCTGCCATTTTGATCTTTTCCTATTATTTTTGTTGGCTAAGATTCCCTACAAGCACTACAAGATACCACGCACTGTAACCCAAAGTACAAGGACCCCATTAGTCCCATTTCCACGTTGCAAGAACCGGAGTCCAAGAATCAAGGCATAGAGAAGACTGAACAACCTGAATCAAGTAAGGGGCAGTGGTTAAAGTTTACCTTTCTGAAGAGTGAATGGAAGTGAAGGGAGCAGAGCTTGTCTGACCTCTGGGAAAATAGAGATCCTTTGTATGCTCTATAGGGCTGAAGTCAAATTGGCAAAACCTATTTTAGGATTAGAGATTGACGACATAACTTACAGTTTCTGATTATGGCGTGCTGCTTGTGCAAGTTGATTTTTGAATATAGAGTGCAGGTGACAGTGGCTTTTTGCTCTTTTCCAACTTGACACGGGCTGGTGGGAGACAGGCGCTACTGGATTATGGCTGTTAGTTGGGCAAATGTATGAAAGTGAGACTGTTCGGTGAAAAGGACTGTAGTAATCTTAGTGAAACCATGTTTTCTGTGTTCTGCTAGAGAATCTTCTGGTGCAAGATGGTGAGGAATTAAGGAATGGGGAAGCTGAAGATGACACTAAAGATGAAGTATGCAGCCAGACTTCCTCAACCTCCTCTGAGGATTATATCATCATCCTCCCAGAATGCTTTGATACGAGCCGCCCTCTGGGCGAATCTATGTACAGTTCTGCTCTCTCCCAGCCAAGTTTGGAGAAAATGACGGAGTCCCCAGCAAATCCTAAAGAAGAGAGTTGTCCCCAAACAGCTACTATTAGTGATACCCTGACCACCTCACAGACCCTAGATGACGTTTCACTGAATGTGGAACCACAGCACGCAAGGTACCTCACAGTGGGCCAGGAGTTTAGCAGACCATGTTAAGACTTCATTGGCTTCTGTAGTCATAAGTAGTTTCCAGAGAAGAAGTGTGGGCTGCTGAGTTTGAGCTAAGGCCAAGTAATTCACAAAAACCAAAATGGGACATTCGTACAAGAGAACTGGTTTAAATACATGGGATAGGTTTATATCCTTAGATTAAGCAAATGGCTTTCCATTTCTCTGAAGTGCCCCTGGAAGAACCGAGATGGACCAAGTTTGCAGGATTGGGAAAGGAAAATAAGCACTTTATTTTATTTTCTTGCCCTGTGCATGCTGATCACATACCACAGGGTCCAGTTTTGTTATGTTGTCCAAGCCTGTTGGGAAACTCGCAGACCACCCCAGAAGCCATGGCTTGTTCTAGGCTTGTGGGGTTGTTTGCAAACAACCCATAGCTCCAGCTCTTGCCAGCTTCAGACTCAGCAAACCACAAGAGTGAGTAATTTGGTTCCATGTATGGGGCAGGCAAATAAGCTATAATGGTTTATTTTCCCTGATCATGTGAACCTACACATTGCCTTTGCGGCTGCTTACATCTGTTGTTCTTCACAAATATCTGTTTCTTCATGACAGATGTTTGACCCTTTCTCAAAGTAATGGTTCCCAAGAAATGCATTCTCCCAGTAAAGAAGCCCCTGTGGTTCCTGGACAAACAAGAGAAGGTATTGCATTATTATGGCATGGAGTAATTGCTATTTACCTAAACCATTTGGTTTATAGCTAGCCTGTTTCCAGAAGCCTAGTAATGAGAATTTAATGCATGTCAGCATGCATGCACATGCGCACATAGTACTGCTTTCATTAAATAATAGCACTGAGTTTCAAAGATCAGTTCTAGAATCAATTTTCATCGGGCCCATTCTTTGCAGATCTTGAGAAAATTTGGAAAGCCCAGCTGATTGCAGTGACTTTCCCATAGTGTCTTGGGATGCTAGTTTTATTAGTAACTTCTATTTTTTGTTACGGAATTATCATTTATTCATTTTTATTGTCTTTACTTCATATGATTTTTATTTTATACATTACCACCATAGGTTCTACCCTTACAGGTAGCCTAACATTTTAAAATTAAATAAACTTGGTTCTGCTGTCCCTGTCCCTGCTCCTGCTCATGCTCTTTTTTTCCTTCCTACTGTAGGCATCAAAGGAGGAAATGCTCCTGGGCATTCCCCTGCAGGAAATGTAAATACACCAGCATGTCCAGAATTCTCGAGGTAATAAAAATGGTTAAGCTGAATTTTGTTTTGATAGGGGTAGCCTATCTCTTACTGAGAGTATCAATTTCCTGAACAAGGATTTGAGACTTTCTCTCATTCTTATCCTTTTCCAAAAATGTTCACTTAATTCTATAATTGTACAAATAATATTCGTCTGGATTATCTTTGTGTTTCATGCATTAGAGATTTCATTGTGGATATATGGGATTGGGCATATAACAGGAATTCAGCATCCTGAACATACCCTTTTCCCAAGTTTCTCCCATTAAGACTACAAAGGTAGACTCGAACATGTGTAGGAAATACCTTGTGAAATCTTAGAAGCCAAATAGGAACTCTCATTCTTTTTCACTTGTATTCCTTTTCAAAGCAGTCGTCCATTCAGGCACTGACCAGACCCCGACCTACTTTTGGTTCAGCATGGTTTGCCTTATCATATATCTTCAGACCAAAAACACAGATAAAATATTTACAGTAATTGAGTACATAGCTTCTGTTGTATGGCGCGATTTTACGGACGAGACCAGAGACTGGTTGGAATTATTGAGAGGGATTTATTTTACCTGCCGGCAGGGACCATGCACTCGTGAGAGTGTGGTAGCAGGCAGAGGAGAGACATTTGATTTTTATACTCTTTTACACTTATGCTTGAATGACAGCGAACCATAGGGGAACAACAGAGAAACAATAGGGGAGAGCACATTTTGCACATTCATCATGCCAAAGCAAGCAAGCGTGGGTACAAGGGCATAACGTCTGCGGTGATACTGGTAATGCTGGAGCGTAGCCTGCTTTGTCGTCAGCTTTGCGTAGCGTGCACATCCGTGTTCATGTACTTGTTCTCATGCGAACAGGACACCCTGATACTCGTGATGAGCTATGCCCTGGCTACGTGCTACTCGTGATGAGCCATGCCCTGGCTACGTGCTTGCTTATGAGGGGGGTTACAACAACTTCCATGCCCTGCAAAACTCTTTGCTTGCACAAAGCAGGCAGAATAAATTGTAGTGGCAAAGAAGCCAGTAACTAAATGTACTGCATTGTCACAACTAATTTGGTAATCTCCTGATGCCCTTGAACATTTTCTGCAGACACACCCAGGGTCACAGTCTTGCTGGGGGCCTGATGAAGGGGGCCTGGTCAGTGGCAGCCTCAGCCTACAAAGCTCTTTTTGCTGGACCATCCTCCATGGAACAGGCAAGTAGCTCCTTCACAGTGCTCTTCCTGGGAGCAGGAATATGCCTTTCCTGTGTTTTCTGTGGTCACACTGTGCACATGCAAAAACTGTGGTATTAGGTGTATGTTCCTTCTTTTGTCGTGGCTCAAAAGCTCTCCAGCATCAGAAATAGTTACAACCAGAGGCAGGGTGGCAGACATTCTAGAATTGTTTCTTTTTTAAATTGTGCTTAGGGCACGTGTCATCCTTGAGGGTTTAAGTGGCCATGGAATAATGAGCTGGACAATTAGGGAAACAATAATTTTGGAGACTGAGGTCCCCAGTGGACTGCCCATGGGCACATCCCTTGGGCATCTTGTCTTGAAAAAGTGGGAGACTGTCATGGTGCAAAGTCAACTTCTGGCCACCAGAGCCATCTTTACTAACAGGAGCACCTTTGGGCCTCACAAGTGCCCTACTAGCGTTCTTAGAAATATAAAAGCACATGATTTTAAAGTGTGCCCACCCATCAAAAGAAAAGAAAGCAGGGGTTCATTGGAAATACCCTGGGTAGCAGGACATAAAATGGGACAAGGGGGAGTTTCCCCTCTCCTAGGTGGTATATTAGCTATCCTTTATGCTATCCTTAGAGCTCCCTGGCTGTTTGGGTGGGGTACATGGCAGAGAGGAGAGAACCTCCCAGGTGTGTGTGGACTTTGCTGCTTTCCCTTAAATGAAGCTTATTTCTAATGTCCAACGGTTAATTTGCTTTGTTTTGCCACCAGTGTGGGAGAAGTAGTAAGGATTCTGTGGTCGATAGAATAGTTCAGCCCCAGTTGAGGTAGGCAGCTTTATTTGGGGCAGAAAGAAAGAACATGAATCCATGTTAGAGGCGTGTTGCAATTGCTTAGAATGGCCTTCTTATCTAAGATAGAATTGATAATGGAAGGATGAGCAGCTTGCATAAAAAACAATGGTTCATACAAGAGGAATGGAGGATAGAAAATGCCTAAAATTTACCTGCACAGGGAAGAAAGGAGAAAAGAATTGGTAACAATTCTTCAGAAATTCCCTGTAACTGAAGAGCAGGCAGGACCAAAACTTATTTATGACATGAGCTTTCCCACCAGAAGAATGAAAGCCTTTTCTTTCTACTTTAATAAGTAAAAAGACTACTTATTAACAAGGACCTGTCTGTGAGATGTCAGGATACTTTCCTTTCTTGAGGAGGACAAGAATTTGGGAGGTTTAAAATTGGGCAAACATTTCCTAGATATAGAAATATACCTGCTTGTATGTAGCCTCATGCATATTTGCATATATATTTCCTTCCGTGCCTGACAGTTCTGCCGCTTATCTTTCAAGGCTCTTCCTGTGACTGAGGATCATATGGCTACCTTTCTGGCAAACCTAACTGAGATGGGCTTCTGTGACCGGCACCTTAATCTCCGGCTACTGCAGAAACACAACTGTGACATGGCCCAAGTTGTCACAGAGTTGCTACAACTGAGTCAGGGTGATTGGTATGGGAACTAACACTGAACCTTGTCCATCTGCTCATTAAAAATCTGAGCAGCAAACAGCACCAGCAGCTTCCAGCTCCCTTCTGTTCCAGCAGAGCAGAGATGGCTTGGAATCCATTACTCAACACATCACAGCTTACAACCACCACAGCTCAGACCCCCTAGGATTTCCTTTAACTCTGAAACACTAGCATTTTCAGCCTGGCACAATGCCAGATTCTGTATGGTAGAAAAGAGGGGAATATGTGCACAACATTCAGGTGAGCTGTGTCACTGACAACGTTGTGGCTACTGATCATGCACTACAAGCAAGAACCAAAGACTTGAGGGACCATCCTGTGTAGTGTCTGTCCATCTAGTCTTCTCTTACAGATGAAGGCAAGGGTGGCAATCAGCACACATCTTGCTGAAGATGCCCCTCCAAATTCTGCTCTCACAAGAAGCAAGTGACTGACTTCTGTGTCCTCTAGTTTGCTTGATTTCTCTCTTCTATATTGTAAAAGCAATAATTCCACCACCAATTTCATGTTGTATGTGCTGCAGGACAGTGGGGCTACCTAACACAACACAGATCATATTCAAAGAATTGCTTCCTCTTGGCAAATCCCAGTGTACCTTAAACGCTGATGTTTGCTAGTTAGTTATTGGAAATGAAATTGTCTGAAAAGAGCCAACTTCTTAGCAGCACTGAACAGGTGGTTTGCCATAAAAATATCAAAACAAAGAGTAGTTATTCCTGCTACTTGTATCTTTAGATGTATTATTAATAGTAATTCTTCCATAAAGTATTGAAAAACAGATGATCAGGATATGCTTGAGTGTTTGAAAAGCTATTTTTGTAGGTTCATTTTTATCACTCAAGAATTTCAGAGGAATATTTTCTGAAAGTCACTATTTCTGATACTTTCTGCCCAGATGTTGGACCAATTTGTGATTTATACAGTGCAGCATCTTTTTTAACCATTCTTGATGTGGTTTGAATATATTGATCATGCCTGTTAGACATTTGTGACATGGTGCAGAGCAGAAAGACATTGGCGACAATGCTGGATGAGAAATAATACTTTTATAAAAATCAAATTCCCTTGCCTTGTCACATAAAAGGCATGGGATGTGAGGAATTTCTGCACAAACTCACTTGAAATAAATAGGATTTTACTTTATTCTCAGGTGTTCTTTTGAGTTTTCAAATAATATCAGAATGGATATTGACCTTTCATAAAACATGGCAATAGGATGATCCCAAGTTTGGTATTTCTCTGACTTCTGGGAAAAAATGGCTAATATAGTAATGGAGGCAGAATTCAGAAATGGAAGTGAGATTTTTTTTACCTATAAGGAAGAGGATAAACACATTAAGGAAAAACTTGACAGCATGCAGTTTTGTTTTGTTTTTAAACTGTATGGAACAACAAATCTCTGAATTGAAATCTTCAGATTTGGAACTTCTTTCAAGGTAATGGTTGATGTTGGTATTACTAGATAAATTTTTGTTGTATTCTCTTGAGCTAGTTTTATTGTACCAGCTCAATCGTGAATTAGCCCTGGTAGAGAGCTTTCTTTAGGTTTCATAAAAGCTGAAACTTCCTTCTTTTGGCTTTGTATATTTTAGAGAGGTTGCATGGATGATAACTTAAACAGTGCAGATATTACAGTCTTTATATATTGTTTAGAATAAGCACTTTAAACAATCTCGGAGTGTGACAAACATTAAAATATACATTAAATAAGTAACCTTGTCTTTGTGAAACAAAGCTCTCTTCATAAAGCTTGGATGAGAGTTAAGGGATGGGGACTCAAGAAACTGATTTTGAAATAAACTTCCATTGAAAGCAAAACCCGTACATGTAAAGTATCTTTAATTTGGAGTGAAAGGATTGATGCAGTGAAGTGTGCCACTCATGTTTACTAGCAGCATCTTGTAGGTCCAAGGTTTTTCTTCCAAGGAATTACTTTGAATGCCCCCTTTCACAACACTACCCAGAGATTAAAATAACCAAGTAGTGTTTCATGTATGACTCTGCCATTTCATTCCAGCAGCCCTGAAGCTACAACCACAAACATGTGGGAGATGTGAACACCTGCGGGAGACAGGGAAGACACAAATGAATGGGTGCACAGTTGCTTGTCTGTGACTATGGCAACCAGACTACATGTATTTCACAAATAATATACATGTTTACATTTTTTGAGAAGCTGAGCTATACTTTAGAAGGCAATTTTCTAGATTCACATCTGATTTATATGCACATTGTTCAATAAACTAAGCAGGGTATTTAAGCCATTTCAAGAGCTGTCTAAGCAAAGTAGGACCATTTTTATTTTGTATGTTAAAAATTGCCTGGCTGGACTAGGCCAAAACCACCCAGTTGAACAATCTGGCTTCCTGCAGCAACTGTGCATCTAGTCAGTTGTGAACCGCCCCAAGGCTTTGTTGCGATGGGGGCGGCATAGAAATGTTTTTAATAAATAAATAATAGTCTAGAGCCTCACAAGCATGGTATGATAACGCTGACCACCCTGTTTGTCCACAGTACATGTTGCTCAGTGGCATACAGCCTCAAAATAAACTAGAACTTATTTCAGGTAAGATAAAGTTGCTGAAGGACAACAAAGTTGACCTTAGATTAGACATTCAATGTGCTATGAAAAGGATCGCACACCGCAGGCATTGGTTCGCAACAACACTGCATTCCTGCCCTCACTCCAACCACATCTGGTATGCCAGGCATTATATGAACCCAAGGACAACTCTGTGGATAGGTATGTAGTTGTGCAAGTGCAATTAAGTTTTCTGGTGCAAACAGTCTCAAAGGTTTCTAAAGGTTCTGACAGCTCCCTCCAGCATGGCACTTGGTTACTTTGAAGAGTCTGTCAGCAGCTTTTGCAATCTCCATGGGGAAAAGGGCATAAAAGCAGCAGCAAACCAAAAATGGCTGTCAATCACAGCAAGGGGCAACAACTCCCACAAAGTCCTCCATTGGAGGATGGGGAGGGAGGAGGCCAACAACCCAGGCGAGCCTGATTGTCTGTTGGGCACATTGGGTTCTTTCAGAAACAACCAAGTCACTGTGACTTACTGGCATATGGCACAAATGTGCCCAATGTGTTGAGTGGGAGGGGTAGACACCTTTTTGGACACTTCAAATGCTGTGTACCAGTGCATTGGCACCATGCTGCTTCCCCCTGTGTAGAGTACCCAAAACTGATCGAGAACTTTTCTGTATCTGGTGCAGAAAATTATAGGAGTACTTCTCACATGCCAGTAAAAATACCATCCCATAAATTAGCGATTTGCTGCCTTTTCATGATACCCCAAATCGGCTACCATGGCACCACTTCGACCCCAGCGCTGAAACTGCTTGGCGGTCTGTTACTGAAGGTATGAAGAGCCCTGTCAGCTCCAAGAACACGTTGGGCCATTTCACCCTCAGGAGCGCTCCGGAAAGGGCAGCCGAGCAGCTTGGCCTCGTGGTTCGCCAGTGCTGCAAGCTCTCGGAGGAAGTTTGGGGCATAAAGGAAAAACCCAGCATGGAAAATGCGGCGGGGAAGCGTTGCACTCTGCAGCGTTCCCATACCCAAAAAGGCAGTGCAAGAACGATAGAGAAGGTGAGTGAAAACCGCACCAGCGAGGAACGCTTCAGGAAAGAAATAAATCCACACAGGTTAAAACAAGGGGCTGCATTCATACTGAGCGTTGACTTGAGTTAACCATGGGCCAACCCACAGGGGGAATTTAAAACGAAAAGCAGTTTCTCTGCCTTCTTGGGATCTGAAGAGGCCAGGCGAGTCTGGACGAGAAATACCGAACTTTAATTTTTCGAGAGGATTGAGCCAATCCTTTTATTTAGATCGCCTAGTCAATGTTTAAACAAAATGCAGCACTGGAGCTTTCCCGTTCAAAGGAACCCCTCATGACCTTTCCGCGCGCGGATCCCCGGAATGAGGGGCTGTATTGCCCCGGCTGCAGTTTCTTAACACGTGTCATAGTGCTGTCGTACAGGTGGATATGATACGATGGCACTAGGGCGAGCAGCCATCTGGCCCAACTGCCTGCTCAGGGCAAGACTCAATTCACCCCTCCAGGTGTCCATAAGAAGCTAAGCGATCCTCAACTGGAGTGGGGCTTACTTAGGGTCGGCCACTGCAGCACTCGGAAGTAAATCCAGTGGGTTTAATGTCTTTTAATCCCGAATGCACATGGTTAGGTTCTCACCTTCCTCCGGCCTCTCTTTTTTAAAGTAAGCGCCGCTTCGTAGAGGATCGTTGCATTGTATCCGAGTCTAACGAAAGGGGCGAAAGGACAAGGAAGTGCTTGGCAGGGGTGGAGCTCTTTGTTTTCCCCCTCAAGCAGGAGGGGCACCATTAATTTTCATTTTCAGTTCGGCTCCGTGTTGGTCTCGAGTTGGTGAGTCCGGGGGGGGGGGGTGCGGTGAACAGGTGCCCCTTTAATTTTCGCCACAGCTGTTCCTAGGTAGCCAAATCCCTCCCCACCTCCGTAAGCTACCGCATAGAAACAGGACCACTAACCGCCGTTCCGCATGAGCTTCCTTTAGTTTCATGTTTACTTTCTCCTGTTTTTAATTGCACTGTTCTCCACTTCTTATTTGCCTCTTCTGTTTTCTCAAATTTTCTTTGCTTCTGACCAACGTGCTTTTTCAAAAGTCTCCCTCTTCCAGCCTGCCTCATCTATGGGACAACTGGCCTGAAGTGAAAACACAGTAACGATAACTGGGGAAACACAAGAGTGTTGTTTTCTTCTTTCCATAAAAAGCCTGGAGTGGAGTTGTGCCTTCGACTTGCTTGAGAAAGAGGTATGGTGCTTTTGTAGCAAATGGGTTAATTTACAAAATGCTCGAGTTGAAATTGGGAAGTCAAACAACTACCATTCATCAACCCCACCTCACAGTATTCTAGAAAGTACTTTTACCAACCTTTTAGCAACTTGTACTAGCAATCTTTCTGTTACTTTTCTGCCCATAGTTAATTTATGTGCCCTTTTTTCCTTCCCCTTTTGGTAGGCATCCTCCCAAACATTTGCTTTTGACTAGGCTGGGCACTTTACAGTAGCTTGATCTAGATAAAGTAGCAGCTGGACTTTCACAGCAGAAATAAGTGGGCTCACCAGCTATTTTTTTATTCATCTAAGTGAACCTGCTTTTTAAAGGCACAGGGGCTGTTGGAAAAATTGCTAGCCCTACTCCCAAGCAGAATGCAGCTTTCAGCTCTTATGTGAGGATAGTGTTATCCACACTCCTCGATAGCCTTGTGGGTATTTATGGTGGCCAAGCCAGATCAAAAAGGATCTTTTGGCTAGTGGAACAGCATAATCAAGTAAGAAAAATTGCTTCCAAGTTTCTGATTTGCATTAATTAGTTTTTTTCCTTTAGTCGTTTTATAAAAAGGGAAGTGCTAGGTTTCAAGTTTGCTTGGAACGCCTTCTCAATTCTGGAGGAGATCCCCGACTCTATTTGAGCTGGTTGCAGCAATTCAGGAAGACCCCCAGCTCCAAGCTAGGCTTTATTGCTTCAAACTAGATAAGTGAATGCTTGCGGGGAGGCGGGTGGGGTGTCTACTTAAAGAGAATCTTTAGGAAACACAGTGAGCCATGGTTCAAATGTAGCCTTGTGGTTCTTTGTATTATTATTGGTCATCTTCGTAATTATTATTCATAGAAGAAAGGAAGAGAAAAGCACTTAAAGAAGCCACAGATTTTCAGAGAGGACTTTCTCCTGCGCTGAACCCCTAGGGAGTACTCTAGCACTTAATCTCATTGAGCTTTTCTGTGTGAGAGTTTTCCTCTTTTTGCCTTGTTCAGATTAGCAACAGTTTAAAATTTGATTAATCAATGGATGTTTTAAAACTCTGGGGAAAGTATTTTGAAAGATACAACTGTAATCATATTAGTGAAAGTTAAAGGTGCGTTAGTATTCACTTAGCTGAAGTCTATACTTTGTTGCTAAGACTCCCCCACATACAAAATGCTATACCAAGTACTGACCATTACTGGGAATGCTGAAAATAGTGGAATCAGTAGAATAGAAATTTATTTTTTGCAGGTAACTTTGACTTAGGAAAATAATTTCCTGGAGATTTTTTCCCCTCTCAGTTTCCTTTCTGCTTTGTTAAACAGCTCTCCATTTCTTTAAGTGTTCTTACGCCACCCAGCAGAAATCTGAGAATCCTCTCCAAAGTGTTCTGGAAGTAACTCAACAGTGATTGTATTTACACATAATGACAAGCCATGCTAGAAACTGCACAGGCAGGACTTGTCGTTATGTGTAAATTCAGCATCCATGGTGAAGCATGGCAAGCTAGGTTTCCGAGAGAACCCCACAGAGAAGCAGTGGGTCCATCATAGGGTGTCCCCTCTTCTTCATTGCTTGTCAGTATGTGAGATCACAATTATGAAGTCCTGTGCAGTCTCCACATTCTGCCATCAAGTGTAGCAGCACGAGTGGCCACGGCTGCAGCTGATGCTCCAGCCTCCACTGTTTGCTCTCCTGCCCTGTCTAGCAACTGTGGAGACAGCTGCAGCCATGCTCCGACTGGCTGCCTTGTGCTCCCAGCCTTCCCTGCTGACACGCAGCTTTCCAATGCCCCGGCGTAGCAATGGGACCTTGCCAGCGGCAGGCCACTGCACCGCACTTCCTCCAGCAGCAGTAACTGTGAGAGAGTTGTGCTGGGCACTCCAGCCTCATCGCTGCCCTGTGCTGCAGTGGCACTTTGAAGGGGAGCCAGCCAGAGGCTACCGTGTTAACGAGGAACCACACTGGCAGTGTGTGGGAGTTCGCCAGCGGAGCAAACCCCACAGAACCCTGTTGCTGCGCCACCTTCTGCCCACTGCCCTACTTCCCTCTTTGCCCCAAGAATCCTGGGGACTCCCGCAAGCTCCACTGCCCCCCACCCACCCTGACAATTTGCCAGCAAACTTTCCCATGTGGATGCTGGGAGGGGCACCCCAGGAAAGTCTGCCTTGCAGGGCGCCCTCTCTCTGTCCCTGGCACAGGTGTTCACACTGATGTCCTCCATGCACCTGGCTGTGGCCCCAGGCAGCATGTGCAAGCCGTGCGCACGCGGGAGGATTGTGTGCACATGTGCAGGGAAGGGGGTAAGGGCAGGTGTGTGGGTGGTGTGCTTGTCCCAGGGTGTGGCAGCAGCGCGGAGCCTCCTGCAGTGATACTCTGGAGCAACTCTAGAATTAGGCAGTTGCTTTGCTGAGCAGCCCACCCCACAAAAAAGCAGGCTGGCGAACTGTGACCAAGCCCAATTAGGGAGAAGCAGGCAACACAAGCAGGAGCAGGGCACCCTGGGATTGATTTCCAGCCATGGGGACTGATGTGATGCATGCCATCATTTGGAGGGAAGATGGGGAAGCACAGAAACCATGTGAATGTGTGAATACAGGACCCAAGGTAAGATACCATGCCAGGCGATTGCCACATGCAGCATTGTTTAGCATTATGTGTGAACACACCCAGTATTGCTTGTAACTCAGTAATGATCTCTTCTTTCTTCCCTCTTTCATTGGTCTTGATTTGCTTCTCTTAGGCATGCTATGTGGCAATTAAAGATAATCTCCTTCAAAGCAATGTGACCATCGGACACTGACTGGACCTACATTCGTGGAAACTGCTGGTTTTCTCCTTGTGCTCCCTTCTGATTCTCAGCTTCAGTGGGGAACCTTTGGAAGTGACCCTTTGCTTGCTCCTGACTTCCCCAGGTGTTAGGTAAGAGCTCTGCCCACCTCCAGGTCCTTCCAGGAAGTTGCTTCAAGAGTGGGTCTCTGTCCTTTTGCAGTGCTGCTCTTTGTGGAATGCTTCACAAATGATCTTTATTGGGTTATTATTTATTGACTATAATTTCTGTATCACCTAATTGCCGAAGCATCCTGGGCAGTTCAGAACAACTGAAACTATAAAATGCAACAACAATTGTAAACATGTAAAATGTAAAAGTTAAACTACATGATAAATTTGAAATAAAATGTAGTATTAGTACAAATATATAACTACAGCAAATGATTTAAAACAACTGAAACAGAAAGGCTAAATTCTTGGGGAAATAAAGTTTTCATATGGTGCCAAAAGAAGTATAATGTTCAGGCCAGATTAGTCTCTCTGAAAAATTAATTCCATGGCCAGGGTGCTACAGCAAAAAAGGCCTTCTCCTTGGTACCTAGTTACCTTATCTCCTGGAGAAGGTCTGCTGAGAATGATCTGAGGGTCTGGGCATATATATATATGAAGGAGGCACCCCTCTAGGTAACCTGGTCTCAAGAAATTTAGAGCTTTAAATATCAAGAACAGTACTTTGAATCCAGCCTGGACATAGACAGGCTGCCAGTAAGGGATAAAGTACTATTCTAATATGATCACATTGGCCAGTTCTCCCGGTCAAGCTTTATTTTGGGCCAGCTGAAGTTTATGGACCATTTTCAAAAGCAGCCTCGTGTAGCACTGTAGTAATCTGGCTGAGAGGTTATCAGAGCACGGAAAGCTGTAGCTAGACCATCCCAGGCTGATAAGAAGATCCTTCATGTCACTCAGTCCACCTGTGCCTCCAGTGACAAGGCTGGATCCAAGGGCATCCCAGACTATGAACCTGGTCCTTTAGGAGGAGTACAGCTTCTTTTAGAGCAAGTTGATTATCACTCATCTGGACAGGCAAACCACCCACTAACAATACCTCCACCTTGTCTGGATTGTTTATTTGTTCTTGTCCAGCCTATCACTGTGCTCTGGTACTGATTCAGAACAGCCATTCTCTCTCCTGGATTTAATGAAAAGCAGGAGTGGGAGAGAGAGTGTGTGTGTGTGTACTGGCTGCCATCTGCATATTAATAGGACCTCATCTCATGCCTCTGGGTAATCTCCCTCAGGAGATTGATGTAGATAGAATAGAGCCCTGGAACCCCATAACACAGCTGCCAAGGCACAGACCAATAATCCCCCAACACTACCTTCTGGAGGTGGACATCCAAGTATGAGCAGACCCTGCACAGTTCCTCCAATGCCCATCCAGGCAGTTTATCCAGAAAAATACTATTGTTGATCTATCAAAAGCCACTAAGATATTCTAAAAGGATCGAAGTCACACTCCCTTTATCCATATTTTAGTAGATGACATTCAACAGTCCAACCAAGGCAGTTTCCTTTCCAAAACCAGGCCTGAAGCCCAACTAAGATATATCTATATAATTTGGCTCAATAGAGAGCTGTAAGTTGTGTTTGGTCATATTCACAATGAGTTTCCTCTAACTGCATTCTAGCCATCTTCCTTCTTTGTTCATTACACTCAGCTCAGGGATTGACTATGAGTGGGCTGGGCTCTGCCCAGAGGGAGAGGGCAATCATGGCTATTGCCCATATCCCACAGATTCCTCTCAAATCCATTGGACTCCATGGAGAGATAATTTTAATAGTGCCCCCCCCCCCCCCATGCACACAGTCTCTCACTCACTGTTAGAGAGAGAAAAGGCCACTTGAGAAGCTAAACCTCATAGGAAGTGATGACAGAGGAAGAAATGTTAATTCCCCCCGCCCCCTTTTAGATTACATCCTTTTGTCCAGTCAAGAAAGTAAAATCAAATGTGTGTCCTTTCTCATGTGCTTGGCCGATAACATGTTGAGACATTCCAATGGTTGTCACGGCAGCCATGAAGTCCTGAGCCACCTTAGATCCAGCAGCTTCAGAACAGATCCTAGAGAACCATTTATCATAGGCGTCTTCAGCACCAAATCTGAGTCTACCGTATCAGCTCAGGCAGGGAGACTGAAGGGTAGAGGGGTGGGTGTTGCACCAACATAATCTCTAATCTGTCTCAGGATATCAAACACTCTGGATCAGCCCTTGAATGAAGCTTAGGTTGAAGCCTAGAGACAGAGAGAGAATTCTTGTAGACTACAGCGACCCCCAACCTTCAAGTCAGTGTTTGTGCGTGAGTGCCCAGGAGGGCACAGCAAGGAGAGAGACCCACTCCCCCACCCCCATTCTCCCACCCAGCTCTTAGTTATACACACCAGATCAGCCCTCTCATTCACAGATAACTCATGAATGAGGATGATCTTGCTTGTACTGACTTGGAAGCACCAGACTTGAGGGAAAGCTGTAGGGTCAGCAGGAATCATCTAGTTGGAGGAAGATCCAGAAGAGAGGATCGGCATAAGGTGTCTAGCCTCCTTTCTCCCCAGCTGACCTGTTAATTCTCCAATTTTATACCAGTCCCTCCCCATGAACAATCCAGCCCATAGTGCAGCAGCTACATAACAAAATAATTGATTTCCTAGGGAGGTCACAGGTTATATCACATTGGAAACATGCAAGAGGGATGACCATCTGGAGCCCTACTTTGGACTGAGATTGGACCCGATGGCCTTATTGCTCTCCTTTAAGTTTCTTATTCTATGATTCTGGTACCCCAGTAATAAATCTTTACTATAGTATTTAATACCCTGCACTTTTAATCCCTAAGCAACTTTCAAACTGGTTTAAATATAATACATCTGTGAAATCTAGCAACATCAAGGGGTAAAACTATAGTTGAAGAGCAAATAACTTGGAAAAGCTGGGAAGCTTGCTTCGGCATCACTCTGCTTTCTCTCACTTCTTCAGCATTACCCATGAATGTCTAACAAATATGTCAGCTGTTTGCATGATCTCATAACTAAGAACAAAAATTATTAGGCTTAAATGGAAACATGAGGGGGATTCCCCCGTTGAGGGATGAAATAGAGGTCAGAGTCAGATGTATGGGCAATAAGGGACCAATCTCGATGCCTATGCCTATTCCTAAAATGCCTGCAGTAGCAAGGCATTGCACACTAGATAAGAGCCTGTTGGACTATGCCAGAGGTCCATCTAATCCAGCATTCTGTTCATATAGTGGCCAACCGGCTGCCCACAGCACGCTTCCAAGCAGGACGTGAGCACAATGGCACCCTTCTACACATGCTCCCTATCAACGGGTGTACATGGGTGTCCTGCCACTAGCACTGGAGGCAGTAGCTACTCATTAGGACACTGATAACCTCCTCCTCCTCCTCCATTAATTTGTCCAGCCCTGCTTTAAAGCCATCCAAAGTGGTGGCAATTAGTATATCTCATCCAAGTGAATGCTGTCGTTTTACTTTCCTTCCTTTTATGTATTCTGGATCTCCCATCAGTCAGCCTCATGGGATGACCCTGTTTTCTAGTATTATGAAAGAAGGGTGGGGAAAGTGCCTCTGCCCACTTCTTTCACACCATGAGTCATTTTATGCACCACTGTCATGATTCTACTTACACACTCCCCCCGCCCCCCAACCAATCCTAGATACTGTAATCTTTCCTTACAGGGGAGTCACTCCAACCTTTGATCATTTTAGTTGCCCTTTTCAGCATTGTTTCCAACTCTGTAATATCCTTTTTAGGTGCAGTGACCAAAATTATTCTGAGTGAACTCACACCATGTAGTTGTATAAAGGGGAGTATGATACTGGCAGGGGGTTTTTTCTGTTCCTTCCTAATTATGCCTAACATGGAGTTTGCCTTTGTTACAACATCCTTGCAAACTGGGTAAGCATTTTCATCAAGGTGCCCACCACAATCCCAAGATCTCGATCTCTCTCGACTCATCAGCTTATACTTGGGATTGTTTGCTCCAATGTGTATTGCATTTGCCATTTGGATGCCTGTTCTAGTTTGAAGAGATCCTTTTGGAGCCCCTTACAATGTCATTTTCTCTCAAATTTATTTTTTCTCCCAATGCCATTTTACTTTAACCACCTTATTAGCAAATTTGGCAACTTCTCTGCTCCATCCTAATTCCAAATAATTTCTGAATAAACTGAAAGGCACTGATCCTACATCACTGCATTGGGAGCATTTACCATTTAGCCTACTATCTGCTTTCTGTTCTTTAATCAGTCACGTTCCATAAAAAAAAAAAGACTGTTTCCATTACTGCTATGTCTGCTCAGGAGACTTTTGTAAAGGAGTTGGTCAAAAGCCTTTTGGAAGACCCAGTAAGCAATATCTACAGGATGACCCCTGTCCATCTATTTTTTGACACTCCCAAAAGAATGCTAAAAGATTAGTGAGAATGGTCCTGCCTTTGCAGAAACTATGTCGATTCTTTTTCAGTAGAGCTTGTCCTTCTAATTGTATATTTATTTTATGCTTAATAATGCTTTCAACCAATTTACCTAAAACAGACATGAAGCTAACCAGCTTGTAATTTCCTGGATGCCTTTTTAGAATAGGCAAGATAATGGCCATTCTCCATTCCTCTGGAACAGAGGCTGATCTTGAGAAGGTGTTATGTATTTTCTTAGAAGATCCATACGTTCTTATTTGAGTTCTTTAAGAATTCTAGGATGGATACCATCTGGGCCTGCTGATTTATTAAACTGAAAGTTAGGGCCAAAAAATTCATCTTTTGAAACCTCTCAAGTGCCTTAGTTCCTCAGACTCCCTTTCTGAGAACATCAGTTCTGGCACAGGTAACTGTCCTATATCTTCTATGTAAAAATGCTTCTCTGCAGTTCCTTTAATCTCCTTTAGTACTCCTCCAATTCCATTTCCATCCAGCTATCCAACTGCTTCCTTAAAATAGTATTCTACTTCCAATATATTTGAATATTTTTAAGTAGCTGGCCTTGATGTTATGAGAAATATGCTCCTCAAAAATGTGTTCCTGCATGTCTTTTGTGCCTGTTTGTTGCCAGTCTGTGCTCTCTTTTGTTTTGGTCTTTTGGGCAAGACTTGCATTTTCTGAAGGAAGTTTCTCTCTCTCTCTCTAATAGTTTCCTTGACACTGCTTGCTAACCATGTTGGTGACCTCTTGGACTTGGTGGCACATTCCTGACTTGGAGAATAAATTTTACCTGAGCCTCCATTATTGTAGTTTTGAGTATTTGAAAAGTATATTTGAAGGGCTTTAACCCTTAGAGTTTACAAGACCTGAGCAGAGCTGCCAACCACAGGACACATTCACAGGGCTGCCTTAAGTCAGAGACAACTCGACAGCATGTAACAACAACATTTTACAGAAAATTCCTCTTTTGAAGTCAAATATGACTCTTTGGGACTTTCTCGACAGTGTTCCACTTACAGTGGTACCTCAGCTCACAGACGCCTCAGTTCACGACCAAATCAGGTCACGAACAGAAATTTCAGAAAAAATTTGCCTCAGTTTGTGGTCATCACCCAATGTGGAGTTCGCAATCACAGCCATGTTGCTGCACGAACACGATCATGATCGCAATCGTGCCCGTTTCCCCCCCACCCCCGAGCACGATCACACCCATCTTCCCCTAACAAGCGTGATCATGGCCATCTCCCCCCTACCCTGAGCACGATTGCTATCACACGATTATGGTTTGGACTCTCCCTCCAAACAATAACCTCCACCTCACCTAGGTTAGTGTTCTCTATTGTACTATACTTTGTTTTTCTTTGTTACTTTGTTTCAAATTTTTGTGATTAAAAAATGTTTACAGAACAGATTAACCTTATTTACATTGAACCTTATGCGGGAATTTGACTTGGGTCGTGACCAATTTGGCTCACAACCAGAGTTGTGGAACGGATTAAGTTTGTGAGCTGAGGTACCCCTGTATTCAGTCTGATTGCAGTATGATCACACTTTCCAACTGGTTTGACAATACCCACATCTTATACTAGGTTCCTGGGTGGCACCATTTAGGATTAAACCCAGAGTTGGCTCATTCCATGACCATTTGTTTGAGGGCACAGTTATATAGAGCACTGAGAAATTTAACCTCATTGTCATGCTGGAACATGCATTTATCCAGTCAGTGCAGGCATTCATTATCACAACACATCTTTGTTTAGCTGTTTCCTCAATCTTGTTTTCAATCGCAAGGTCATCCTGAGCATTCTGTTCTAGGAGATAGCATGTTCCTAATGCTAGTTTAGTTCTGATACTTGGTAAGGTCATCAACAGTGCTTGTTTGGGTGAGTCTGTCCTTTTCGGCTTTCTGGTCTACTCAGCATTGTGCCCTCTTTGATGTATGCTCTGTCCTGCCCTTTCCATAGAGCTGGTAACCAGGGAATATTCTTCATTCCCTCAGGTTTTCACCATACCGACTATACATAAGTTTGCCTTTAAAGCCAGGCCTTCCTACTCTCTCATATTTGCTCAGAGGCTTCTGGGATTAGCATAGAAACATGGATCCATGGTGCCCCTCCCCAGATATCTCTGGCATGTACATCTTGTGAAGTCCTTAGGCCTTTTTGGCAGGCTATCCTGTTTCACCATATCTTCATATATTTCTTCCCTATCTCCATTTGAACAATTGGAAACGTTTTAATCTTCCTCCCTGGAGATAGTTCAGTCCAAATGAGAAGCCTCCCAGCTCCTGTCATTGTTCTCCCAGGGTTCAATTTAAAAGCTGCTTGGCCACCTTTTAATGTTTATCTTTTGGATAAAATGGTAGACACCAGGTCTGCTCTTAGGCTTTAAATCTATGTCTTGAAGAAAACAGCAGCCTTGAAAGGAATTAAAGATGATTTGAGGGAGGCTTCATGTCCCATGGTGTACACACATTTTATTATCCTGCTGTCACTTCTGGTCAAACATTTTTGGGAAAAAACAAAACAAAACCTGATTTACCACAGGTAACAGTGAGGTGCCAGGAGCTGTGCTGGGAAAGATCTTTCCCTACTGCTCTGAAGACCCCATGATGTTTGGTGACCACTGCTAACAGACCAGTAATCTGAGCTGGTACAAGGATGGAAAGAGATGAACACAATAACCAAAGAAGCCCAAGATGGTTTTGGATGTAAAGAATTCTAGAAGTAGAGAGCTGCAAAGGAGAAAGGGTGTTTCTATTAATGTAGTTCAACAGTGCCAGTTGTGATTTCTAAGTACCCCCAAGCCCCAGAATCTCTCCTTTAAGAGATTAGCAATACTTTTTGAGATTCATGAGCCCCTTGAATTTCAACTTGCTTGTTTCTTGCTCACATAAACTGTCTTAGGGGTGCAATGGATAAGGCCCTCTCGTGGGTCAGGAATCTATTCCCTGAGAAAGACATGGAAGAAAGTAAATCGATTCTGCAAAGAAATTCATCAGCGGAGAGGGAAACATCCTACTATACCAGCATCAATGGAGGGGATACTACAGAGGTCTCCTGCATTCCTTGTGCCGGCATCAGCAGCCGGTCCTCTGTCACTTGCCCTACTTGCCAAGGCACTGGAAGGATCCCCCGAGGTAGGAAGCCCTTCCAAGTGTTGCTTTGGTTCAGCTCTCTTCCCTGGACCGACCAGTTGGATCAGTGCCAAGGCCTGAGCCTATCTTGGCCAGTGAACTCTTTCCCATTGTGCCAAAACAAATACTGTTTAGGAATCGGCCTGGGCAGCTGTTAATGACCTGTTTAAAATATTGTAATGTGTCTACAAGCTGTGCTGTCTCCGCTTTCACAAAGAAATTACTAGAAATACACATACCATTCTGCATGTGAGTCAACTTTTATCAGATGTTGCCAGTGTTCCTTCAGCTTTAAGCTATTACTTTCCTGGGGAGATCTGGCTTTCCAGGCCCATCCTTATTTTTATATATATATTTTTTTTTCAAATTTGCCATTGATTTTTCTCTCTCTACTCCTCCTTCCAGAGCAAGAACAGCAGCTGGTGGCTCTCATTCCATATGGAGACCAGCGGCTGAAGCCCAGGAGAACGTAAGCTTGCTTCTGTTCTCCCCACTTCTTCCTGCTGCTTCATCCATACCTGTATCCCCAGTGCTTGCCAGTGATGGCTGGGGAGCAGTTTCTGCTTCCGCTAATGCCTGCAATATGTTTTTGCAGAAAGCTGTACGTGTCTCTCACAGTGGCCATTTGCCTGCTGATGACATGCCTCGTGATGTACTTCCTGTTCCCACGTGCCATCCTGGTGATCCCGGCTGGACTCAATGCCTCCTCCATCTCTTTTGATAATTCGTCTTACAGCATTACCCTCAATATGACTGTGAGTTCCTGGGAGACTGGTGAGAGGAAAGGGCGAGAGCGGCTGCACTGTGTTTATGTCGTAAATGCCTCCCCACCTCCAACACTTTTGTTGCGATTGTAGACCAAACGGCCAAAACTTCAGCTATGGGGGTCAATTCTGGCCCTTTGGGGGATCCTCCTTCCCCCTTGCCACACCACTGATCATTGCATGGTGTCCCAGCTTTTGTTCCTCCCCTGCTCCCATTCTGAAACATCGAAATGCCTCTCCTAAGGCATTAAGAGCTTTGGGCTAAAACAGGCTGAATTTTGTTCCTTGTTTGCCTTTGGCTGTGCTTACAAAGCTAGAGACTCCCTGAAGTGGAATTCTGTCCTTGTGTTAGAAAAAAGGTTGTATGCCCGTTAGAGGTATTTAATATAAAGCATGTTTTTGCTTTAAAAAGAGCAGGGGGAATAAAATAAAATAAAGTTAAATTAAATTGCCAAGTGAAAGTTGCCTCAAAGAAATGTCTTTACTGATCCCTCTAATTCAGATTTCTACAGCTTGGTAGTTGCTGATTATTGTTCAAGGGAAAGCATTGTACATAAACGCAGAGGTGCTTCTTGTCACAGCACATGTTCCAAGGCTGTGCATGCTAGTGTTCAGAATAGGTTGTGCAGCTGAATTTTGCTCCAAATGTAAGGTTTGATCTTTCAAATAAAGAAGCAGATGACTAAAAGAGCCCACGGCAAGTAAGATTAAGAAAAAATGGAACTGCTTTTTGTGTGTCTACTCCAAGTAGACTGCTGTGAGGATGTTTCCACTGCCTTTGAAATAAAAATAGAAGTCTCTAAGAAATCAAGGCCAACCAGGGATGTAAACATGTGTATCCATTGGATGGATACACACAATATATCAGTGCATTGCATGGCTGTTCTCCAAACCCAGACTGATTCCTGTCAAATGCCTTGTTTGAAGAAGACCACAAGCCACCAAGCCAACCCATAGCTTATTGGGTTGTTGTACCCATGATGGGTTTTTGCATCATCTGAACCTGGGTAATGAACCACCACTACCTCCATGGCTACGGGAAATTGGTTAGTGACTCACTCGACATGAGTGACTAAACTCCACCTAGAACAAGTGCCCTTCAAAGCAAGATCCTCTAGTTTTTTTGTTTTTTAATTAATGTATCCTTAGGATACTCTCCTATTTGCATTTGTTCCTAAGATTCTGCCACTTGGGAACATGCAAAAGTGTGACCATCCCATTTACAGAAGTAGGTTTTCAAGTAAGATTTAGAAAGGGTTACTTGTTTAACAGGATATTCTACAGGTCCGTGGACAATTTTTAAACCTTTTCTGAATCTACTTTACCAAATGGAGCTTAAAAGTAACTAGAACTGTAAGTGTAAAGGTGAGGTCACCCTTAAGACACATAAGTCCAAAAATGTACAAGGCAACCACCACCACCCCTTTCGTGAGCTAAGGTAGGTTGACAACTGGCTTTTGCGATCTCCAGAAAAAGTGCCCCACGGTTAATAGAGCCAGATTTTTTGTTAAACTGGTTGTTCAATTTACACCAACCCACTATGGCTTGTGGTCAGAATAGGTTGTTTTGATGTGTAAAAACATGTGTTGAATTCTCCGCCTCTCTCTTCATAGGGAAAGGCAAACTGGATCGCAAGATGAGAGGGGTTGTTCTTAGAGTGGAGGTACTCTCCCAGTTTGTCAGGGTGGAAAACTTGCCCTCTGGAATCAATATGGTTCTCCAGCCATGCCTTAAAGCAGAAGGCTGTTCAGTAAACTCCTTTGTTTTTTTGAAAAGGAAATGAACTGAATTACATTCACCTTCTTTTGGGAAGGGGATGGAACTGAATTTGATTGTCAGTTTACGATAGCATTTATACTGGACCGTATTGTAATTAATTTACACAAGTACAGTAATACTAATAGAAGTTTGGTGTGATTGCCTGTTTTTAATGTACAGCATATTAGTCCTCTTTTTATAGTAAGTCCAATATTTTAAAATGTGTGAATTTTAAAATTTCACTATGTACCTATTTTTTCATTAGTTTCTATAGCATCTTTGTGTGTGCAGCTGCTTAAGCTGAGGCTATGACCTGATTTTCACATAACACTAACTAATGTTCTATTTAATCCATGGTTAGCCCATGGCTTGTTGACCTATTCAGTTTGTCTGACAGATGACTATTTTTTTTCTCAATCCCTAGTTGTTTCCCCTTTGTCAACCCCCTCCTTGCATCTAAAATCAGGAACCAGATATTGGGTTGGAGCCAGCTAGAGCTGGGGGTCAGACTAGATGGCCTGAGAAACCCCTTCTGACTCGTTCTGTTTCTATGTTTGCTTGTTTGCTGGTAACCACTCTTGCCAGCTGCCTCTGTAGCTTGGTGAAGCAACCTGTGAATGACCCACAGTTCTGGGTTTGTACATAGAAACCACCCATGGTTTAATAACCCATAGTTGTCAGCTCAACAAGAGACCATGAGTTCTCTTTCTGGATTTTTCCTAATTAAAAAAAAGTATTTTTTTTTTAGTTTGACTGTGTTTGTGTACCACAACAAACCAGAATTCAGCAATCTGCGACTAACATTATAAACAAACAAGGTCAGTGCTTTTGACAAACCAGTAGTGTCCACTATTTACCACTGCATGAAAATCAAGTGAATATAAGAGAGATCAAAACAGTTGTAGAATGGAACACTGCAGAAAATGAGCCAAGCCAGGAAAGATTGCAAGCCAAGTGAAGTCAAGCAACACACGTGTGCGAGTGTCTGGGAGCTCAGGAGTGCATGGTATTCAAACCGGACCAGTAGCATCCCACCCTCAAATAAGTGCACAATGTGCACTGCCCAGCAGGATGTGACCAGAGAACGTGCCATACGAATAAGGGTTAGAGGCTAGAAAGCCTAACATGTGCAAACACATTTCCTTTCATTTATTGACTGGATGAAACTGATTAAACTAGAAGTTATTCCTGATCTAATCTTGCCTGTTTTATCATCTCATTGACATGTTGGGCCTTAAGAAAACCCTAGGGAATGGACAATTCTCTTCTCCCAATGTTCTGAATGCTGCTCAGAAGTAGTGACATGGTTTCCCTTCAGGGGAGTCTTCCCCTGCTCTCGCATCAGAAGTTGTGCCCATTTCATTACCTGGACACAGCCCTGCAGAGTTGGCTCCTCCTGGTCTCCAGAGCTGGTGAGGTTGTAGTGGTGATGCTCAGCATGCCCCTTCTCAACATAGCCCAGATTCTTCCTGCAACTGCTGTAAAACACCCCCACCATACCCTGGTCACTTCTCACCCAATTTGCTGTCCTGGCCTTTCTCCTCTGCATGGGTAAATTGAGATTGGTATCTAATTTATAGACTGTAGACTTCTATGGATGAGGATCAAATGATGCTCATGTTTTGTACAATATTTTGCACTCAGTAGGAGTAGCAGCAGTACAAAGGGGCTCTCCAATTTGGGAAATACTCAGTGTCCATGTATCAGCTCATCTCTCATATCAGTTTCACCCCTTTCTCTGTAGAATATACTGAATGTGACCAACAGCAACTTTTACACGGTGACTGTGGCTCAGCTTGCTATTGAAGTCTTGCACAAGACACTGGTGATCGGGAAAAACACCATGATGACCCAGCTGGACATCAGGCCACTGCAAGGGTCTCAGGTGAGGACTTGTAAGAGCATGTTAACGTATCAGTAGATGCTGATGAACAAACTACACATTAACTCTTCTTGATTTATTTGTAGATACTTTACAGTGTCTCCAGTAGAATCATGGATAATAACACTTAGTAAGTATTAATGTACGCATTATTCCTGCATTTGGGAGATGTTATAGAATACAGTATGCATAGCCAAATAGTTTCAAATATAAGCAAGTTTCAGGTCCATCAGGATGGTCTAAGACCCAAATAGAAGTTGTTTGCTTTAAGGCTCTCTTTTGGATGCCTGTGAGGCTTCTTCATTTTTTCTGTTAGGTGGGAGATGATTTCTATATTACCCTGAATGGCAAACTGCCTCTTAGTTTAAGATACCACATTGGAAGGGAGCCCTATCTTAAGGGATTTTTCATCAGAATTGTACACAGGAGTGCATTGCTGTACATATTTGTCAGGACACCAGTCCACTTGCAAGGTCACTGATCTGCTGTTCAAGCCGGACGAGAGATGCCAGATGGCTGCAGCACTTGGTTTATTTAACATAATTGTGATTCTCAGCCAGCAGCAAAGTCAGCAGCACAATAGTGGCTGCAAGATCAGACTTCTGGTGGACTTGCTTGCAGTAATTACCACCATTTCTAGTTTCATGCTTGTACATGAAATAGCAGCAGCCAAGCCCAGTCTCAACTGGTTGCATCTTTCCAAGGTCACTCCAGTCCTGCTTCCTAAGGTCCATTTAAATGATCATGCTCAGGACTGAACCCATGAACTTTTGCATGCGAAATCAGTGTTCTGCCCCCAAGCTACAGGCCTTCCTGCTTGTGATTGATTAAATGGAGTGTAACTGCTTTATCTGCATTATTTTATAATGTGTGTTTTAATTAAGATTATTTTATATGGATTTTAACTTATTGTTTTATCTATGTTGTAAGCCGCCCCGAGGCTTCGGCGAATGGGGCGGCATAAAAATGTTTTAATTAATAAATAAATAAATAAAAAAGATGGAGAAACCCATCTCAGATTAATTCAGAGTATAGAAGAGCTGACATTTATTAAGTGGTACCTAAATTATGATCTTCCATCTGTAGCCTAAGAACAGTTCTCATTTGTGATCTCTGCGCATCACACATATGGGCTCTGTGCTTGCATACAGTCTGTTGTTAGATTTTTCCAAGCTGGACTAGTTCTGCTGGGACCCCTTCCCCTCCATCCCCCTGGTCTGTCTAGGAGGTGCTCCCACCATTTTCCCCAGTTCTCAAGTCTTTCCTCTCAGCGTTTGTATTGGTTCTTTCCTCAGTCTCTTCCTATACCTCATTCCTTCATTCGTTCTGTTCTCGATTTCTCTTTGAAAACCCTACTTTACCTTTCATTAAAATTCTCCCTGTGGGGGGGGGGAACCTTTCTTATTAAAAAAAACAAACAAACCCCACCCCTCTTACTGTTCTCACTCCTCAAATTCCTCCTCTTATTTCATTTCTGCTTTTCTCCTCCTGGAGGCATTTGAGGTGTGTCTGCTGTGGGAGTCATTTGCCTCCTGCAGATGGGCACTCTTTGTGCCTCCTCTTTCTGGGGGAGGAGCACCATTTGGGTGCTGTGTGCATTGCCAGGCATTCACACAGCAGGCCCAGAAAAACTAAGTGGACTGAGCTTTGGAGTCACGCCCTTTTGGCTATCAGCCATGGTGGCGCTGCCTGAGTGCCCATCCACCTTGTGGGTGGTTCTGCCTTCTAGCCCTCCATTGGCGGCCGCAGGGGCTCGATCAGCCACCCCATCCGTGCTGCCCACGCTTGGGTGCATGGAAGAACACAGGCACGGAAGCTGCTCAAGAAGACCCAAAAGATGGCAGAGGCACAGAAGGCCAAAGAAAGTCTCTGCACTGTTTTCCATTGGCTTCATCTGCACCTGTGCCAATGCTGGTTCCTTCAACACCTTGACCCCTTCCAGCAATGGAACCGGCAGGGACCCGATCCATCTCTGAAGGGGTGATCCAGGATTCACTATCCCATACTCTGGCCCACCCGCAGTCTGTGATCTCCTCAAGAAGAGTGTTGTTCTCCTCACATCAGGAGCAAGCGCCCACGATGCTGCCATGGGGCCAGCCTCCGATCTCTCACCCCATGGAGTCATCTACTTCCCCACACCTTTTCATGCCTGTAGTCACAGGCAGAGGGAGTGGTCCAGCTCTCCACTGCTGACCTGGGGCTGGGAGGCCTATTAGATGCTGCCGCCACCACTGCTGCACTATTACCATGGCTATCCAGGGGAGAGAGGCCCCATCAACCCTTACTGGACAGTGGGGGGCTCCAGTCTCTCACCTGGAGGAGCCCAGGATATCAGTTTGAGTGCCTCAGTTGCCTACCCTGCCTCACTACCATGCCGTGAGTCACTGCCTTTGGGTCCAGACTCTGATTCACTGTTGCATGAGGACCTACTTACCTCATCACCTAATGGCATCATTAGGATGCAAAGGCCAGGATCCTCCTCTGAGGACCTGGAACACTTCTCTGAGCAGATCCTCTGGATGGCAGCATCTCTTGGACTGGAGATACAGCAGTTCACTGAACCACTGGTGGATCCAGTCTGTGACATCATCTGAGCAGAGGACATGGCGCCAGTGGCTATTCCATTCCTTCCAACATTCCTTGCATCCATGAAGGAAGCGTGGGAGGCACCAGCCCAACTGCAACCAACATCCTGCTGCTGGGAGCATATGGACTGGATCTAGGAGCAGGAGATCCTGTTCCTTCTGCAACATCCCCGGCTGAACTTGATCAACATGGAGTCAATGCAGGGCAGGGCACAGAAGGAGCACTCAACATTGGTGGATCATGACGGGTGCCATGTGGAAGTCACAGTGCAGCAGATCTGTGCAGCATTGGCTCTGGGACTCCACATGTCTAATTTTGAGGCCACCATGGGAAGATACCTGTGGGAGAAGATAGGGACTATCGCAGAGTATCTCCCAGAACAAGATCAGGACTTGGCTAGGATATTCCAATTGGAGGCCCTCCATCTGCCGTGGCAGCAGATCAATGCTGCCAGCACCTCATAGGCATGGTGGTGATCCAGCACCATGTCTGGTTCTAGGCAGTGAGCTTCTCCCAGGAGCCTTGTTCCAGGATAGAAGAGCTGCCATTTGACAGGGAGGGCCTCTTCAGCACCTGTACAGATGAGAAGCTGAATGCCATACACAATGCCTGGACAACAGTCAAGCAGTTGGACTTCACACCTCCACAGCAGCAGAGGGTGTGTAAGTGGACTGGGGCCCCCTTCCTGTACCAGCCTAAGGAGCATCATGTGCCAAGGCTGCCTGGTTGCCTACTTTCCCATCTGTGCATCTATAACTTTGGATCCATTGTGGAGAGCAGATATTGCATCAGGTTCAACACCCTTCCACTGCTTGGGTCTGTGCACTCAACTCTACCCTCTCCCATGTTGGCAGAAGTAGCCATGCTTTTGTTGAAGGGAGCGATTCTCTTTGCAGTGCCAGGTCAAGCCCGGGACGATGGTGTGAGGGTGCATTGGCTCCTGGGGCTCATGGCAGTGATGGCCACTGTCATTCTGTTTGCCAGGCTATGAATGCAGCCACTTCAGCTCTTCCCAACCTGGTGGAGTCAACCCTACATACCCTAGACATGCACAGGGCATTGACACTCTATTGGTCCCATACCGAATCCTTCAACTGGTCCCAGAGACTTTGTTGCTTATGGTGAACAGTCCAGGGCTGAGCCAATCACCCCTCAACAGCTTGCACATGGGGTCATTGCACTCAACAGTACCCTCATTGCACCATCATGTTGGCCTCCCAGCTGTTCAGATTGCAGCTTCCTGAGCATTCTACCAGGGCAGTGGCCTCATCGACAGCACCGCACATTGGAATCCTCCTGGTCTCTGCAGAGCAGTAACATGGTCCACCCATCAACTTGCATCCAGCACTACCAGCTTGATGTTCACACCAGGCAGGATTGCTCCTCCAAGTGGTCTTCTTGAAGGTCCTCCACTGACAACACTGGCCCGCCTCCATCTCAGGCTAAGCTTGCTAGTTGCCTGTATGTGTGATGCACAGAGACCATGAAGAAGAAAGACGGGTTGCTTACCTGTAACTGGCATTCTTCAAGTGGTCACTGTGCATTCACAACCCCATGTCAGTGTCAACAGCTTTGGTACCACAGTTTTCCTTTGGACCTGTATCAAGATGGTACTGGTCAGCCATTCACCAGCCTTTCCCCTCCATTCCAAGGCCAAAACATTGGTCTTGAGAGAACTGGAGAACTAGCTATACCAGGGGGAGGAAGGGGAGGGCTTCCGCCAGAGTGAGTCTAGCTGGGAATATCTTCCCGACCACAGCCTCCACGCAGGTACAGAGCCCATAGGTGTGAATGCACAGATAACCACTTGAAGAACATCAGTTACATCTAAGCAAGCTGACTTTCCCTCTTTTCTGTGTTTGTCTTTCAGCAAAATTTGCACTTGGTCCAAAATAAAAGTTCACAATGTTCTTCTGCACATACAGTAAGTGTATTACCTTTGGCAATGGCTGATTAGCTTCTGCTGTTCCTCCCACTTGCCATCCCATACTCAGCATTTCCATTCAGTGCACAGCATATACTTGCCCACGATAAAGTTATGTTCTCTTTCAAGCAACTGTTCTCTTCCCCTCACTTGGGTTTTCTTCCCGCTTCCAGTCAATTCACGAAGCCTGTGCTGAGCTTCCCTTTCAAATGCCAGGATCATGCACACCGTACATGGGTATCATGGCTTAGTTCTGCTATCTGTGCAAACTTTCCATCTCATCTCATGCTGGAAACAAGTTCTGGGGCTGAACCCTGGACTCAAATGAAGCCATTGTTGGAAGGAAAGGGTGGTGGTGCGGAGGGAAGGCTTTGCATGTTTGATGGGTCATATCAGGCTGGGAACTATTCTTGGGAATAAGTGGCAGCTACTCCTCTTCTACTTTTTGTTTTTCTCTCTCACCAGGGGTACCCTGACTTGCTCCTATCTCTCTCACTCAGAGCAGCTGTCCTTTGAGAAATACCAGTATGTGGACTGCAGAGGTAATGCCATACTCCCCAGCATGTCCTGAGTCCATGCATCTCCATGGCTACACTAAACTTCTCCAGGGGTTCCTGTTGGCTTCATCTTCCGTGCTCCTCAGTCACATCCCTCCTGTGAACCAGCTACGTTTTGCAGCTCCGATTCAGTGTTGGCAATTCTGCTGCAAAACAAGCCAGAGCAGTACATTTTCTCTCAAGAGACTTGGGGACGTTGTGGGTTTTGACCATTTGTGCCTTGAGGGAACAGCGTAAATGCAACCACTGGTAGAAAAGATAGTGCTGCTGGTAAACCGTGCCAGAACTGCTGGTTTCTGTGGTGGAATTTGCAAAGGTGGGGCTGTGTGGATCATTGGCCGGCTGCTCAGATTGCACTGATATTCTGTAAACATTTCCTAGAGGCTGCTGGCCTAGAGCTAGGATTTAGGGCAATGCAACCTGCTCGTGTAGTTTCCATGGAGGACTGGGAGCTGACCTCTGAGCCTTTGTTCAAAATCATCATCTCCTACACTTTAGCAGCTGGGAGGAACCTGGGACTTCGCAAGTCCTGCTTCTCAGTGCAGCTGTTTGTACCTCTTTCCTCAAAGCCTTCTCGCTGGGTATTAGGTCAGTTCATAGTAGCATGTGGGGAGGGGAGGGGGAGGGAAGAGTATGTAGCATTGAAATGGCTTAGGAAGTCACAAACATCTCCATGTAGAAATGCTGCCTAACTTTATCCCTTTCCTGCAAAATCCTCTTGTGGGTTTTGCTGAGAGAACAGCCACAGACATCAATTTCCTCCTGGGCAGTTTGGGCCAGTTCTCTGTGTTCTTCTAAATAAAATAGTCTCATGCATCGTTATCATGGGTAGTGTGCTATGTGTGTTTCTGTTAATTTGCACATAGTAAGAGAGGTTCTGGTGGCCAGTTGGAATTACTGGACCAAGGGGGGCGGGGGGGGGGGATGAAGAAGGAAGGCACTTCTTTGACCCTTAGGTTACTTCTGTACTAGTCCTTTTCTTTGCAGTTGCTGTTTCTTGTTTACTCCCTTTTCACAGAGAATCCTGATGATGTCATTTTAGAATTGTGGCAGTTCAGTGTTTCATCTGCTATCCTGCTGTGTTTTCTTCCAGACCTAATTTGTGACCATCTTTATACATCTATTACAATAAAGCTCAGTTGCAGCAATGGTCAGAATGGTCTGGCAAGTGGCTTTTGAGGCTTGTTAGGGCCCTTTTGCCTGTTCCTTGAAGGTCTTGCTTCTGCTTCCCTTGAGTGGAGGCTGTGAAAGAGTAGCGAGCAGCCTCTTCATTGCCCCAGCGTGTATTTCTCTTCCTGGTACTGTGTGTGAAAGTGGGCTGATTTTTAATTCTTTTATTTTTTTTAATTCTTTTAATTTTATTTATTTTACAACTATGTGAATCTGTTTCACAAGAAAAAATGGAAAAAGGGGAAAAGAGAAGAAAAGCAGTGATCAAAGCATTCCCTCCTCTTGGAACGGAGAGTGTCATTGAGCAAACTTAAGAAATTACTCATCATGAAATCCCCGGACTCCCAGCTTTCATCAGCCAGAAGCAACAAATGAGACAGAGCAGGGATCCTTTGCTCTTCTTTGGGAGCAAACTTTATAGAAAAAAATTCTGCTGTAGGAACAGGCAGTGCTGGACAATGGGGCACTATATTAAGGCCTACATGGAGCCTCCATTATCAGTTATTATAGAAAAGTGATTCCTCAGCAGCACTTAAATAACCCTAGTGTGGAAGTAACCTAAATCCTAACATAAATTAAGCTATCCATCCTCCACTGAAAGCATCTCTATGAGTTTCCTGTTCAGCCCTGTTCTTCTAACATCCCTGCACCCCCAGGAAACACTGGTGTTTTTCGTGTTTTGAGCTAACATTCCCTTCAATGTGTAGCCAGAGTTGTCCAGTCCCAACAACTCACTACACTGTTTTTCCAGTGTGATGCTGTTTAGTGGTTTGATGTGGCAAAATGTTTCCGGGCCCCGAAGGGGAAGGAGCTGTTATGCCTCGCTTCACACAGAGGGCCACGCTTCGACTCTGCAACTCTGGGGAGACTTTATTGTATGTAAGAGAGGACTCCCCATCTGCAGATTCATCGTTCAGGACTGTTCACTCTGGCAGGCACTTGGCAGCACAGGCACTGGCGACATTTTGCTCACTAGCTCAGAGTCACAGAAGAGGATCCAGCAGCTGCTGTCAGCTGCTGGATCGTTACCACTGTTGTATATACTCTGTAGTCTGGAAGAGAAGAGAGGCTGCTGTTACTGAAGTTCACGGAATAAAAAAGGCCCCACATTTGTCAGATTTCTCCCCACATTCCAACCCGTGCCCATTGTTGGTTGAGAACTGCATTGCGTCTTTTTAATGTTAAAACAGTTTGGAAGGAGGGATTGAGCTGAAGACTGAGAAGGGGATAAACAGAATGGAGTTGGCTATTCACAGCGCAGAGGAGGGCACAAAGCTGGAGAGAGGGAGAGCGAGCGTTCCTGTGGGGAACTTTGCTGCTTCACAGCTGGCCACAATGGGGCAGGGTTTTCTGCCCATGTCGCAGCCAAGAAAAGTCTATTCTCTGTCCCCCCCCCCCCCCCCCCCCACTTACCGAGTATCTCTTCAGCAGTTTACCACTGTGCTTCTGCATGTGGTCTGTGTTGCACGGGCAAGGGTCTGTCTTGATCTCTGCAAGAAAGTGTACAGCAAGAGCCAAGCTTAGCACATGCAGCCGAGGTTGTGGAACAGGTGATGCGGCCTTTGCGCACAAGGGGAGCAAGCGCAACAAGCCTGGGGGCATTCAGGACTGGGGAAGGATGGAGGCTTCGGGATCTCTCTCTTTTAAAAAGGAAGATGGAATGATTGCCTTTGCTAGCAAAGTAAATTTCCAGAAGTGTGTATCTCCCTCTTCGCTCAGCTCTCTGGTCTGCTATGTGTTGATAATCACAGCAGCCTACCTCACATTGTTGCTGTGAAGATTACTGAGATCTTTGACTGAGGCTGGATAACACAAGAACCCACACTCAAGGGCTGAGCATGCGTTGTCGTTGGAACGCGAGTTATCATGTAGTCTGCATGAGCTGCACTAACCGACTTGTTATAGAGTTGTTAACTTTGAATTCTTCACCATGGCTTGTTGTATCAGCTGAGCTCAGATAGCACAATAAGCCATGTATCATCAACAGCCTCAAGATTCATCAAAAACCCAAATCATATTGTCTGAACCCAGTGTCAGTGTGAAGCACTGTCATTGTGAACACCTGAAAACTAAATGCTACCACTGACCAGGCTTACCTTTGAAGAACCGAGGACACCCTACACCTTACACCTGTACCTCAAGAATGTGCAATGTGTGGTCCTCCAGATGTAGTAGGACTACAAGTCTCACTGGCCCTGGGCATCAGAGCCAAGGATGAAAAGTAAGGGAAGCTGCAGTGCAACAACATCTGGACAGTTACAGGTTTCCCACACTTGCTGTATCTGTTGGTGTTTGGTATGACTCAAAAGAGTTTGATCTAGAGAAGCTGTTCCACTTAACTCCCACTGAAATCAGTGGACCAAGTGACCTCTGACTTAACTCCTAGTGATGGATAAGTGTAACTAAATCTGTATCCAACTTCTAGGTCTTCAAGCCAGTTTGAGACTGGGACGTATTGTGGCTCCAGTGTAAAAGATAACATAACTCATGTTGGTTTCTTATTTTTAGCTATGACAGATAGCTTGGTTTTCACAGAGAGTTCATTGTCTCTGTGAGGCTGAGAAATCCAAGTTGTCTGAAAGTGTGCAGGAAATCCACCAAACTCAATCTGATGAGAGGAAGAACTAATCAGTATTGTTTTACATGGATTTCTGTCTCTAAGATGACACATATTTTGTTCCTTAAACATACCCATGGAAATTTGCACAAACCTGTGCAATTTGCATGAATTTACACAATTGGTGCAAATCACAGTATATTGTATGGTTTGCAAATCCGCCCCTGAAAAAGATGTTTTCCTTGAGTGATTTCCTTCAAATCAGTGCAAATGGGTGCAAATCAGCCCCTGAAACATATAATGGCTATCATGTAAGGATCACATTTTTTTAGGAGCCAATTTGTGCCAATTAGATGATTTTTTGCAAGTTTCCTTAGAATGTTTTCAATGCAAAAATCACACCCATCTCAAGGATGAAAGTATACAAGCTGGTTCTATTTGCAACCATAGCAAGCCAGCACCAGTGCACAGCTAGTAAACAGGAACGTGGGGTAGGGGGAACTGAATCCTCACAGTGGATTCCTCACAAATCCCTTCCTCAAGTTGCAGAAGAATCTACTCCTAATAATTCTACAAGCATAATACCCAAATATTTGTGGTGCTGATAAGGCTTGATTAAGCTTTTCTCCCTTGAAAAATGTTGAAATTCTAGCTTGGTCTATGGAAGTCATCCCAGTGTATCTTTTATATGCGTCCCTGAATAGAGTGGTACCTTGGCTCACGAACACCTTGGTTCACAAACAAATCAGGTCATGAACAAAAATTTCATTAAAATTTTGACTTGTGTCCCAAACTCTGCATTGGGTGGCGACCAAGATCACAGCCACCCCCACTGCCCGAGTGGGGAGTTGGCCATGATCGCAGTTGCTTTCGTGCAGGGAAGGCGTGTGTGATCACAGGCGCACTCCTGCAGGAAAGACAAGCGCAATCTCGCCCATCTCCCCCGTGGCTGTGCTGTGCTGCACCCGTCTTTCCTGCAGCAGCACGCCCATGATCACGCACGTCTTCCCTGCATGAACGGAAGTGCGATCATGACCATCTCCCTACTCGGGGGGCGGGGGGAGATGGCCGCGATCGCAGTTGCTTTCATGCACGGAAGGCGTGCATGATCACAGGCGCGCGACAGGCACAATCTCGGCCATTCCCCCCCCAACCAGCACAATCATGGCCATCTCTCCACCCCCAGCGTGCCCTGTTCACGCCCGTCTCTCCCTCCCCCAGCATGCCTTGTTTGCATCTGTGTCTCTTTGCGCCCATCTCTTCCTCCCCCAGTGCGCCTGCAATCGCGCCTGTCTCTCCCTCCCACACCCCCAGCGTGCCAGGATGACGGACGCGTGCAGGGATGACAGGCGTGATCTCAGTCGTGCTGGGGGAGCAGGCAGGGAGATGGCCGCAATCTCTATTGTCACTTTGCTTCACATTTTTCTGATTTAAAAAATGGTTACAGAATGGATTAACCTTATTTACAGTGAACCTTATGGGAAAATTTAACTTGGCTCATGACCAATTTGGGTCATGATCAGAGGCCTGGAACTGATTAAGTTCATGAGCCAAGGTACCACTGTACACTCTTCTGTGACCATTTCTTGGGCTCAACTTCCAACCTACCATGTAGAGATGGATTCTGGGATTTCATGTCAGGGGGAAGTGGGGTAGGTGCTTTTTCTTTGATTTCCCTTGGAACCTGCTGATGCTGCCTGCCTTCTGCAGTTCCTCTGCTTTCCTGTAACAAACACACATACTTCTATGCATATCTAGCTCGATATAGAAATATGCATGCAGGGGTGGCAAAAATGGTGAAGCTGCCTTTTTCTGAGCAGGGCCTGCTCATCTTGGCCCAGGTATTCATTCTCGCACACCACTCCTGTCACATTCTGCCCAGCCTGCCCTTTTGTGTTCTCCCTTTCCATTTCCTGAAAGAGGCCTAGTCTCCTATCCTGTATCATTGCTCTGAGGTCATTCTGCTTCCCCATTTATGCAACCACGTTTATTAATTATCAGTCTTGCTGATATTCTCCCTATTCCTCTGACTTCCTCTTTGTCTTCTGCCCTCTTTTCTCATCTTCTACCCTGTGGCTTGTTTGTTGCTCCTCTC